CCCCCTCTCTCTCTCTCTCTCCTTCCGAGCATTTGGCGGCAGGCTTAGATTTGTTGCGAATGACTCCGAGTATTACGCTTCGTTGCTTCGAGCCACGCGATTAGACCATAAGCTCCGTCGTGGTTTTCCGTCAGTCGTCGGACGGCGGCCCGTAGAAAATCAATTCGGGAATCTGTCCGCCTTGGACGCCGGTGCCATTGGTGCTTTCGGAACTGCACTGAAACTGAAAGTTCACGCTGCCGACCGTCGCCTCCGACATGCCCTCTTGACCGAAGAAACTCAACTCCCCGCCGTCCAATATTGCACTCGCCGTGTACGAACACTCCGGCTCGATCTGTATCGGATTCTCGAAGTAAACGTGGAACGTGTTGCTCGAACCATCGGAGAAGAACTTGGTGTTGTTCTCCGCGAGGACATTCCCGAGCCTCTTAAGCTCGATCTTAACGTTGTAATCCGCAGCACCGGACGAGCTCCCGTACAATCCGAAACCCACCACGAATATTCTCTTGTCAACGCTGAACTGGATCGAGTCGCAACGACCCCTGTATCGCCACTGATTCGACCTATACGCACAAGATTGGAATCTATGGCACACCTGTAAATGAGATAAACTTCTTGTTAATCTAACGTTTATGTGTGTGAAGTAATATTTCTTATCTCTTATTGATACTAACAATCTGAAAAAAAAGAAAAAAAAATATATATATATGTGAAATAGTCGATACGAATCTTTTAAACAATATTCGATACTATTAAACATCGTTATCTATTAAAAAACTTGAATCAGCATTACTTAATCCGGTTAAAACCTTCTTCAAGAAAGATTCATTATCCTCTTTTAACAATAGGATAGGGGCGCTGAAAATAGATACGAGAAACTTTCGCGCGGCACAACTTTTCACATAATACGCTTCACTCGCCTGAGTTTTCAATCCTTGACGTGGTTTGGTGGGAAAACAGAGTGGTGGTTTGTTACTGGCTGTGAAATGCAGAAACACGTCGATTGTCTCTTGATGCGTTAAAATTCCTGTCTGCGCAGCACTGTTTGCAAACTCCTCTAAATTCATAGCGGGAAGTCTAATTAAATATAAGGCAGATCCTGAAAAAGAAAGATGCATTGTAGACACTGATATACAGGGTGTTTCAGATTCCGCTATAAGCTCCGGCACGTATTCTGAGATAAAAGTATTAGCATTGACCTCACCTAACAATTGCCTTTGATTGGCGGGAGTTGGCTCAAGGTCTTGCCGGATACATTCTGCGGAAGCCCATCGTAACGCAGCGTCCCATATGTGTATCTCTTTGCAGTTTAGCGTCTCCCGAGATAAGACTGATTCGAGCGTATGAATGTCAATGTCCACAAAACCATCGGATCTTAGTGCCATTTCTGCCTGTACAATAGTTGCCATTTAATGTCGAGACTAATCTCATAACATCGCTGTATCTTAATATTATCATTCCGTCGACTTTCATTTTGCCTTACGATTTGAAATTTATGTTAAAAGAATGAAACTCGCGAAATTTTCCTTAATAAAAATTATGTTGTTGCTATTAGTAATTATATAAGTACGATTCTGAATACGAAAATGATTTGTAAACTTTTATTCCTTATCGATAGATGCAAACGCGCGTGAAAATTTATTTCGTTTAATATCGTATAATGAGAGAAACAATAATTTTACAAGTACCGTGTAAATTCTTTCTATAGAAATAACAGCAATGTGATGTCAAAAGTTTAATTTACAAAAGAGATACAATCATTGAAATTTTAATATAAAAATGAAGAAATAATTATCAAAATCCATTCATTACGTGTGATTTTATATACACGTGTTAAAGGGAATCGTATATTGCTACGAAAACCCCCCCGATTTAATCGTACATAAAATATAACATTTTCACAGTTCATTGAAAAACGACCAATTTTATTGAAATTGTCTCACCTTATTTAATTATTACACTTAATACAAAGTTTCATACGAGAAACTATGCTTGATAAAAATATAAATAAATAATACATGTAAAAAAGTTTGCAGTCCGTTTCCTAAATTAAAAGATACCATTTCAACATTAGAATACAGTACATATAATTACATTAGTGAACGAGCTCTTACTATCGACACTAAAACACGCGATTAAAAGGAATATATTAGATCGCCGATTAACGACAATTGTAAGCACAACTGCTTAAATAATATTGTAATAACAACCTTTTTAAGTCTTGTACGTGTATCTCTATAAATATTGCTTCTCTTAAAAGTCTTTTACCAAGTATTTATTCGAAAGGAGCTTAAAATATTGGGTATGCCATAAGTCGTGCACTTTCTCTAAAGTCGCGTCTACAAACACAAATGCTAAAAGTCAACATTCATCACCGGGAGGAAGTGTGCGACTTTCGGGACACCCTACATATGTGTGTGTGTGTGTATATATATATATATCTAAATGCCCCGCAGACGACGCGACGAACGTGTTAAATACAGATGGTTTCTTGAGTACAAGAACGATCTATGGCAGATAACATTTGTTGTGCAATGCGAGCTGTCCGGCTGTATAAGAGAAGAATCGAAACGATGTTTCTTCGTGAGCACAATCCGCAGCCACGTGCGTTCGACATTCGATACAATTGTACAGGGAAATCTTCGGCTTTCCGTCGGCTCTCATTTAGCTGACTATTCGATTGGTGTTGGTAGTTATCCTAGAGACGTCGTTGCGATTGACTTTACCGCACTCGTACTCGTCCGTTAAGCTATCCTGATATGTGATATTCTGCGTGACCTCGACGTCCAATTTATTGTCCGGGAAGTAAGGTTCACTTCGCGTACGGAAAAGCGAGAAAGACAAGCGCTCGTCGGAGAGGTCGAGGTCCGCGCAACAGTCGTTCTCCGAGAGGCTCAAGCAGTACGGCACTATCGACAATCCGCTCTTGAACGCCTCACAGCTATCACCGTCGCTCAGTCCCGCGCTCCTACACGCGCGCCGGTATCGCAAGCTCTCGAATTTGTCGTAAGCGTTCCCGCAAGAATGCAAACTCAAAGCGCGATCGACCGAGTCGCTGGAGGGGCTCGAGTCGTCCTCGAGCGTCCCGTCCAAGTTCCCGTCGTTCAAAGTAATGGCTCTTAGCACCCTTTGGGTTTGACTTACTTGTGCGTCGATCACCTCCCAGCAACGTTGCATTAGATTCGGCTCTTCGAACAGACGAGACTGGCTCAGAAGTAAGCACGCGTTCTTCGCCGTCAGGCTCGTCTCCAGGTAATTGACGCACGCTCGCGCCAAATGCGGGACTATGTACTTCTTCGCGACGTATAACGTCGCCAGAACTGTGTCCGCCTCGAGTTGCACCTCGTCACAGTACATATACCTTGGGAAACAGATATTGTGGTCAACGGTATGATCTACGAGACTTCTCCAACTCGAGAAAATGCTATTTTCTGTTCCTCCAATAGCGGATAATGGAACGCAGGGAAAAGTACCGCTTAGCTGATGTAAATTTCACATGGGCTGACCTTCTTCGAGTTATCCTAAGTTTGTTGCGCTCACCTCAACAGCGCGAGGAAAGCAGCTGGCTCAACATCAGGCACTTCTATGTCTCTCTTATTTTCCGGTAATCCTCCATAGAACATAGCGTAAAATACAGAGCTGCCAGTGGCTAGGACATATTTATGTGCTGGTATGGTCTGTGTGTGGCCTGCGGTATCGATGCGAAATTTAGTACCTCTCGCAATACCACCGGCACTTGAGAAACGTGAGAGGTAGTACAAGTACCTGGACTGCCAACAATGAATATAATGTCAGCCATGAGGTGATTATTAAACATGGCTGCATTCCGTTCTCGAACTGTAGGTTTTGTCGCTTGCCAATTGGGGTCCTGGGTACAGTCCCCGGGTGATGGTAGGTTTAACTGGGTTACGGGTGATGACAGGGAAGACAGTGGCGATGCGGGGGCGCTCAGTGGCTGACTCACGATCCCCTCGCGTTGTAGTACAATAGATGAGGAGAGTGGGCTTACTGATGGTGGTGAATCTGACGTATTGCTTGGAGATTCCGCTAAAAATCAGACATGAATGTCATTGCCAAGTATATCAGGTCCTAATCTGATAAGAAACAGTTCGTACTTGATATTATCTAAGATATCAAGAAAATGACTGTGACGCTGAATGATACTGATATTTTAGGAAGTTATTTTAATCGTGTCACTCAAGATGGCATGCAGAGTGTTACCATGACGTAAAATTTAACACAGGAATCGTGTGGAAAAAAGGATAAAAACACTCCTCGTGATTTTTATCTAATGTAACATTCAACGGAGGACCTCTGTCACACCGTACATGTGTGTAATATAATTGTACGGAAGAACTGTTTATTTCGCACCGTGAATTCTTCGAGTTTTCTTTCTTCTGAAACTTTACGGTACAGGAGAGGGAGAGAGATAAAAGGTTATGTAAGCACGTTCAAAGTTGGCTCTGAAATTCACGCAGCCAACTTCACTCGACACGTCCGACGCGCCTGTTCACTCGATCGAACTGATCTGTCATCCTCGACGCGAGTCGAACCGTTCGATCTTGACAATTATTTACCGTTGGTGTACATTATTCCACGATGTTCAGAATGGCTTGGCTCTTCTGTCACGTTAACATAGCACGCGCGAGATCCCTCCGACGTTTGAACTACCGTCGACCGTTGTATCTCTGATCAAGTATCAAACGAATACCATTTCATCGATACCGAAACTGTATGTGTGTGTGTGCATACACGTACGTAGAAATGACACACACGCATGAGTGCATATCGCGCTAGTGTGCGTCTCCATCTGCGGTGTTCAGCCGAAAAGTATCGTAAAGACTCGTAACTTGAGAGGTTTATTCACACATGTATCGGCACATGTATATCGATGCGATATCGTGATTTCTCTTACGACACTCGGTCGGAAAGCTGCAATGCGAAAAGTGCGCCATCCTTTAGTTCGCCACTGTGGCGAGAATGCTCCGAAAAAGTTACCACGCGGCACTACCGACGCGACATATCACTCTGAACTGTATGTTGTGTGTGTGTGTATTGACCTTTATTCGCTTTCCACTCGTGCATCTTCGCTCGCACTTCGTGACGCACGTGACGCAGCAACGAGTGCAACCACGTCATACGACGAGCGCGCTCACACGAGGATGCGACGTAAACAAATGCATCAATCAATGTAGAATCTTTACCATCGGTTAGGACAGAGAGATTACGATGAATCATGGTGGGATATCCCACAGAGGGTCAGAGGATCACGGACAGAGGATCGTCCGGAAGTCTCTCGTCAGTTTGTCGAACACGAGAAGCCTTCGTCTCAGCCGAAGTTCGAGAAGAAAACGGACGTAATTTAAATCATGAATTATATTCGTTATCGCGATGTGTGTGTGTGTATATATATATATACGTTTGTAGGTTATGTTATGTCTAACAAATATCGACCGGTCAAGTACGATATATTTTTTCAGTGCTATATCGCTCACTGAATACTCGGTGAGCTTTCGGTTCCGATCGATTTGTGCTTTTCGATCCTGATGAAATCTGAAAGCATGCAGCGACTAGATTTCAGAGGACAAGGATTCATCGAGCGGTTGAGAATTGTAGCCAATTAACGAATGCACGCGGATTAGCTCTGAAATCGAAATCCGAGATCGAGATACCGTTCGGCGCGTTCGACGAGCGATTTTCACTCGCGCAGATCCTCGACTCGTCGGAGGATAGTCGAAAATTGTACCTTTCGTGCGTTTTATTTTCACACNAAAAAAAAAAAAAAAAAAAAGACGTTTCTCTCTCTCACGCGCGCTCGAGAGTCAATGACGGCGAAAAAAACCGAGTAAAAAGGCGAAGACACGCGAGTTCCGTTGCTGCGCGAATTTCCTCGAGTCGAGCCGCCTCCGAAATTGCATTCCCGGAAAATATAGATTTCTCCCGCGATTCGGCGGCAGAGGAGGTCAAGACGGATATCGCGATCGGCGGCTCCGAGAGAGGTCCTTCACCTCCCGCGGAGTAGCGCGAGATCCAGGTATAAATAGCGGATTCCCCGCCTCGTTTGCGCGCGACAAAACACGAAGAGGCGCGATCTCTCTCTCTCTCTCTCTCATTACATTCACCCATCTCTGTGTGTCTTTGTCTTTTTCTCACCGTTCACCCAGGCATTGGTCTGCTTGACCGCGACGTTGTCCTGAAAGCGCTTCATCGGCTTGGTGGAGATCTTCGAGTAGAGATTCGACATTGCCATCGTCGTCAACGCTCGCTCGGTGTGATGGTCGCTTTTTCTCGTCCCGTCCTAACTTGTCGTCGCGCGCGCGCGGCACACAGAACGGCAAGGACCTTGTGTCGCTGGCTATACCGCCATTTCCCCATACACGGGCGCTGGTTGAGGGGCGCCGCCGCTGACGCTGTCGCCGCCGCGTCGGTCGATAGACGTCGGCGACGAGGAGAAAGACGAAGAGACCGCGGAGGAAGGAGAGGGTACGTGTGCGGCTTCGGAAGCTGGTGGCGGCGCTCAGCCAACTGTCAGACGCACGCTCTGTTTAAATTAAGAATGTGTCGCCCGTAACTCGAAATAATTAAAAAAAACTACGAGAAAATTATGAATTGAGACACACATTGCGTTTGAAGGTGACGGCAAAAGTTTGACGGTATAATTCAGAGCCTGGATCAAAAGTTTTCACCTGAACCTTCGTCAGGATAGAATGATTTTATAATATAAACGGACAGGAGAGCTTCAGAGGCTGTCAGTACAGAATAACTGAAACTAATGATTCTAAAATATTTTGCCTCTTTTAATTAATAATAATAATAATAATATCGGTTTTGTAACGTCTTTCCGACATCGTCCGATCCTCACATGCATAAACCTCACCTCTTTTAATTCAGTTTATTTATTTAGTAAAATAGTAACGTTAATAGAAATGATAGGCTGTTTACTGTTACATTCATTTATTGAATTAATTATATATTATATTACTAATAAAAAAGCCTCCGAGGCTTTTCTATACGGATGAAATCAGTTTGATAAGAATTTGATGGAACTTGCACTGCGTATGCATTGAAATATTATCTAACTCATTGCTCGTGCAATTAGAAAAAGTTTGATCATTCGAGAGCTGAGATATTTACTAACTAAAGTTGACACTTTTTATATGCGTTCTTTTCCGTGCAGCACAAATTGATTGGTTAACCATTGCTCAATGTTGACCAAACGATTAGCCAGCCAATTTATGCTGCATAAGTTGAAATTAACGTGCTATTTTTAATTTGCAAATTATGATACCTGAATGTTTTCTATATTAAAAGTAAAATTTTAATGAGAAACTACTATTGAATATTGAAGAATATTGATATTGAAGATTAATATCTAGACATTATATATATAAATTTAAAAATGATTGACCACTTTGTTTTGAAAATACAGTGGTTTAAAATTCACAACTTATAGTAATACTTATAGTAATATATGTAATATATGTACAAATGCACATATTCAAACACATATACTTTTTTCTATTATCTGTGCATCTCTATTAGATTATTTGATGTATGAGTATAGCATTAATAAGAAAAATAAAAAATGAAAAAATTTTTGTATTTATAATATCGTGTATCTATGTTTACCATAACTTCGTCTCAAATTAACATTTATTATTTAAGTAATGAAATTAATTCAAAAGAACGTAATTTTGTTCTGACAATTATTAAATTTATGAGTGGCCCCCCTTGATGTGCTACTGAAAATACGATACTGAGCTTTACAATCTCTTTAATTTAATGACTTTTCTTCAGGAGGTTTCGCAAGCCAAGTTTCGAGACACTCGGCGGCTAAGAACGGCCGTCGCGCACTTGTATTCGTTTATTCATTTATTTCTGAGAAAGCAGTGCTGTTGCAAGCGTGCGATGGTGCGCGTTCTTAACAACCCAGTGTTTCGAAATTTGGTTTACGAACCCTTCTGAAGGAAAGGGTACAGGGATGTAGGGGAAGTAAAAGAATGCCTCTGTCAAAGGCGATAATTACTACTCAACATTTGTATTTTCTGGACGCGCCTCTTTAAGCGTCGATGGCGCGTAACGCGGGCGCACGGAAATTTAAATAATGCTGCGCGAAAGCTAAACTAGCGAATGCGCGCGAAACTTCGAACTCGTGTCTGCAAGGGACCGTGAATTTCGTATCCCTCGTAACACAAATTTCTGTTTGTGTTTCACGCAGATCCTTGCTTGTACATCATAAGATTCGCGAATAAGCTCGACTTCGGTGATAAAACTCATGAAGTATCCACGACAGCTCTGAGAGTGGTTAAGAGAATGAAAAGGGATAGTATTCACAGTGGCCGTAGGCCATCAGGCCTCTGTGGCGCGGGTAAGAAAGTTTCATCCAATCTCGATCATTTTCCCTTTTTTTTCGTTTTTAATGGTACAATTTTATCGTGACTGTTTTCTTTTTCACACAGCTCTACTGATAGCCGCGCGACTGCACGAATTCAGTAGATCACCCGCTGACATCATAAAAATTGTTAAAGTTCATGAATCTACCTTACGTAAAAGGTAAAACTCGAATGTCTGAGAGACAACCGTTTGCTACTTTCGTAGAACATAAGCGTACATGATAATAATAGATATTTGCTGTAGATTGATCGAATTTGGCGACACACCATCCAGTGCCCTGACATTGGACGAGTTTATGACAGTGGATCTGGAAGAGGAGCAAGATCCGCCAGCATTTAAAGCGGCGCGTAAGAAGGATAGAGAACGTCTACAGAAAGTATGTATTTATTCCTTAAATCACGGATCATTACTTGACAATTTCAATCAGAACTTTAAGGTATTTTTCTACAATCTTTTGGCGCCTGAAAAAACTCACCAATAAGTGTTTGACTTTCAGCTGCAGAATATAGATGCAGAGATAAATGAACTGCAAGCAGAAATTGACAGACAGTTGGAAGAGTACAGGACGGGGAAAGTGAAGAAACGAAAAGATAACGGTAAAAATGAGAAAAACATTCTTGTAGCGTATATTATTCAATAAAATAGATAAATTGGACAATGGGTGTGTGCGTGTGATCAATACGAGAAGAAACGCGTATTTATTTAAATAATATAAGCCAATTTACTTAAATATATAACAGCTGCGATGTTTTATAGTATATTTCTTTTTTCACAAGCATTCGGTGACATGGAGAGGGAAGATGCGGATAGATTTATCCGTGAAAGCAACTTTGATATAATCAACAAGTATGTTCAGAGTAACATCGATGATCCTGATGAAATTCAAGATTCCATAATGGAAAATAAATGCTCGGATATTACCGGACTTGGTGAATATATTTTTTCTTTTAAATTAAATTATTCGTTTTTCTATCAAATATACGGACCCACGAATTGGTAATTTCATGTATACAGGTCCGGACTTGGCGACGATGGGGCTAATTCCCACGAATAATTCTGCGAATGAGACCAAAGAAAAGTTAAATAATAATGAAGATGTAAATATAATGTATATTATATTTTGTATTTGTAACATTAGAGAAAATAGCGTTGTTAAAATAACTGAAAATTACCTCTCTTGCTAGAACTGTGAGGAAATCTGTATAGATGACATAGACGACGAGGAATTGGACAGCTATATCCTTTCGGAAAAGGAATCGAAATATAAATCTGCTCTTTGGAATAAAGTAAATGCTGATTATCTCGTTAAAGAAAAGGAAAAAGAAGAGAAACGTTTAAAAGAGAAGGAAGAGGGTAAACCCGAAAAGAAAAAAAGAAAGACAACCAAGAAAAATAGACAGCCCGCGAATACCCCTGGTAAGTTTATTATTGTTTCTCATTACGTATTGATTCGTACAATTATTGTCATGTGTCACTCACTGTCTTTTTATTTTTTTTATTCTCAGACGAAGCAATACAAAACTTGTTGCACGACAAAAAGATATCTTCCAAAATTAATTACGAAGCGCTGAAGGCACTAAACAATACTATAAGTCCTTCTAACAATCAGCAAGAAAGCAGTCAAGAATTAGCTGTTAATAACACGTTGGAATCGGACGATTCGAGGACTTTTAATAAGCCGTAAGTACACATTGCGATTGCAGCCAAATCGACTGATTAGACATGATAACAATTATTCTGTATATTTAGGGCGTCGATCTATTCTTCGTTAAAGTCTGAGAATGCAACAGTTTTGTTATCAAGAAAATCTACGTCCATTAAACCAAACACTCGACAGCCAAAGAAAGCGAACGAAATATCGCAACGGGAAAAGAATGAAGAAACTGTGGAGAAGGAAAGCACTCCAATTCAGGAGAATTCAATAGATGTATCCGCGATGGATACGTCTGAAATTGGTGCGTGATCTTCTTTCCTATTTCTATAGAATTTCCTTGCTTTATTATTCAATTCGGAAATGATACAGCGTACATGACTGTACGTATCATTATTCCCTTAATTCCCAGTGGAACATAGGGACTTCTCTCTTCTCTTTACATATGCATGTGGTGCGCACCCAGATTGTAACACATGCATATGGGACCTACACAGTTTAACGCCGGTTCCGAACGGCAGTTAGAGAGAAGTTTTTTTCTTGACATGTAGTTAACTCTTGGTAGTTTTTGCCAGACCACCGAAGAGGAGCTACGAGCGTATGAAAATTTTTCTTGGTTCTGCCGGGGAGCGAACCCGGGACCTCTACTAGCATAATAGACTAGTGCGCTGTCTACCATACCACGCTCACTTTATTGCACATACTTATATTTATATCTGTTATTATTAAGAATATTTCGTTAACATATCTTATTTTCATGGATTTCTTTCAACTTATAGTTGATGAAAATGACGACTATCTCGATGAAGAAGCGGATGCCACGGAGATGTCCGTTGGACAGATGCTCGGACGTCATGGAACATCTGAAGGTGAAGATGAAGATGGAGTTGGCTATGGATACGATGAAGATGAAGACTACTAAATTTTTTAGACGCTAATTTAATTCAATTATTTATTAGTATAATTACTAGGAGCAAAAGCGTAGAAAGATGATATGTAACACGATTTATAGCTTTTTTATGATCACCGCATGATAATTTTATTTTTCATAATAGAAAGGAGAAAATAAGTTAGTAGAACATTTATTTTTTTCACTTCTCTTCATCGTATATATTCATTTTCATTATTTGTAACGAGTTAGCGAGCAATTTATAAATTTTTGTAAAAAAATAGAGAAAGTTAAAGAGAATTGATTTGTCTTCATGACAATTACCCAGATAACATAATGTCTAAAATCGGGACATAAGACATTTTTCAGACGTCTTATGCGCCGATTTTAAACATTGTATGCCTGGATTATTATCTTTGTGATATTAATTATGTTTATTTTTTCACGATTTATGTTTTATCGTCATTATGTCTTACTAATATATAATCATTACTGCTAACATCATTATGTGCTCTTTATGCGATTTTTGTATCAGTCATTTTTCTAACGTTACCACATAACACATATTAAAGCCAGCACGTTATACAATTTCCCGAAACTTAAAAGAGGAATAATTCGTGCATGCATCGACAAATTGTATTGCAAAATAGAAACAATCATTGATTGAACCTATTGTTTCATCAGTCTTTGTCTTCTCTGGATATTCCCATTGCGGCATTATCCCTCGTATCCTCGATCCCCAGAGTCCTATCGAATGATTATTCCCGTAGAAAAACCATATTGTTACAAATATTATGCACGCTCGCGCGTGCATCCATCCTTCAACTCATCGTGGGATTTGTCGCGTGTATTGACTGCGAATACTCTTATCACGGCAATGTAAATAGCAATGCGTATTAGTTCCATCTTTGTGATAGCAAACGCTTTATTTCCTCGGCGATCAATAGAACAATAGAATGCTAAATGGGTGTAAGCGATGATAAAATCACAGGGCCGAGTATGTATATATATATAGTGTATACATTGCTGAGCATACCCGCACAGTTATCTGACTATTCAACGACGACGAACGTAATTTCGTCGTTGTAATATACTGGAGCGAATATTTCTGCCAGTCACGAATCGCTTGTAACACATTCGAATTTTGAGATCATCACGCGAGTGTAATGCGATGGACTCGAAGAGGAAGCATCTTCTGCCTTCTACAGGGCAAACCCTCGAAAAGATTTCACGTTTTTGCGGCATCAATCTGTCGAGTTACTTGGGCAGATTGTACAATATTGTGCTTGTGGCGTTTTTTTGTTTTCTGACCCATTTGACTTGGAGTGATGTTTGCATGCAGAAATGCTCGCAACACATTATTAAGAGGATCTTGGTGACGTCGTTTTATGTTCTATACACGCTCTTAACGTTGACGCTGCGGATTACATCTCTATTTCGTCCAAAGCAATTCACTTTCCCCTACCAGGAAATGTTGATCGTAGACTCTATACTTGAGTAAGTTTCTCTCTCATTCATTCGGGTAATTAACCTTTATGTACATATCTGTACCTTGGAAGATAAATATAGTGTGCTCATTTCTTTAGCTTTTGTTATAGAAACATTAGATTTGTTGGAGCGTACACTATATAATTACATTTATTAACTGAAATATTTTTTGTAAATTGATGGATTACATTTGTGATTGATATCGGCTTTTAAAGTGTCCACGCGCAAGTGAAATTTTTCTATAACTTAGAAACGGGGAAATGAACATTAGCTTTGTTTCTTCTAAGACACATCTGTGTATATCTAGTAATATCTAATTACTTTTTATTTTATTGTCCGAATATAACAAGTGACTTTTGCATTTATCGTATTTACTTTTCGACGTTTCAGATCGTACGGTGCGCAATTCTCGAACAAGGATATCTTCATCGCGAAAAACTTGCAGGATGGCGTGATAATATCATATTGGTTTCTTATAGTGATACTTTTTTCTCAAGCTGCAATTGTACATAAATCGATTTACATAATGTGGTATACTTTTCGTGCCATATACCTTTGTGTCTCTATGTTACTTACGTTTGGGTTGTTCTCTCACTACGTGAACGATATATACCTGAGATTTCGTGAGTTGAACAAGATCGCGATGCGACACTCGGAAGAGAAATTGACGGTTTCTTATATTGAATTTACAACGGCAGGCGTTTACGATAAACACGACGGCCTCGTCAATAGCAAGATTCGCTCGATTCAGCATATTCATCATACGTTGTTCGTTTTAGCAAAGAAGGTATTTATGTATTACCTGTAATTCCCCAGCAAACGAGATACATTAAATCAATTTTTTTGAAATATTGATTTTATGTGGTTTTTGTAAACATGTCGACATAATATTTTATAAATGTTTTTAATCTATTGCTTCGCAATATTCCTAAATATCAAGATCATAGTGTAGAAATATTACTTTTAATGTTTGGGTCAAGTATTGTTGATATAACATTGTATACAGCGTCATGAGTTACATATTTGAAAAACGTTACATGTTATAAAATATCATTGTAATGACATTGTGTTAATGATTTCTTGTTTACTGGTTTATGTATTATCGATTATTTCGTGAAACTAGATAAGCCGTAATTTAATATATAATTACGTAAAATCATTTTTTATGATCAACTTTATTGATTTCTTATTATTATCTAAGATTTCTCACTGAAATTTTTCGATCAATTTTTTACCAACAGGTAAATGGCAATTTTAATTTGCCGATTCTGCTAGGTAGCGCTATACTCTTGAACGGAATAATTCTTTACTTATACGATATTTATAATCACATAAAATTGCGCGATATTGGCGCTGAAGAAGTCGTCTTTCAAATAATCTTCCTATTTTGGACCTCTCTTGTATCTATATATATTAGTTACACTTGTCAGCGATCGAGAAATGAGGTTGAGTATTAAAATGCATGCATGCGTGCATGTGTGTGTATGTATCTAGAAATATACGCGGCAATCCTAATCTTATTATATATTTAGTCTAGGCGAATGACAAAGATTTTGCATGATGTTTTCCTGAAACACAAGTCTCTGCGGTCCGAGGTGACAAAAATTTTGCTTACATGAGAAATTCCAGGAAAAAGGATCATATGTGAAATTTTCCCATATATGATTATGTCATATCATATATGTCCACAACGAAAAAATACTGATGTTTACAAATTATATTCAAATATAATCGAAATAAATACTTCTGGCTACTTGTGTTTCTGACAGTACATAATATCAACACATAATTAAATGACTTTTATGCAACATCATTTTTCCCGCAGAGACACATACGATCATATATGTGACCACGTATATGAGTAAAATTCATATATGATTTTATATAGTTATATATAATCATAATGTATATAATTAAATATAATCATTTTTTCCTGCGAATTTTAGCTACATCAAGAAACATTTTTAAAACTGTTACTATTTTATATAAATTCCATTATTTAGGTAGTATATTTTTCCCTTCAACTGGTTCATGAAGACTTAGTATTCACAGGTTGTGGGTTGTTCGAATACAACATGTCCCTTGTATGTTCCGTAAGTTAAATCCTGCTTTTAATATTATATGATATATGATGCACAATCTAGTCCAATAGAATTACCTTATTATAGATTGCTGGAGCGATACTGACATACGTCGTCATGTTTGTTCAATTAGATACCATTGCGAAATTTCTTATCGTAAGTAATGCGTCGAGTTATGTTGAGAATAATTCTACAGAGTATGTTACGACTAGTGCTGCATAATTTTTATGGCATTAATTATACGTTTCACAGGGTTTACATATCTAATTGTGAACCACGATAATCAATAACATTTTGTAAATATTTTTAACAGAGAATTTTCTGTGTGATATGGGTTGCGTTTCCACTGATTGTTCAACATAATCGATATTATAGTTTCCTGTAATGTAATGTACCTTCTAACGGAAGTATAATAATTTGCAATTTGTATTTTCAGTACTTGCGAGTTATTGTCGATAGATAGTATCTCTGTAATTAAAACTAATATACGTAGACTGTATTTCGTCGCGGCCCTGACGGAAATATTTTGCTGAAAGCGATCAGTATTATAAAATCACGTTGTCCTGAAACAAGACTCCTTCTTCTTTTCCTTCTTCTCTTGCCGATATAAGGCCTTTTCCCCTCCAGTATGTCATTGACACGAATCAGTTGCTGCTGATAACTCTTAGCAGTCACCGTTTCTCCACTGCTTCGTTAGGTTAGATTAGTAAAACTGTCAATTATTACAATACGTTTTAGTATTGTATAGTATAAAGCCTATAAATGGTGCCTCAATATGACTATATGACGGAAAAGATATATGAATTTGAATAGGTACTGTTATTGAAGTTAGGGGCCGAGAATTAAGTTGTACGCCTAATAAACAAGACAAAATTAAGTAAGATGGCTTTATTTTTATTTATAATGTGTTGCAATTCGACAAAGCATATATATATATATATATGCTTATATATATATATATATATATAAATAAGAAAATAGTAAAATTTAAATTAAATGATATTTAAAGTATGCCATAAATGTTTACAATACAAATTTCTTTAGTTCATACATTTTACGGCTGTTATACTATGTGAATATATTTTTTAAATATTTTTATTATTCGATTCTAAATAGAGGCGAAACACGCACATATGGTTTACAGAAATTGGCTAATGGAATGCAAAAATGGCACACGCGAATTATTACTTTCGACTACGCTGCCAACACGTTTTTTATGATACAACTCATTAATTTTATTTACACCTTATTGAAAGCGGCGATATCAACGCTTTGCACATAATCTTCGATTTCTTGTATTTTCTCCGTTAGCCAGTCAACCGATACTTTGTCGTCCTCCACGACACACGAAATCTGTAACTTGTGAATTCCGAAGGCAAGTGGTACAAGTTTAGCTGCAGAAAAGGAAGACGCGTTAACATATTATTCGTGCCTGTAGAAAACGTCAGGAAACAATCACAAAAACTCACATGCACCCCAAAACAAACCGTCGGTCTCAATCTTTCGCACTTCATTTTCCATTTCTTTCATCTCCGTTTCGTCGTCCCACGGTTTTACGTCAAGGATAATATTCGATTTAGCTATTAAAGCTGGTTCTACAACATAAGAATCGGTTAGTGATAATATATCCTAAAAATTCAGCAACCTGATAAATGTCTGTTACTCAATGCACGAATGCGTCACGTACTTTTGGATTTCTTTGCAGCATACGCAGCGAGTCGCTCTTCCCTAATCTTAGCAGCCTCTTCATCATCTGCCTATCGAGTCGAATACAATAAAAATTTTCATCGAAAGAATCAAGATTAATAACAGATGAATTAGTAATTCATAATGAGATGCCCGTATATATTAGATTTATATAAGTTTGGCCAAATTTATAACGAATGAATCATTATTATGGGAATATCTGGTGTATGCCAAATTATAAAAATTACACAACTGTGTGTAAATTCGCGCGTTCTGACAGTCATATATGTCAATGTGTATCAAGTGTTCGGTTCTTGTGTGTCATGCGAAGTTAAACTTAAACGTTTGCGCGGTAAATAAAAGAACTAATTGGCGTTTGTTTCTATTATCTCCGTTCACTTGCCTCTGAGTCTGAACCAAATAAATCAACTTCGTCATCTTCATTTTTCTCTGGTTGTTGTTCGACTTGTTCTCCGACGCTCTCAGGTCTCGCAGGACAAATCGCTATGTAAGGGATGCGTTGTTCAAGACTTGTCACACGTTTCTCCAATTTATCCAGTATAGCCTCTAGATCTTGAACGACTATATAGAAAAACAATTTCAAGTAATGATCATACATTTTCTCTCTTTCATATTTGTTACGTTTAATCTTTATACTATTGTGATCAAAAGTATCAAAATTGATTCATTTAAACTACGCGTTTCGAACATATTGAAGAAACATTTTTTTTACATTGGTAGGGTTGTTTTTAATCTCTGTCTAAAATTTCATGTCATAACCTTCCTTAGTTTACAAATAAGATTTCGAGATAGTCCTCGTACAAAGATACGTAGCGCTCGCGTGGTGCACAGCGGGATCGCGATTATATAGGTCGATGGTAGGTTTGGAGACAGAGCTTATAGCGCGACGGCCAGGGCACACGTGGTTTAGCGGGCTCGCGATAATAAGCGTAGTAATGGCGCGCTGACAATTCGGCGATCCGTCGAGTATTTTTAAAATGCATATCTGTTAAAAGTGATTCTGTACCTTGCTAAAAGTGGTTTTATAATCTGCTGTAAGTGGATAAAACACTAGATTGAAAAGTTTCCGACCTGATCAAGAAAGAGCAAGAGTTCAGTGAAATTTCAATATTTATTCAATAGAAAAAAAAAAGAAGAATAGAAAAAAAAAACAAAAAGAACTAAGTTTGATGTCATTCTAGCGATTTGTTTTAAATAGCCTTTTGTGTGACAGTTTGCCAATAATGGAGAAAATGGAATATAGCGCCGTGATAAAATTCCTTCATTTGAAAGGGAAAATTCTTATGGAAAATTCCTACGGAAAGCTGAATTAGATTCAGTGTATGGAGACCGATAGCGTGACCGATCGCAGTCAGCGATCAATTTGCTTACTGGAGACAGGTTTAATTGACTGGGATAATTGTACTATAACTAGTATAATATACGTACCGTCTTGTAGTTCTTTATTATGTTTCTCGATATTTGCTATGCGTGGCGTAACGTCTTGATGTGACATATCAGTAAGCGCTATAACATCGTCCATCTGAAAAAAATATAGAATTTTATTATATATATATATATATGTGTATACAGGGTTTACTTGTAGTGTTTCGGAAAACTCTCGAGATAAGCTACAAGAATGGAATGAAAAATAGGGAATTCCATTTAAGAAATTGAAGATAACTTTCACGTATCCAAGGTCAAATCATCCCCACCATTATGTCCCTTTTGAAACCATAAAACTTTTGTTCAAAACATTTTTTTCTTATATGCTTTTCTAAAGAGATAATACAGTGGAAACTTTAAAATAGGAAACCCTGTATATATGTATGTATATAAATTTATCTTAACAAAATATAATTAAGTTTAAGATACTTTTAGTAAAAGAAATTTGAACGATATATCATAATTATTCGTTCAATTATTAAACTTTTAGAATGCAAACAAAACCTATAGGCGTTTGAGACAAATCTTTACCGTATGTGAACAATACGTAAAGGTATTCGATATTCAACACTAATTGTGTACGAGCAATCTTAGGCGTGTTCATTTATTAACATCGTAAAGGTCTTGGCCAAATGGTTCAAATATAACTTCAAAATAATGTTTATGTTATAAATTTTTGTCGTAAGTAAGAACAACAAAATCGGATATCGGCGTCTGGATATTTTTATAAGTGTGCTGAATCGATCGCAAGTGTTATTTTGGCCGTATATTCTTTTATATCGTCACCTAAATTGACATGATTTTCTTCGTTTCTTACGTCATCAAAGAACAACAGCCAAAGTGAATATCAAGAAACCTTAAATAATCATGATTTCTTTACTTTTTATTATTCTGATCTGTGATTGTACGGCAATAAAGTTGAAAGATAATTCTAACAAAAAAATATAACTAGTGCGCGTTCGAAAAACATCTTTTTGTATTACTGAAAAAAGGAGTACTTTGAAATGTCGAAATAGATATTTTTATGGGAAAAACATATTTTCGTTATGAAAGTATCAAAAAATAATTTATTGTTTACTTGCAAAATGGTAACACGTATTATTTAAGAAAACAATAAATTATTTGGGATAACGCTTTGCAAGGCACATTCATGTAGGCTACACTCCTACTGTAACACTGAAGTTTATTATTTTCAAAGAAAATTGCATAATATCACAATGCTTACTTATGTTTACACACAAATTTTCAGTAAAAAAAAATCAATTCACTTGTGGCATCAAATTATATATCGACCGCATACTATATGTCTGACTGCGTCAAATTTGAATGGCTCCCAAATATACATTCATTATTTTATTAGATCCGCGCTACGTTTAACGGACAGAGTGATTCTTTAACAATTTTTCGAGCGTGAGAAGAACTTATAAATGCAATTTTCCCCGTTATAACTCCTCAAACATAACTCACGGCATCTATCTGACTCGTAAAACAGTCGAAGTATTAAACAATCAGTAAGCTTAGGATATATCTTTTCATGCGTCCATTATAGAGCTTATCCCATTATATCGCGCGCACTAATTCGCCATCTTCTTTAATTAATATATTATTAATTATTGGAGTTGTTTATAAAATAGTAAAGGATTTTTTTGTTTAATTTGATCCAATCTACATGCTTACGAACATTGTTTTAACCCTTTGCACTCGAAGTTTTTTTTCATTCATATTACCAGCAACTCGAAGCAATTTCAGTGGAAAGATCATATTCATATATAAGTAAATGATATGCACATTAAAAGAAAAGTCATTGTTGTATGTTATTGTTTTTTTAATTTTGTTAATTTGTTAATAGTTGTTAATAGTTTGTTTTGAGTTTGAAGACAAATTTTAAATGGTTCTGCTCCGGAGCCCTTAAGTGCAAAGGGTTAACTTATTTTCAGACACTGCACGTAAGTATATTGTCAAGTATAAGACATGATATTTTAATATTATTAAATATTTGTCGACAAATGGGGGAACCTTTTTCATTCAGTTTGCAACATCAGTTTTATGTTCTAAAATGTTCAAGAAGCAATGAAAAAGACAATACGGAAATGGGTCTATACTATTACAATATAAACATTATATTAGTAAGCAGATGAAAATTATGTAAGGGGTGAGCAACGAGTGCAGTACTCACACACTGTAAAGACTGTTTAATATGCTGTCGAGCCTTGGCGACCTCGTTGGCCAAACTTCCAACAACAGGAGGTAAGATTGCGCAATTGGACTGTTGAGTTCCCTGCATCCACCGATATTAAAGATAAACTCACACCAGATTGATTACTTAAAATATCCTCGTGTCATATCTCCATTCTGAGACTTGCATTTAAAAAAGTAACAGAATAAAATATAAATTAAAAATATAGATATATACGTAATATCCTACTTTTTACCCAACATATTTGAATATCCCTTAAATATGAGATCCTGTTTTTTCAGAGTTGTATAGTTGCGAGGGAAACATATTTTAATAAAAACATTTTAATCTTGAACTGCTACATTAAGGTCACGTCAAGATTACTTTAAATTTTGCAAATAGGATAATATAGGTTTTTTTTTTACATAAATCAAATTCTCAAGTTATTTTGCCTCCTGAAATAAGATTATGAAAAAGTAAATACTTTCTGAGATATTTTACATTTTATCCTGATATTTTTCAATATAAAATATGAAATATATATTTCGTAAAATATCTTCAATATTAAAAATCTTCAAAAGCCGAATTGAATTATATTAATAATTAACACACACACATATATATATATATATATACGTGCATGCATACACGCACACATGTATATAATCAGATAATACAACAATAAATGCTTCTATTTTGTAACAAAATCTTTTTGCATAGTCTTATCACCAAAAATCATACACATACCATACATATTAACTTTCACAAGAAATATAAGTTAAAACTCAACAATGTTAATTGTGATGTAGCATATAATTTTCAGTATAAAGAACTTGTCAAGCTATCTTAGGTGGAGATAGACATTGAGGATATTACAGCAGAAATATCAAGTACTACAAAAATCAATAATCGAGCAAGTACAAGAATGACAAAGATAAATACGATCTCATTAGCGCATGTATTTTTATGGGAGAAACGTGCAGTGTAATCGTTTGATTATTAATTGTTGGATAATGTTCGATTACATTCCTCGTTACATGCAAAAACGCTAAATATTGTCTACAAATAAAAGAAGCAAAAATTGCTCAAGATACTTTTAACACGTAATTTAGCAGCAATGATCTATATATATCACGTTTGCATATCCATAACCAAGAATATTATCCAGTATCTCGCAAAAACATAACTATAATATAATATAACATAAATCGCATATAATTATAAATTAATCCCATATTATTTTCGGCATGCAATATCTTCGGTCGGTGTTAAATAATGGCATAAAATTGGAAAAAAGAAACAAATGCCATTCTTCCGATTCGAGAATGTAATAGGCGTGTTTTTCTAGAATAATGTGAAAAAAAATATTATAAAATGAATGCATCAAATCGCATAAGTAAAATTGTCGATACACACTAAACGGGAACCCAAAGATTTGTATCGCAGCATATACCTGCTCAGGCAATTGTTCTTTATTCCTCGCGAATGGCATTGAAGTTTCTTTATTTCCACCAATATCATTTCCTCCGTTTTCTCTGCTCTTGTTTTTCGTATCTTCCTTGTTCTTTTTCTCCTTAGCCTCCTTCGCGTTATATTTCTTGGAGTTCCCGTTTGGAGAAATACTCTCCTTCTCTTTCACGTTATCTTTCGCGCTATTGGATTTCTCATTCGCCATTAAATTTTGCTTGTTTTGCATGTTACATACGTCCACGGCATCTTTATTAGTTTTTGTATTTCTAGCTTGGCATTTGGAACGTTTCGCATTCTCATTCGTTTCGTTCTCGAAAGCTAGCGATTTGTTGTCCTTAGATTTCTCGGCCTTAGACTTGAGAGTGTTAGTACTTATTAAATCTTGGTATTTATCGGTTACAAGATTGTCACATTTAAGCGTGCAGCCTCCCGCAACCTTACGAGACACCACCTTAAAACATGTTCCAAGCTATGCAAATATAGATTAATATAGTTCAAATAATGCAACAAGCAAAAATAAAATGGATTCTCTTATGCAATTAATGTGTTGTGAGGCATCTACTAAAAGCATACGGTCTATAACTAAATATCTTNTATATAAAGGTACTACATTTATGTATAGTTTAATACGATTTTAATCATTATCAAGACAAAGAAGTATGGAAGAAACGCGAAACCACATTAATAGTCAAACTGTTTTATCGATTATCAGAGATTTTAAAGATCTTAACTTAGGTAAAGTCCAAATATTGAATCCAGGTAAAAGATTCAACTTTTCCTCTATTATGTATATAATTTGGCTCAATATTTTTTAAAAGCACAGCTCGAGCAAACGGCAAATGCTATTTTGTTATCACCAGATATTCCCGCATAGGTGTGTCAGAGATGTTAGTAAGTTTCACACAGTAGAATACAAATGCGATGCAAGAACAAAAAATGATAAATGCACGTTAGCTATGGCCGCTTTTTAGGGTCAAAACTAGTAGAATCCAAGATTTATTCACAAGTACACACTCTCAAAGAACATGAGCGAAAAACGGTCACCCTTGATGTTATTTAAAATTCACAGTTACTGAAGATAGTTTTACCAAGAGAGGTCTGTGTACAATTAAAAATCTTTACTCTACTCCACTTTCTGCCAACTTCCTGCCAGTTCTCCCTTTTCATTTTTTGTTTTCTTCGTTTAATTGAGCAACAGGTGTTTCTTAATAACAACGACAATTCCTTACCTTGGCCATTTTCTCGAAATATTGTCGTTCTGCTTTATCGTAGGATGGCTTATCAAGCCAGATCTTCTCTTGAGCCAGCGCAGCAGTTACCACTGTAGCGGTCGCCATCTTTTTTATTGATTTATTTATTAAGCAAAAACGGTATCAATTTCTGTAAATAAGATAAATGAAACATCATTTTATGACTGCGATTCAATTTACGCTTACAGCGCTATAAGCGTAAATCGTACCACAGTCTAGGATACATGAATATCTATAGTCTGTTCTCTTTATAGCTGAACTGGCTGCACTAGTTCAGAAAAATTACACACATTGAAGCATGAAAATCTTGTACATACACTTCATATACTTCAATGTGTATGTAAATTTCTTGAACTAGTGCAAGTATTTCAACTATAAAGAAAAGACTATTACATTTCATTTATATGACATGAATTCAGATAACCAAATTGTAGAAAAAAAGTTTCGCATAGAGTCTATAAATTTGTATTAGCGGTTTGCTATTAGAAATATAAGAATCTGCTAACAATATGACAAGTTGATAACAGAAACAAGATCTACTATTCTGTAACTTTTTTATAAGATTAGGAATAATTTAACCCTTTGTACTCGAGGGCTCCGGAGCAGAGCCATTTAAAATTTGTCTTCAAACTCTTCAAATGCAAATAGCAAGAGCGGAATATCCTGTACACAATAGTTTTTACGATTTGTCTTTGTCCTTATGTTATGAACTGAAAGTTATTTGCATTATCTCCATAGCGGAGCCCTCGAGTTTGAAGACAAATTTTAAATGGCTCCGCTCCGGAGCCCTCAAGGGCAAAGGGTTAAACATTGTGGAAGTAAATATGTAATCTATGAAGACCTGATACTTTATTTTTGAAAATTTAACTTTAAAAATATAACCAAATAAATTGTTATTACAAACAAGATACTAATATGTTATTTTACTAAAAAGTTCATCTTCGAAAAATACTAAATTCATATAATCAACCTGGAAGACATCGATGAAATCATGGCTGTGCTCCGATATTCACTACTAGTATTGGAAATAGTTAACGTTACGTATATTATAGATTTTCAGTATTGACAGTGAATATCGAAACGTAGCCCATATGCACTTTGCACAAGGCTCCACCATATGCAGCATCGATCGACAAATTTCCTCTCACTCTCAAGGATTTATTTCGACATATTTATTATTAATCAACATATACCGGTCAATGCACTTGAGATCATGTGAAATTGCTATTAAATATTTTTGGACATACCAAGAGAATTATCCAGGTTTATTGAACGATTAGATTTCTGTGATGAATGTCCGCTAGCCAAATTCGTGTGCGCTGAAAGAAAATTTCACGGTGATGCTCAGTGTAGCCAACTCAATAGGAATCCTACTAAGTCTGTTGGTTTTTGATAAGCGATTGTAGGAAAATTATTTGTACCGTAGTATATAGAAAATCGAGGAGTTTTTGATCTCTGTGATCGTAGGAAAACGAAAAATATCCTACCAATCGATTAAGTAAAGCGAAGAGCACAGATTTTATAATAAAACATAACGTATAAGGGATAAAGAAATGAACCAATGAGAATTTATCATTTTTATCACTAAGATGGAAATAATGAACTCTGATTGGTTCATTCCCTGAATCAATTATTATCTCCACTAACGTGTAAAAAGTATACATATAATTATGCTAAGGTGCTATTCTGTGCTCGTCTAACACCAATTATCGGCTAGGGAATATGTCGCTGCACAGGTGTATGCGTGTAATTTAATCATATCAAAGTATATTATTTGACCTTTAAAGTAATTTTTTATATAGAATAAAATTTAGTAGAATTTGACATTCGCGCGTAGGATTTCATAGATCTCGTAGGAAAGTCTCGTCATAAATTGGCAACACTGGTGATGCTAAGTTAACTAAATTTCTTGCGCATGCGCTAATCTTCAAGTATAAGCCACGTTCCGAAATATGCTACCAGAGAACCTAGGGACGATATTCAGATGAAGGTCCATTTCAAGCTACAAACGCTTAAAAGTGCCATAGTCCCAGAGAGAATCTAGAGAGAGCGTGAACTGGACATTTCTTCTTTTTCTTATAGTTTCGATGATATTTGTTTCGAAAAAAAAAAAATACCGATTTTTTCCAAATGTACTTCACCCCCTAAAAGTATGTATACGCACGTATAAAGAAATATGTGTCCCTTATTTTGATCTAGGGTACAACATATTACAAGCTCATAAAAATCGGAGGGGGAACACTTTTGTCCGATTATTAGTAAGCTTAACATAAACGACTACGTAAATTGTTGGAAGTTGATTATGACCCACTTGGAATGTTCGGAAACAGCGAACACAAATCTTCACGAAGTTTTTCGCCAGCAGTCAGTATGCATGCATAGAAAAAAAAAAATTGTCGGCGATTGAATCATTCATCCACTTCGAACCGCGTTCGACATTTAACCTTAATGATCGGACAGTAATTAGTGAGTCCAACAGCTATGATGATATTTTTGTAACTTATATTTATGCAACGTATCCTTATGGTGTTAGAACAAAAATTTTGACTAGGGGAAAGCGTTCACAAAGTGAACAATTACATATCAAAATAGCGTGCGATCAACTTGTAGGAAGTTTTCAATTGATAAATGCATTGCAAAGCAGCAAACATTCAGAAAATAATCTTCTAGAATGGTCTGAATGCTTTAGTGAGCCATAATCAGCTTCTCCTCAACTCATTGAAAACTTCCTTGAACGCTTCATTTTCAACTGAGATATAAGTGGAAACACATGACTATTCCTTATTTAGCAAACAATAGAAATTTTCATACAAATTTTGCCACGTTCGCAACGTGTTATACATTTCGAGATACGAACGAAATCTATCGTAAATAATATATATATATATATATATTATTGTTGTAATATATATATATATATATATTCATCTTTTTATATTCATATTTCTATATATTTCTATTTATTACTTGATTTTGCTGTTTTCTCTCGTAAATCAAAAGCTTACGTCCCCAACCGTTGCTCTCAGTGACGACAACTTTACGAAAGTTGCAAAGTCTCGTTATAATATTTTCTATATGTTTCGCTAGATCGCCGGTGTACTTCAGTCCCTTTAACAACGGAAAGTCCTCCGACTTCGCTCTTTTTAATCGTCTCGATGCATTCCTGTAACATCTCCAGGGTTGCGGCTCAATAACGATCATTTCAGCGAGCGCGCAAGCTTTCCGCAGAAATTCTTCCAAACCATCGTCGCCGTGATTCAGGTGAATCCACATAGTGATCGAGAAGCAGAACACCACGTCGAATCGACTCTTATCAAGCTGATCTAAATATCTCGTTAGTGTCTCGCTACAATCCTTGGACAAAAAGTTCAGGCACTCGAAAGTCACACGATCCGGCCGCAAATTTCGCTCGCGCGCTCTTTCGATCAGAATCGGATCCAGGTCTACGCCGAATAAGGAAATTTCGGGCTGATCTTGGGACTTCATGATCTTCTCGAGGAAATCGTACAGAATGTACGTAAGATCCTGCAAAATTGAATCAATTATATACGCTATTAAACGGTTATATGTAGGACTCGTACTACTTGTGCTAAGCGATGACAAATTGCAAAGATGAATTTTAAGACGAATTTAAAATCAATTTTTTTTACTTGTTGACAACTCGACGAAACGTCATCGATGTTTCAGTCACCATTAAAAATTCTACATTGATTTTCTTGAGACGTGAAATGATATCGGAGACAAACGTCAAAGACCGGAAGCGGGTAACGGCGCGAGCAATACCTGAAAAGGGATAACTCGGCCAAAATTAGATTCGCCGCTTGTAGCTTCAGATTACGACCGAGTCACCCCGTTTCAGCCGCATCCCTGACAGCTGCCGCTCTTACCCCGGCATTGCAACCGACATCTAGACCCGCGTATTTCCGGGCCGGATGAGCGAGCCGCCACACGCCATGCGGAAGTTGCCGCATGCGTTCTTCCGCAGGATGGAATTGGTAATAATTCATGAAATTTCCGTGCCTACTAGCGCCCGGATTCGTTTTCGTGTCGTTATTTCTCTCGTCGTCGGTGTCCCGCGCGTCAGACATTCCTACGTTTGCCGGAAAATCTGAAAAACGAGCAAAAACGAGAACATCACACGCATGCGGTCGGAAGCAATTCCGAGCGGACGGACGCAATTTCGAATGTAATATAACGATAATATACTAATTTGATTCTTACTTGACAATATTAGAAATTGAAAAACTAATCAGTCCTATGCATATATTATTATTAAAGGATAGATAAACGTCGAGGCAATATTATTGTTGCATATACAGGATGTCTCATAGCCGAGAACAAACTTCGTGAAAATATAGAACGGATTGAGGTGAATAAAAAAAATTTCTACCATTTTGCAAACAACAAAGCAAAATTTCGAGTTATTGATTATTGAAAATAGCCATGTATAGAGACTTCTTTAATTAATAACTCAAAAATTTATGTGTTATCTGCAAAATGCTACAGGACTTTTTTGTTCAAAGTGACTTAATCTACAAATATATGACAACTGTTGTACTTAACGACAGGTTCGAGGTTCAAGGTTCAATATACTGATATCTTGTGACGATGTCGTCAATATGATGATATTGTTAAGTATAACAGCTGTCACAAATTTGAATGAAATGTTCATTCTTGCAATTTCGAATGACAGTAATTTCGCTATTGTTAAGAATGGAAATATTGCCATTTTTCATTCTTTTTAAATGAGATCCCACTCCAAGAAATTCAAGATGTGCGAAAATCAAATGTCTCGAATTAAGAACGGTAAGTATAGAAATATCGATGGTTCATCGTGGTCTCACGTCAGAAAAAGCTGAATAATCGAAAGTGGGGAATTCGTCACGGTCACAAGTGGGTGATATTACATGCCCTTATGCGCGCAATTGTTCAATGCATGCCGCTCGCGCACGACGAAGAACGTTAAGGTAGGTCAAGGGCATGTTACACCACATTGAGTCTCTCCGAAGATCTGGCTTCTCATCGAGAAGCGAAGATTGCAAGACGTGAGTTTTGAAGGATATCAACTGGACGATGCAACGAGTGCGGGTATTTCTCAAGATTTTCGTTTTACGCGTGTGATAGTCCCCCGAGAAGTTCAAAGTGGAACACCGTGTCATGAGTATTTCGCAGCTCGTTCATTTTACGCAAATTCTTACAAACGAATGTAAACAATTTAAATTAGAATATAAAAAGAATATAAAATTTAATCCTTTCAAGTTTATTTTTTATCTGAAATGACATCAATTTTTAAAGTAAAAATTAATTTCGTAATTGTGAGATAAAGGATTCAAAGTCACATCAGGATAAACAAATTTTCTATAATATTCTATCCAATATTTTAAGCAGGGACTTCATCCTAACGTGTAACACTTGATAAGCTCAATACGATATACAACCGCGTATCGCAGATCGAAGAGACCATGTATCGATATGATCAGCAGTAGCGTCTCTTGCGTTTGAATGCTTGCTATCTTTCATTAGTTTTAACGTTCCTTTTATCTTTTTTTATCTCCTTCGCGTGGGTTGCCATGTTACTTTCTCAAAAGAAAATGCAAGAAAGGTATCTTACCTCGACGATGACGCAATTTGTCTCGTGCCTGTCGTTGTGAATGGTGTTTGTCTTCTAATGCATTGAACCAGCTACTTCCAAACAGTAACCATCAGCATTATGCGAAATCGCGCACATGTTTATATTAGCAGCCTGCGTATACTGGATGGCTTTTCTCCCTTATTTCGATTTATCATCCGCTCAAATACAAGAAGTCTAGCAATCGATGCGAAAGAAATATCATTACTTACAGTCAGTTACAGAGATTGTTACACTTTTTTTTCGACGAGTTTCGCAACTCGTCTCGTATCGTAAATAGAGAAATGTATCTTCTCTGAGAATTACTAAAAAAAAAATAAATTTTTCTACCTAACACGAGAAATGTTCCGAAACTTATAAAAAATATGTCGCAACTTTGTGTAACTGATCACATAGGGCAGATTCTATCGAACGCTCACAACGATCGCGAGCATCGTTGTGTCTTTGTTTAACATCCACGAGAAACAAAGATAGAATAATGCTCGCGATCGTTGCGAGCGTTAAATGGAACGCACCCGTAGGAGATCCCATTTACGCGGCCCTGTTTCCTTAGCACAGTGATATCGAAATTTCTAATCAAACAAGTCCGAGTATTCGTACATCATGACTGTTGATGATTCGGTGAATCAGAACCGATACTCCAAAGCAGCAGCCATAACGATCAGATATCCTAGAATAACGCGCCTGATCAGATATGTCTAATGTCATCCTACATTTAAGGGACGGGACTGCGTTAATTAACGCATTAATGGATCCTCTGCATTCCCCTCCCCTATATTAAAGCGCGACGATCAAGCTAAAGCCCTATTCGCATCAAGCTGATATTCTATAACGCAACACTATATTCTGACGAAATACATAACCGTTGAAATCAATCGTGCGATTGTTCGTAGGTATTGCGTCAGCTGTATTAAGATCTCGTTAACACAATGGATCGCATTAAGGGAACATTGAGAAGCATAACACGTGCCAAGGTATGTACACTCGGCAATATTCGACAAGATTGAATCATACCGATACGCAAAAGAAAAGAATCCCACGAGAGCAGCCTCGCCGTAACTGTCGGCGCAACGGCCAGCAAGAGCAGTCGAAGGCGCGCGTCTGCGCCCGAGCGGCGCAGCGAACGCCACCAAGCGGCGGCGAGTCGGCGCTCGGGTTCAGTCGTTCAGCAGTTCACAGTTGTCAGCTGCACAATGGCACCGTTGGTCTGTGCTCGTTCGTCCTGCTGCCGCCGTCGTTTCTGAGCGGTGGGCCGGCCCAAACGTTGGACCGTCCGTCGCGCGGATACCTCGAGTCTCCTCTCGCGCGCGCTCTCTCTCTTTCTTCGTCCGATCTTCTTCGCTTATCGTATCCGGAGACGTCAAACTTGCGATCACATCCGGTCGAAGCAGCAACACCGCGTCGTGTTGTGACTAAGTGGTGACGAGTGAATTGAAGATTCCCGACCGCGACTCGACCCACCTCGATCGCGGTGCCGCCCGCGGACGTCCAATCGTCCATCAACCTACCCACCGATTCAGGAACGCACGGCGACAACGACGAAGGACAATTTGAAGGTAACTCTCTGCCGACCGAGATGTGCCGTATTGTGCAATGCCGAAGTTAGTCGACGCCGCTCTGCGAAGCGTCGCGGACGCGCCAAAGAAAGACGCCCGACGGGCGGCTGGTTGCTTGGGGAGAGTCCTCCGGATTTCCTGTCCGAATCTCATAGGAAACGCATTATTGATCGCGGGGTAACCGTTTTCATCGTGAAAATGTGACGATAACGCAGCTCGGAATGCTCGTGTGTACGCTGACATCGTTGATCGTCATCGTTTCTGCCTGCCGTGTGTGTACGTCGCGCGATTCCAGTGCAAAGTGCAGTGTTCATTATTGCGATGTCGATATATATCTACCGGTTGCGACAACTAATCCGACCTGATCGTGGTTTATTATTAATTTCCGCGCACGCGCATGCGCTAACGTGCGAGCGTGGAAACCGACGAAATCTCGTGACGACGATCATGAGTCCGCACGATTCCGATGACCGTACATATCTTGTCGCGTCGATAAGCGCGTTTTGCACCAAGTACCGCAATGCCATACGTCCGCAGCGACGATATTCGATGGATGCTGTTCATAGTCATCTTAAGATTTGCTTTTCTAGCCAATAGGTTGTGCGTTTTAGGCCGGGATTGCAGATTTTACCTTTAGAATGATACAAATGTACAATATATATATAGCGTTGAACTGAAGGGAAACGAAGTTCCAGTACAGTAGCACTAGTTCAGCTGAAACGAACAGGTTCGGTGAAGCGTACAGTATCTGAAGATGAATTTGAGAAGACCCGACAGTGAGTACCGCTCCGTGTCATCTGACGAAACTGACGTTGTGAAAGAGAAAAGAGACGGCCGGCGAAATGAAAATCGCGAGTGTAAGGAGGAGGAATCGTCCGTGAAAATCGTCGATTCGTTACGCCAATCTCGACAGCGCGTCGTCCGCGAACAAATTGATTACCGCTGCCGCGCGGACCGTTTTTCCCGCTCCGGGATGTCGATCGTTAATAGACGCGCGTGTCGAGCGTGCACGACGTCATGGTCTTTTTCGTGTGTTTCGTAACGATACCGCGGATCTGGATTATAATCCTTTTTCTGACAAAGCCTGCCGCAGATAGCGAAGGTCGCTGGAAATACATCCGCCGGGATAGTCTCGCTGGATTCGCGAGCGACGTGCGCTCCGCTCGAAACGATCTCACGTTGTTGAGCGTTCCGGAAACATTTTGGGGGAAGGGGGAGTAAGGAAGGGAATTTCTCAGCGAATCGGTGCTCGGTCGATTAATGCTTTGTTGATTTGTATCATTGGTTTCTTAGTTTCGAAGACCAGCTCAGGTGTATCGATTAAATTCGTTTCGTGCCGAAAACGTTTTCATTGCCCATTACACGCCGAAAAGAGACAAAACGATGCTTCCGACAACGTCCGAAACAAACTATAGCCATTGTATATACACGAGAATATCGCGCGGTGATTCCTCTCTCCCCTCCCCCTTTCCGTTATTTATTCCCACCGAGTCAGCACATATACCGTTTCACGGTGAATGAGTGTTTACGCTGAATGAGTGATTTGACGCAGGCACGGTGTGACCTCAGCGATTTTACATCCGGCGTCGCGCGTGGCTACACGAAAATAATCTCATTGTTGATGGCCGACAATGAGAAACACGCGCGCGGCCCGTCATGAGGTCGGCTCCGTCTCTCCTTATCTCTGATAGTCTGGAAATCGCGTCTCGCATCGAAATTACGTTTCCAATTTCGAACGGTTTAGTGATATGATCGCTTGACTTTGCAATTGGGATAGATTTTCGTGATAAGAGGCGTGCGAACAAAGTGGAATGGAATATGCGTACGACAGAGCCGGAGAGAGAGAGGGAGCGACGTCGAAACGGTATTGGGTAATTTATTTCGTGAGCTTGCGTCACATTTGTTGCGCGCTATTAATGCAAACTGACGCCCGCAATATCGCCGCGCGCACGACAACCACGCGGTGAAACTCCGCCATTTTGACCTTACCGAAGGATATCTGCAGTCGACAGTCGACGGCTCACGTATGCGTTTATGCCGGGGGTATATCGTGTGTAGTTTCGACACACACGCCGGTGACAACGATGACGACGAGCGCTGGTAACAGCGACGATGGCAGCAGCGTCGAACGCAACACTTTACTAATTCCGAGCTCATGATTTCGTCAGATACGCGTTTCATTGAGAGAACGCGGGACGCGAGGTGGGGAAGACCTCGACAGTGCCCCGGGTTTGCGCGCACCTGCCGGTTACATCGACTACCGACCGACTCGGCTGCGCTCCATCGTCGCCGGTCTCAGAGAGTATCTCTCGATTCTCCCGCGACGACAGTTTGATCGAGCGAGAATTTGTCGACGGAACGTTCGACGATTCAACATCCCTATCCTGATATCGATCGATTTTGTACAAAAGAAAATGCCGTCGGGAAAGCCATCGGGGAAGCCGTCGATGCGATGTAATTCGAGTGGCGGGGAAAACAACGGGCGAATACTGCGCAGTCCTCATTTTATGCACGAATTGTGTCGCTGCTTCGTTTTTTTTTACATATTGTTTCTTTTTTTCTTTTTTACGAGTGATAAATTTAGAAGCATTCTTTAACACACATTGAGGATTGCGTCACTTCGTCGTGCGTATCGCTACCACCTCTTTGGTTCTCCACTTGTATATATTCCCTATATATATTTTGTATATACCCCGTGAACACCAGAACATTACGACTATTTTCTTAAACGAGGTTTCTGAGTTTAATTTTAACAGTTAAATAATTTACAGCGTATGTTTTCTCAGACGGCATAAAGTTCAAAGTGCGGCATGTATAAACGAAGATAATTGATTAAATCATAAATATTCTATTTCAAGAGAGCATGGTTTGGAAGAAAATCGCTTTTTGATTCAATTATAGAATGGCCACCTTAACCCTCCGAGTGGCAACATATTTTTCATTGCCTTCGGAGTGAGTCATTTTTGTCTTCTCGATTTTTCTCCTCTTCGAAGGAGGGATTGTATGATGATAATACATACGTTAATATAGCTCAAGTTAATTTTATGCCGAAAATGAAAAAAGCTTAAGAATTGAATTTCTCTTTCTTATTTCAATATTGCGTTTAGAGTTATCAACCAAAGATAATATCTGCTTCGTACAAAAGTTCTGCAGTTACTCGAACTTCTGTAAGTTACTGCGAACTTTTGCAGATCGTTCTGCGAAGAAAGGAAAACTCAAGCCAGGATACAAATTGCGCTGTAAAATATTATTTAACTGTTAAAATCAAACTCCGAAATCTCGTTTAAAAAAATAGCGTGCCGGAAAATCCGGTGTCAATTTGCGAAATTACCGGTATAATAAATTGAAAAGGAACATCATATAATTTCGAAATCTATCATCAAAGACGCTGCTGCATTTTATTTTAATATGTCTGTATACATACTAACACTATGGAAAAATGGTTCTGACTATGATTCTTTCATTTATGTAATTGTAGTTACAAATACTAAACATTTTTTTCTCAGTGTTCCTTGTCACCAACTTTTTATCTTATTATCTTATTCAACCACAGAAACTGAGTTTTTTTCCGTGCGATAATTTGTTACACTCTTTAATTATTTATTTCCTCAAGTCAAAGTAAACGGGTGGGACGTGTGATTATTAGTTACGCTTCTTTTTTTTCTTCGAGTACTTGCGATATCCGAATTTAATTAAAAATCGTAGCTGCCAGCGGTTGCAAAATATCATCGACGTTGCGTTATCGAGAAATATCTGGAAGATGCTTTAATCAAATGCTTGACGTCTGTTCACCTGCCGATATGGCGTTGATCTTCGAATATCAAGATATCCACGTGATCGCAGATAGAACTGTCCCTTTCCGCCTTAAATAAATCATCTGACGAGAAGCGAGTCCGCCATACTCTCGATCATTTCGAACGAGATCAATCTCTGTACCTCGCGAAGAAGAGACCGACAAGCAGGCTGAGAGAGGGAAGAGGAGAAGGGCGCAGTAGATCGCGTTGTACAGCCCTGATCTTTGGAGCTTCGAGTTGGTACGGTTGTGTTGGTGTTGTCGAGTTTTGCGCAAGTACGTAGAAGATATCACAATGACGACAGAGTCGCGGCGAGTATCACCGGTTGGCATCTGCCACGTGAATGGCGTATGATTCTCGGACGATGTGATAATACGAAAACAGCGGCTCGTGGACGATCACGAGACGAATGATGTTTCGATCGACGGGAGATTATTCGCGATATCAGGTAGTTCCGATTAACCAAGTTACGATCATATCACGTTGTAAGAACTAAAATTGAGCAGAGTCATGGTGACAATGGGAGCGGCCCAGTGTGTACTGGGTACGACGAATTTTTTGTCACATATACTACCGCTCAGAAGTGTAGAGTATCTTGCAATTCCTCCAGCTATCGCCTGTATTCCTTTGTGCGACATTTTTCGTTTCTCGGATATTTCTACTTACAAGTGTTCTCCCTTTTATAAATTAATTATAGCTACGTGTTGCGATACAAAGTTGTGTCGTCATTGTCAAGTTTTTTTTATCACGAAATTACAGGGTGCTTCAAACTTCTGAACGATAGTGTAAAAAAATGGAGCTTCGCGATCATCAAGGAACTCTCGGAATCTCTTGGGGTGAAACCTCACTTCAAGCGAATGAAAATTCATTTCAAACGATAGTGAAAATATTGCTGCCCGGAATAGATTGACATTTCACTTTTAACGAGAGTTACTCGATTAAAGTAAATATTACACTTGAAAAAGAGTAAATTTTGCAAATTTATATTTTTTGACACGCCATTGAGAGCTTTGAAAGTTAATATTTTTTTTATACCAGTATTCTTAAAATATTAATAATTTTATCTGTGATCTTTTCAATTGTATGTCATTTAATCGATCCCATTTATATTGTATTTGAAAAATTTATGTTGATATCAGTCGTTATTTATCTATGGAGTAAAAGAACTCGATCTATAAGAATAAAAAGTCACTCCAATTTGCGTGACTATGGCTATTATTCCATTTTTCGAGTGAAATTTCACTGCAAAACATTTAGAAAGAAAGTATACTACCAATTGTGCCGCAAGTTAATCATGTTCTCTTTCGTTCGAAATCCTGTTGCCGGATCGCATCTCCGATGATTACGAATCACGCGTAGAGACAAGGTCGAATATTCACGTAGTTCACACTTCCTGCCTCTCGATATTCCATCGAGCAAACATCGATTGGTTGCACACACTCAAGGTCGGCTGTAATATTTCGTCACTAGCAATTTAATCGGTAAAATGCCCGTCTTTGGATGAGACTTCGTTGCTTGTTATCGTCGAGGCGTTAATTATCGTTGCCAACTCACCATACTGTTCCTCGACGATGTATGTGACCCTCCCTTCGAGGAAAATGTCCCCTCCCGCTCGCAGTACCTATTAAAGAGACCAACGACCGCAGCCACGCTAATCCAGTTCTTTCACCGTTCGCATAAATTATCATAAATGCTGTTATTTCGCTTTTATTTATCGCGCATTATCACGCATGCCAAGAAAAGAGGTGGCGTTTTTTTTTTTGCAAACATTCCTTATCATACGTAGAATCAAGGTATGCGAGAAAATCATTTTTCCCCAACATACATCGTGGGGACGGAATTTCTCGTTTCTGATGTAATCGTACAATGCGATTACCGCGGGATCGGTGAATTTTCATGGCATGCGATTGAAAATTCGGTGCGTCGCGGGATCGAAGGAAGACGTCGTGCGCATACACGCGCGCTTCTCCGCGACGATACGAGTCGTCGTGTAAAAACGAACGCGCGGCATGCCGGCTGTACGCTTCGAGGAGCTTCCTCAAGGACGACGACGCGATATTTGCATATCTTGAATCGGCAACAGACAATTATGCGAATGAGAATGTATAGCGCAAGCGCTCGTGCCAAGGGGCGACGCAGAGAAGTCGATTTTGACATTTAACAACGCGACTTTTGTTCGATTTCGCGACTTTTTTACTCGTTTTTTTTTGCCTTTTACTTCTATTTGCTCTTTTCGTCATATGATGCCGGAGCCGAACGGATTCTCTATTTTTTCGCACGAAGTCGAAAGTCCGAGGCCTCACGCCCGTCTACCTGTTCGATCGAATTTCACAGCACAAAAATCGACGACGCCCGACACGAGGGGAAAATGTCTTCTATTCGCACTTTTGTGTTCTATTCGAGCGCGAAATCTACGTTCGCGTGCTCCATCTCGCAAGACGACGAGATGCGGCTACTTTTGCGGCATAAGCTCAAGCGACCGATAGTGTGTTTTAGACGCGAAAAAGCTGAATGAACGCATCTATGTATTATCTATGTGTGCGCGCGCGCGTATGAGTTGCACTTGACAGCTCTATTATAATTTGATTTCGATTTTCTCATCGATGCGGTTTCCCATACTCATTTCCCGTGCACTGAATATGGATTTCGTCAATGCGGCGAGGGCGGGTATACATTGTTTTGTAAACAGTATGGATCAACAGCGTGTCATCGACATTTATCGGTGGTGGCGGGGCGCAAAGAAAGGAAAGCAAAAGAGAGCAGGGAGGAGGAGAAGCGTTTACGATAAAATTACAGCGTGAGTCAGAGCGAACGAATCGCTGTTGTCGTTGCTATTTCAGGCGATCTCGAACATTATTCGCGACGACGGCCACGGTAATGCGCGAATATTTTCCTTTCGCAAATATTAGATATACAGCTTAATTCTCGACCTTTTTAAAGGATTTTTTTTTTACAGAAAAAAAGACATAATCTTTCAATTTTCGAAATAGTCTCCGTTATTTTCAACATATTTCTGCCATCTTTCGGATGACTGGCGAAATTCGCTTCAAAAGAAGGATGGTAGTTTCGAGTTGATAAAGTCATCGATGTTTTTGTCGACTTTCTCGGGAGACTTGAAGTGGGAATCAACCAGGTGATGTTGCAGAGATCGGAAAAATGGTAATCCGAATGGGCGAAGTCTGGAGAATACGCCGCGTGAGGGAAAATTTCCCAACCTATATCGGAAATGACTTCCAAGGTTGTTTTCGCCGTGTGCGGCCGCGCATCGTCGTACAACAAACCTTCCTCTTTCCAGCGCCCGATAAAAGATTTTTTCCTTCAAGTGCGTCACTCAATCTAATCAATTGCTGCTGTTAACGCTCAGAGTTGATAGTTATACTGGTTTGAACAACTCATAGTAAATAACAACCTTTCTGGTACCACCAAATACACAACACTTTTTTTGCGTCTTTTTTGGTTTTTTGCGAATATTTGGTTTTGCGGTACTGGTCGACGGTTCACCCGGATAAATCCACGATTTTCGCCTCTTGGGATTGTCATAAAGTTTTTCATCATCAGTCACTATTTTGTGCAAAAAGTCCTTCTTTTGATAGCAGGGAATTTTGATAGCACGGATATAGCCATGTCGTTTTTCTCTGTTTTCAGAACTCAGCACATGCGGAACCCAACGACCCGCCTTTTGAATCTTACCAAGCTTGTGTAAACGTTTCGAAATGGCTTGTTGGGTCACTGCAAGTGCATTTGCAAGCTCTGATTGAGTTTGGTAAGGATTTTCTCCCAAAAACTTCCAATTCTTCGTCTTTAACTTTCTTCGGTTGTCCAAGGCGTTCTTCATCCCGGAGATTGAAATTGCCATTCCGAAACTTTTGAAACCACTTTTTATATGTTATAAGATATAGCATTTTCATCTTAAGGCTAAGCAAATTCCTTAACCTCGGCGGCATTTTTTTTCAGTTGTAATACGAAAAGGGGGCAGTATCCCAAATCCTGCTTTTTGAACGACATCGTTTTCACTACTGTTTTTTGAAGTTATCTCAGCAGCACTGTCAACTTATATACCTCATTTTAAAGCTGAAGGCGCTTTAAAACAACTATGCAGCGGGGAAAAATTTAAATTTGAATAGATGATGTAGTTGATTAAATGTAAGGGTCAAACATTGAGTTGTACACCTAATAATTTCGTTTAATGTCCATCGCCCGCATCGAGACTTTCTTCATACATGCACGCGATCGTTCATAAAACCGTGACGTAATTTTTTCCGCGCGTCAACGGGGTTACTTTCTTCTTTAAATCTCCTTGAATACAGAATCTGGTACAATTATGGTGTTTTTCACTAACTCCGATTTACTTTGTAGCAAAATGGCAGAACCAATTGTTGTCATATGCCCACTTCGAGTACTACATGCGTGGAAAGAACCAACTAACTAATCAGTTGTATTTTCTGCAAAAAGATAAAATTTAGAACACTAATAGATCTAAGGATCGATAAAAAGATTATTATGTCATTTTTATACTTCACAGTACTGCTGTATATTTTTTTTGCTTAGCTCTAATTCAATAAATTTAAACTATAATACACATTCTTACTTGTTTAGAGTAAATAAATATAAAAAATAAATGTCTAATGATATATAATAAATCTCTCTAAGCAAATTAATATAATGTGCATATTCGCTATAATTATTTATACGTTGTAGTTTATCTCACAATAATTAGAATCCCCACTTATAAATAAATGAAAGTTATCGAGGTCACTTTGCTTCAAAACCAAATATTATCCAGACTCTGTATTCAAGGGACTCCGTTCTTCTTCAGCCTGCAGTACCGTTTCTTCGGACATCCACGCGAACGAAACAAGAGTGATTGATGTCTGCGCCACGTTGTTCTGTAACTCAGAGATGCTCTGAGATTTTTTATTGAGAATTTTCGTCACGGGGGCGGTGGTGGATTTTTGTTTTGACTGATGCGAACGCGTCACGACGCGATTTTTGCTCATGTCCGAACGTGCCTTCTTATTCTCGCCGACGTTACGTCTGTTGATTCCCTGCGCAATTTCCGCAAAATTTGCATCATTCCGCCTTACATTAATTATATGAATATCCGACGCAAATACGACACGTATTTATCTTGTTTTCCACCGCGCAGGAATCCACACGAGAAAGAAAAGAGACGAAAAAAAAGATGTCGACGCGCGTATGATTGCTGATAGAATACATTACGATAAGCAGGCGATTGCTAATTAACGCAAAGCAAACGACCGGAAATTGACTCAGGGCGGCTGAAAACCTGCCGTCGTCACTGTCTCCAAGCGATATCCCTGACCTTACGATATCCCCTTCTCATCTGTTGAAATTGCGCCACGAGGCGAGAATGTCGAAACGCCGTCTTTTGAAATTGTCCGTGAATCATATTATGGACTTTACGAACGGAACTATCGTCGCCGGGTCGCGTTTGGGCGTGTATGTAACACGTAGGCGTAATTGTAGTGTAAGTGCCGCCATGCCTCTTCTGTTATTTTGGCCAGGGCCACCTGCGCGGATTACCAAGAAGGAATATAAAATATTTCTTCTCATTCTCTAGACACGATTGCGACGCGAGAGGGGCAAAGTTACGCGCGCAATTTTATCGCGATTAGACCTGAGAACATTCCAATAGGCTTGCGACGTTGAATTAAAACTAAAGAAAGAAATTGTAACCATTAGTATGGCGAAATAATTTTTTACAGCTCTACGTAATTCGTAGTCTGCTTCTTAAGGGGATGCTAAAGTTGATGACGAAATTGATAAATGTCAATAACTTAGAAGTAATTCTCAAAATGTTATGTTACTTAAACGCTGATACAATCATGCTATTCTTTTTGTATTTCTTGTACATATAGATTTTGCGTAAATGTAAAAGCAATGTATAAATGAGAATGCGAGAGATGTACGCTATGCTGTTTTATCATATTTTAAGGAAAATCTATAACCAAAATATATAAAAATGATTTTACAAACTTTTTGTATTTTCTTACGCCTCCACATTTAACTGAAAACGTATTATGTTTTTTTTTTTTTTCATGAATGAACATTTATATACCTCTTTCTATTATTCGCGTATCTCTATTAGATCAACTGATGCATCAATAAGAAAATTACAAAAGCATCAGTAGTGACAATATGCACATTTTTACTACTATTCTCTTTTTGGATTAAAATCTGAAGAAGATATAGTAAGGCCGAAAATGACTATAATTTCAGTAGGAGATTTCTCTCAGTGTTCAATACAAGTTGAAAGCACGCAATTAGAAACGATGCAACTTCGCCTGAAACGTAGCCGTGGAATATCACCTGTTCCGTTCATTCATGTTACAGGATTAGCTCTCGAGAGCGACTGACTGATTGGTTACCCACGAAGATCTCTCTCCGTCCAAGGACCCGTCGCAGCCGACACTGCGAAGAAACGACACTGCGCGGGCCCGATAGCACAAGTGATATTTCTAACTATAGTTAACGTACGTAGAGCTTAGAGGAGCCAAACCGTCGTGTGAAACCGTCTCGTACCTTATGTATACATACATATACAAGCGCACGTATACCATCCGATGACGGTACTCAATCTGATATCCAGTGTTAAGTACAAGTGACGCGAAGTGTGTTCAACGCGAAATCATATTGCGAATTCGCGAGTCACAGAAGGGACACCAAGGAGATACCATCAGTAGTGAATCTGTGCATATATCGGGTGTACCGTGCGCGCACGCGATACTCGTGTAACAGCTCGGTGTGTCGAGACGGCGCAACATGAGAGTGGCCAGACAGCATCCACTGCATCTGCAAGCGCGCGCCAACAATGGTAAATTCTTGGTCAGCCCGAACAGTCAAGATATTCATCATCAGCAGCAGCCGACCAGCGACGAGACCAGCACGGTGTCGACGGTGGTTTTTCCGAGCTGCGAACCGGTGCCCCACGACCTTCACGGTGGACCGACCATACTAGGGGATCGATTTCTACTTCTTGGTCCGGCAGAGGGTAGCGCTCTTTATCGTTGCTTAGATGTACAGAGCGGTCAGCAACTCGTTGCCAAGGTCAGTACCAACGTCCCAAGTTCTGTGGGAATTATTAATCTTGACATATGGCTAAGAAGGGAGTAGTCATCTGTAAGAAAAAGATGCGGCCAAAATAAAAATAAATGCTTTGATTCAATTAAACTTTCGGATTACGGGCCTGTGATAATATATGCAATTTAATTATGTTTGTTGTTCATTTCAATTGTACATCTTTTATTGAAAGAACAATATACCGTCTTTAAACCGGTAACACGTAATGTTGTATAAATAACACACTGAATTGTAGACCGGGGAAAAAAATAATAGATCAACAGAATTCGGCATATTCGGTATATTGTTTTTGTAAAAAAAAAATATATATATAAGGGAAATAACCAAAGTTGAATTAATTGTGCAAGTTTATGACTACATGTTACTTCGACGTTTAATTGACGATGGCTAATCGATTATATCTGCTTTTTTCTAACAGATTATAGAATCGAATAAGTAAAGACTTTAAATATGTTAACCCTTTTAGTGCCGGGAGCCGATATATCGGCTCCTGCTACACCGGCGAGAAGTGCCAGAGCCGATATATCGGCCCGCACCTTGTAGCGCTTTACTATTCGCATTGCGAGAGATCTCTATCAAAATAAATTTAAAATACGTTATAAATAGTCTAATTTCATTACGAGAGAATTAAAATAAATAATTTTTAAATATTGCTTTTCGTTTGGTTTTTATGAGCCTTTTACCAAATCCTAGTAAAATCGGCCGGTTATCTTCGCATAAGCACCTCTTTTTCGCCCGGCACTAAAAGGGTTAAGTCATAGGAGAGACAGAAGCTAAAAGGGTAAATTGGCTGATTATTTCTGTTGTTTTCTAACAGGTTATAAAATTGAACAAAAAGTAGAGATTTCATAATCATCTTTAACCCTTTTAGTGCCGGGCGAAAAAGAGGTGCTTATGCGAAGATAACCGGCCGATTTTACTAGGATTTGGTAAAAGGCTCATAAAAACCAAACGAAAAGCAATATTTAAAAATTATTTATTTTAATTCTCTCGTAATGAAATTAGACTATTTATAACGTATTTTAAATTTATTTTGATAGAGATCTCTCGCAATGCGAATAGTAAAGCGCTACAAGGTGCGGGCCGATATATCGGCTCTGGCACTTCTCGCCGGTGTAGCAGGAGCCGATATATCGGCTCCCGGCACTAAAAGGGTTAATATTTACTTCGCATTGCATTTTCCCTAATTTGCGTTTATCCGAGACCTTCGATTTCGGGTTCGCGATCGATATTGTCGTCTGGTATTATACCGAATCTCGATATTCCATTTTTCTTTTCTCTTAAGAATCGCAAATGGAAATGTCCCATGAGATTAACAAAGAAGATTAACAAACGCATGATACGAAACACGTACTCTCTTGCCATGTTTTCATTAATATTTTATAATCTCCACTTGTTATACAATGAGTCGTTTACATCATCGCGCTGCGAACAAATACAAGGCTGTTACTTCGTGCACTCGCAACCTCACCACATCGCCTTGCCTCCTCCGACACATACACACGCGTCTTGCCTCACTGTTCGTTATTCATAATCCCTTCTAGAACCCCATCGCTGTTTTATAATTAATATAATTGACAATTACGCGAAAGCGTCACGTGATCCGCGCTTTCGCAAGCCGTGTAAGAGTCTGTGATTTCGAAAAAGTAAAGAAGGATATTAGCGATCGCGATTAGTTCAGTCTGTCACAATCGCCGGTCGGAGAACGCAGAGGTCGCGAGCGTTGATCTGGATTGACTATAATGCAACAGTCTCATCGATAGCGAAGGGGTTCAAGGGCGGATGGTGCACGAATAAAACACGCTTCGTAGTGAGCGTTTTGATCAACTTATTGTATACAGGGTGTCCTAAACTCATTTCCCGCGTTGTGCAGGTTGAACGGGTGAAACTGACCAGAAAAGTCATATATCATTTTGCGAAATTCACAATAGTTAATGAGGAATTTTGTCATTGGACAAAATAATTAATTCCTCATTAACTATCGTGAATTTTGCAAAATGGCACATAACTTTTCATTCATTCTACCTGCGCATCCCAAGAACCGAGATTTGGGATACCCTGTATACTCATGATTTTATTCAACGAAATCGGATAAGGTCGTGAAGTTTGCTCGTGAAACCTGGAAAAAAATATCCGAACGAATACTCGATACTTTTCAGTGGAATACCGCTTTTTCTGTGTCGGGGGCATTACAAAAGCGGCAATCAAGCCGATCAGGGCGGTAGGGGGAGAGATGATTTCGTAAAGAATGCATACCGGTGCTCTTATTAAACTAATGAGACTCAAATGTTGAAACGGTGTCAGATTTCGACACGAGCCAGAATGAGATGAACAGCCGAACTAATAACGAAGTTCTCGAAGTAGTATCCGTCTCGTTTACAGTTTTCATAATTTGTCGATGTTAATTAGATTCTTCTTTTTTATCCACTCAGCTTTATCGCAAATTATGTCGTAGATTACACGGAGTCCGAGTTACATCAATTTAATTATAGGGTTGTCGTATAATTATAGGTAAATATAACTTCGCGCATTGAGCTGATTCAATATCTGTAACCCGATCATTAATTAGAATACGATTAGGAAAACTGACATCAGTCCCTGCCGCTGTCTAGCGAGCGAACGCAATTTTATCAGTCTCGAACATCGATCCTGATCGGTATCATATGACGAGGTGAGAAATCAAGGCCATATATCTTAATGACTTTCATCCGAATACGCCAAAATGTATCTTTAATATCTGCTCAGAATAATAAAAAAATAATCGAAGAGATTGGCAAATAATGGTTCATTTCGCTCTGATCCAAAACAGAATATCGGCTGCTAATGATCATTAATTATAGATCAAAACACCCGCTATCCGTTCACCGATACTTCTATAATAAACTTTCGGTGCGCCTTCCGCCGGCGCACCCTCGATTCGTGGATAACGACGACGCGCTGGGATCGCGCTTTTGTTGTAAATTGCATTTCCGGATTGATTGCAGGCGTTGACCGTGGGCGACAAAGGTTGCGAGGCGTTGCTGCAGGCCCACCTTCGTCTGGAGGGCACCGGCGCTGCGAGTGGTGTAGCCGGTGTCGTGGAGGCGCCCGGAGGCCGGCGCTATCTCCTCTTGGAGGGCCATCACGGCGACTTGCACGCCTACGTAAGGGCACGCAGGAGATTACGCGAGCCGGAGGCGAGGCGGCTCTTCCGGCAGGCTGCCAGGGCTGTGGCGAAGTGTCATGAATACGGGGTTGTGTTGAGGGATCTCAAGCTCCGGAAGTTCGTTTTCGCTGACGAAGCGAGGTACGTAGCGACACAGTCGTTTATTCATCGTTCCGAGGATTCATATTTCTATTTATTGAACCGTTAACTAGTGAGATGTACAGTCGGCGTCGTATATGTTATACCGTAGATCGAAAATTACACGATTTTCAGCCTTACGTTGTGTACGAATAATAAGGTCAAAATCATTATAATTAGAGTCATTATAATCCTATTATATTCTAATTAGAGTCACTTGTGTGATTTTCAACCTTACGGGTTATATATAAGAATGAAAATCGTATAATTTCGAGAGAAATTTTCTGGCATGTAAGGACGAGAATGGGAACAGATGATTCTCACCAATTGTCTTTGCCGAATTTACAATTGCGTGAGATATAAATAGGAGACAAATACAAAATTTGTATCACTTTAGAACTTGGTTTTTACAAAGCTGAGAAGACGCGATATATTTTTCTTATATTTTTTTGCTATTTGAAAAATTTTTTTTTTCACCTCGTACCTCGTGGAAGCTCAAGAGAAATTCCGAACGCATTCTTTTTCGCAAGTCGCATGAAAAGCGAATAGATGATATACGTCTTTTGGATTGAAGCGAAGGTATCAATAGCACGCGTGCAGAGTTCGTGTCTGCTTTTCCAAGTGAAGGGGAAATCGATTGCTGTTGTGGGTGTTTTTCTCGTCGGGTGACCTCTCTCTGTTCTCGGCGCTGAAAAAGAAGTATGAGCGAATATGGAAATGAAACGATTATGAACTAATTCGTCGCGGATCTGGCTTGGCGCGCGGTCTATTATGGGAAAAGGGAGAATGCGTATCTCATTCGCGCGCGGAATATATCAGAATGCGATTTATAGTGTATCAAATATGGGTCTTGAAAACAAGTCTTTTTAACTGAAGTCGAATCGCTCGGCCGACGCATTTTAATAACATATAGTAACACTGTTTCCTCGATTTTCCTCGAATGAAAGTAATATAAAGAGCAATCCTACAAAAAAAGGTTTGATTGAATTTACCTGACAAAATGAACAAAGTAAACGTGTTTTGGTTGATGGAAACAGAATTTCTGTAATTGTAAGGAACGAATTTGATTCATAAAAAACCAAAAATTCTGTTTCTTTTAACGGAAACGCATTTGGTTTATTCGTTATCAAGTAAGCCACATCTTTTTCCGCGTAGAATCGCTCTTTACTTTACTTTCAAAAGTTACGGAAAACGAGAAATTACTTCTATTACATGTTTATGACAACATCAGAAAGATGGGATTATTCGTTACGCTTTTGAGCTGCGATAGGCAATTGTAACTGGATCAATCACGTTATATTACTTGCCATCGTTTGCAAAGGTACTATTGTATGAATAAATCTATGTAATAATAAATAAATCCAACTAAAACATATTTTATTATTCTTTTTTTTTATTATTATTTAAATATAATTAACTTTTCAAATTTTTATTAGCACTAAAGCAATAAATGCATAATATATAAGAAAGTTATATTCAGTATGAGATTTTTTTTTCATTTGTATTTCAAAACCATTGGAAAAGTTCCATAGTTTTTGAAAAAAATGCTTACTGAAAACGCACTGAAATTGAAGATACAATTAAAATCGGATGAAATTAGAATTAAACTTTCCAAATTGGATCAAATTAAAATACACTCATATGAGCTCGAGTCTTGTCAAACTCTCAAAGACAGATGTATCGAATACACCACCTCGTGTGAGGAACAAACGATAATCAATTCTCGCGAGTTACGAGCTGTATCTGCCTATTTTCTCACGTTCATTGTCCCTCGCCCGCAATTCCATTGGACCACGTCGTGATTTAGGGTGTATATTTGCGAGCGGCTCGCTCATACGCGACGTTATCTCGGCGTGACTATCCGGCGGTATGATACGCGACGCACCCACTGTCACTGCAACATGCGCAGGCAACAGTCAGCCGAACGAACAACCGAGCAAGTACATGAACAATAATAACACAACAAGCAGCCGTGAGCCAGACGGGCGTGCGTGTCGTGCCGGTGTCGGCGATCGAGAGATCGACTCGTATGTCGTTGTTGGCCAATCCACATTCCTGCCGCTCGGCGAGCTGCTCCCAGTCGCGTGCGCAACGTAGAATAAGGAGAGTCCGGGGAATGTTGCAAGACAGAAAAGCATATTGGTTCATCGGCTGAGTCGTTGCTGCTGCTGCTGCCGCCGCCACCGCGTGATTTTGAAACGTAGTTTAATTAAGAAACGCGCGCGCGTGAACGAATCGTGGCTCGTTTTGCCGCCACCACCGCTGGCTGTTGCCGTAGGGCAAAATCGTCCGAGACGATATGAGGTGTTCTCAGTGTTTGTTGATATTTAGATAAATTATGTAAATAATCATCTAGATGAATGAACAGATCATTTTTATTTTTATCTAGATGGAATAAATACATCTTCATCTTAGATAAAAAAATATATTATCTCATCTAAAAGTGATCTAAAGTGATGTGGTCCATATTTTGAACTCACTTTTCGATAAAATAAATGAAATAATATGGACTTATGCGTTAAGCCCGTATCAGATTAGGGATTGGAGATTAAATTTCAACGAATCAACAAATTTCGGCTTTGTTTCCTTTGGTCTGTTCTTTTCAGCTGTACTGCTGAACTGGTACAACTAAAAAGAACAGACTATTTGTTTGAATTGATCAATCTACTTTAAGCCTATATCAAACTGCTGACTATGAAGGCCGACCCGACTGCATATTACGACTGCCAATTCTTAATGGACCAATTACAATAGACTAGTTACACGACATTTCACTATGATGGGCCCTTCAAGAGTTGACAGTCGTAATCGCTAATCAGATCGGCCTTCAGTCAGTAGTCTGATATGGGCTTTATATTATAGAAGAAGATTGAAATAATGACTGTGTTCAGAAAACACGGCGATTAGCGAGCGATCAGTGATTATTGGTTTTTTTTTGTTGGTTCGTTAAATTTAGAGCGATTACGTTGACGAATTCATAGCGAATCTCACGCATTCGCGTTTCTCTTTCTTCCGATTGGCCGACAATGGACGAATTAAGCGATCAAATCAGCCTTTTCCCGGATGTTCCTTCGTATGGTAGTTCGACCTATGGTAATTGCTGAATACATCACGCGCGTCTCGGCAGAAACGCACATTGTGCGGGCATGTATACAACGTACGTGCTATATACATGTGTGTGGTTCGCTCGTCCACGGTGAAAAGCATAATTTGGGCCCGTGCAACCGGATTTCTCCCTACGCCGCGCACGCGTTTCACAACGTCGCTGGCAGTCCGGTTCGGCGCCGAATTCAATCAAGATCGTAGTTCGTGAGAGGTTAACGATCCCCAAGTAAACCGCCGATCTCGTTCGATTCTTCGCATGGAGGAAGGAAAGATAGAACTTTATTCCTAAAGCCGCAATAAATTCAAAAAGCTGAGACTATCCGAATATCCGTGGCGAATCCGTTCCACAACCGACTAGTTTTCTGAATATTTCGCAACTACCGAGAAATACCTGTTCTTTTTTTCGTTTTTTTTTATTCGACCAGCTATAAGTCATAGCTGAAATTGTTTATGGATATCAGCAAACGGAAGAGCGATCCAAAATTTGCATACTACTTCGAGGCTCTTAAGAATCCATAATTGCGTCCACGAACACAGCCGATGGTGATTAATGACTTCCGTGACTGTCGTCAGCCAAGATATCGTTGCCGCTGTTGCTCTCCTTCCACGAGAATTGCGGCCCTATAATTATAACATCGACGGCGGAAACAAAAGTTAGCTAATCGCACTTAGGCAACTATTGGGTTCCGAGTGGAGAACCGTAAGCTCACAAAGAAGGGACCATTCGAGGATCAGCGGACTTTTGGATATCCCATGACAATGTATTTCGCGATCTTAGATCTGTCGAAGAAATCATCGCGTTTAGAATCCGCGGTCTAGCTTCCGCAGCGGCGGAGCCGAGGTTCTTGAACCCGGCGATATCGTGGCCGACGACCCGGTGAAAGTTTGCGAAGAAAGCTGCGGTCCCTCTCTTTCTCTCTCTTTCTCTCTGTCTCAACAAACAAGCGAGCGGACGAACTCGCATTTGGTTCATCATGAACGGTCTAACGTGTTATTGCGTCCGTTTGATTCATCTGCTCTCGTGAGAGAGGCCATTGACATTCGTTCGTTCGCTCGCTCGTTCGTTCGGATTGTCAAGATCGTGTAACGACTCTCTCGCGTGACGTGTGTTCACGAAAGATCCAACTTCGTGACGCCCGATGATTCCACCCGGTTCCATGGTATCCGGGTTAAGTCTTGATCCTGGTGACTTTCATCGGGAGATTTTTTATTCGCGTCAGGCGCTATCGCGCGTTCGAGCATAATGCGAAAGGAGATTAATTTGGGACACCCTGTATATAAAATACATTCGCGTTTTAAGCTATGCATTAAAATACGATGAAGATTAGAGATAACTACAAAATTACAGAACGCTAGATACGGTCCTACTTTGGGCGGAGCTAAGCGACCTCTCTATAATAAATTTTGGTCCCGAAGCTTTCACTCCAAAGAGGTCCTACTGTATTAAGCTAGCAGGATCACATAGAAGAAAAAAGGATAAAAAAAGAAAACATTAGTACAAATTCAATACTTTGCATTTTTACTTTTTTTTTCCTACGTGGTCCTGCTAACTCAATATCAAGCTAGCAGCGCCGTTCTTTTTTCCTCCCTTTCAAAACGGCAAGCGGTACAAAATTTTTATTTTATTATCAGTACAAATTAGTACGAAATAAGTATTAAATATTTGAAAAAGTCCGGTTTAATTCTGCTGATTTGGTCCTGCTGGCTTATAAGAGGTTACTTTCTCCACTGTTTCGCTATACTGTGAGCGGGGAAATATAACAGCTAATTTCACGACAAATGATAAGACTGTTATCTGAGATAATTCTAATGTGTCTCTCGCAGATTGTATATCGTACACTGAACTATATGTGCGCGTCGTGTGTTCGTCCGAAATGATTTATAAATAGAGAAATGTGTGTACCTCCAGGAGGCGGCGGCGGCGACGCGCTCTCGCCCGAAAACAACTCCGTCCGTTTTCTCGCGCCAGTTACGCCATTGCGTTACAAATATCGTGGGTGATCGGGAAACTCGTATCGAGAGCTCCAAAGTTACCTAAGAGCCAAGAATATTACGCACGCGGTCGCGCGGGTTTCCGCGTTGCAGGTTGATCAACAGACGCAGCAGAGTCACGACCGGCCACCGTGCTCTCTCCTCCTCCTCCTTTTCTCCTCCTCTTCCTCCTCTCCTTCTCTTCCTCATTTTTCTCCATCTTCTCTTTCTTCTCCTCCATGCTTCGGTTATTTCGTGCTACTAAGACTCGTTATTTCGTGCTACCAAGACTGGCGAACGATCGAGGCTATAGCGACGACGGCGATGGCTCAATCGCAGTGTCCTCTTGCTAAATTGAAATACCTTACCTTCGAGCGCGCACGTAAAAGGTTGCGAACGAACGGAGATATCCGCGACTTCGTTTCACGAACTCCTCTCGCACGCAGGCTCTCGCTCGGCAGCCACGTCGCTCGGCAACGAATAAAGGGCTTGGTACAACATATACTTAAAACACGCGGAACGAATTACACACGGCGACGGGGGAAAAAATCGTCTCCGTCAAGATTTCGAGCTTCGTGCGCTCCGTGGCTCTTCTCGAAAATTTTTCTCTGGTTTGGCATTTGTGGATCAAATTGACTCGAACGAGAAATTATATAGTCCACAGTTATTAAATTTTGAATTATCCCACATATACATATAGAATTATTTTCTTAAGTCATACGAAATTGTTGATTTCTTCCTGTTTAGAATTAATGCATTATCTTCTCCTATACTTTAAATTATAATCGAATAAAAGTTATAGGGTTTAAAAAGATCTATTTACTGATCCTATCAGATCTATCTATTTACTGATCTTATTAGTTTAACCGTAAATGGCATAGCCAAGGTCAGGAGATAAGGTCAAGTTAAATTCTTTAAATGTAATTCCCTATTTTTTATTGTATGTTCTTACAACTCTCGTTAAGACGTTTTCTGAACATTATAATAAAGCTTCTTCTAGTTAAGAATTTCCGGAGATCTTTTAAAATTCATCGTGCCCTAGCACAAATTTGTCGAGTTTTTTTTCTTGTAGTATTATAACCACTATCTTTCTAACAATATTACCACGGATCAGCTCTCTTGTCCGGATGATAATAAACACGTTCGTGTGTGCGCGCGCTAACATATGGTCTATTCATTTCAGCTGAACTAATGATACTAGTTGAAGAAATTTGCTTACACGTTGAAGCGTATGAAGCGTGTATATTAAATTCTCAAGCCCCAGTGTGCGTAAATTTCTTAAACCAATGCGGCGGAACTAGTTCAGCTAAAAAAGAAGAAAAGGAAGAGACTTAGAGTCGCGCAGAATCTCATCGGTTCGCTTCCCGGCTTTCTCGCGAGCGATCAGATATTCTTGCGCTAATCGCCAACGCCGCGAAGTGTGTTGCAAGGGTGCTAAAGCGAGCACATGGGTCATCGCGTCTCGCTATATGGTAGCAACAAGCGTATTCCGTTCGATAAACAGCTTACGAAAGCGCGCCGAGACAGCTCTCGTATCGACGACGACATAATTGTTTTCTCTCTCTCTCTCTCCCATTGCAGAACGCGGCTCCGCCTGGAGAGCCTGGAGGACGCGGTGATCGTGGAGAACGACGACGACAAGTTGACCGACCGCAGGGGCTGTCCGGCTTACGTAGCGCCGGAAGTGCTGCGCTCGGGACGCGCCTATTCCGGCAAGGCGGCGGACATCTGGTCGCTGGGCGTGCTGCTCTACACAATGCTCGTCGGCCGTTATCCCTTCAACGATGCCGAGCACGCGTCTCTCTTCGCCAAGATCTCGCGTGGCCTGTTCGCGGTGCCGGAGGGCCTGAGTCCGCGCGCCAAGTGCCTGATCCGTTCGCTGCTGAGGAAGGAGCCGTCCGAGCGGCCGTATGCCGAGGACGTGCCGCTGCATCCCTGGCTGTCGAAGCCGCTGCGGATATGCGCGGCCGGCAGGTCCTTCGCGTGCCAGGACCAAGTCGTACCAGAGCTACCTACCAATCCTCGACAAGACTGACTCCCTCGTGGGAGGGGAATTATTATTCCACGCGCAACCGCGTCGTCACTCCCGCATCATCAGCCTGGTGCTTTTTTTCTCATGCCGACGGCCGCCGTCGGGTCGTCGCCGAGTCCTCCAGTCGAGAGGCGGTGGTCATCAAAAGACGGAGGAGGAGCTGTATGACTTTTTTCCTTCTCTCTTTTCCTCTCCCCTTTTTCTTCGTGTTTTTCTCGTTCTTTCCGCGACACATTGGCTGTGTTCGCGCGGGGCAGCCAGCTGTCCCGCGTTACTCGCGTATAGGAGATATCGGCGTCGTGTTATTTTATATGTCACGTACGAGGCGCGAAATGTGTGAAGATCGCGTGAATCTGTATTCAAGGAAATAACGTTCGAGCGAGAAATTCGTATTTAAAAGGGAAAAAGAAAAGGCAAATTAAGGGCTGTGCGTACATACCACGCATAAATGTATGCACACCTCGGCGGTCAATGTGTCTTAACGGCAGCTGAATCACACACACAACATACATATACGAACACATATACACTCACGCGCGCGCGTGCGTGCGCGCGCTTCACCCCAGATTCGAGTTCGCGACTCGAGTCGCGAGAGTAGGATTTCCAAACTGCGGATTATAAAATAACAGTCGATTCCCGAACCTCGCATCGCAGACACGACGCGGCCAAGGATGATCCCGATCCCTCTCCTTTTCGCCGGTGAAGACGGCCTAGAATATAAGATAGCAAGTACTTCGAAGATAGCAAGTACCAATACACAATCGGATGAGAGTAATAATCGTTCTCGGTGGAATTAATGCGGAGGAGAGCGCACCAAAGTCTGTCCTAGGCCCCCCCTCCTCCCCGTGGTTGATCTCCCTCTTGTTCAGCGTTGTACAATTTGGCGTTGAATGGCCAAAGCTCGAATGAGGTCGAGTCCACTCTAGTCTTGAGACAACTCAAGGTCCGAGCGCTGAACGATGAAAATGAGTAATTAAGAGGAGTTCTCCCTGAAGCGGTGGTCATAACTTTGGTCAACTCTCCGCCAACAATTTCGGAGGCAACCTGACGACGCAAGTGACGATATTATACACTCTATTGGCTAAAGCATCGTAGATTCGAGGAAACACCGCCGTTATTGGGCCAAGCAAAATCGCGTTCCCGCCTTGTTCGCTCTCGCACGCGAGTACACTCGCGCCGAGTACTCGCGAGTCCCTTTTGTGATAGAATCCAGCGAATTCTAAGCGACAAATGTGATACATAAATTACGATACAGGTTGTTTCGCAAACGAGCGGATTACTTGCGGTCATCTGTCTCTGAAGTCCATGTACGTTAATTGTTGTCGTTAAAAACGATCGAATTCGATGTTTGTATTTGCGCGTTAGGCATACATCCTCGACTTTCTCGATATTTCGCGTTTGCGTCGCATCTATACGATGATTTTTACGCTATACTATATAGAGATATATACATATATACACATACAGTTGATCCATGTATATACGAAGCGAACAGCGTGTGTAAATTTACCTGAAACGAGAGAGAACTGGAACGGTAATGTAAATTCAAGTAGAACCGGTGAGCTTTATACGTATAGCAAAAGTACATAATATAAAGCGACCGAATAAACGGGCGACACCGAGGTCGAGACGGATTCGCACGTTTCGGGAAAGAGAAAAACACATAATGACTCAGCACGAGAGAAGGTAATTGCTTAATGACGAGCAGGTGTTACTAGAGCAAATCGAACGAGCTGATGAACAAAGAGTTTCTAATCCTAAAATCCGACTCTCGCCTCGTTCCCGTTTTGCCTGTCATCATTGTATATCGGAACGTCAATCAAATTTATCTAGACGGGCGACATCGAAGAAGAAGAAGAAGGGACATTTCTCGTCTTGCACTCGGCAACGCGTTCTCCTGTTCTCCCGACCTGAAAACATTGCCTAGAAAGTTCAAGACTGCTTGGACATGTGGCCTATGTAATTAACTCTATTAGAGAAAACCGAAACGTCGATCACGCTGAATTTCTAACTTAAGAACAATAAAAGAATACGCTTCCTGGATCGCTCGGAACGAGCAATGAGCGTCCATGAATATAAATGTGTTCATTGAGGGCGATGTTTTCAGGTGGAGTGCTCTTCTAATAGTAAAATAAGAAAAAAATAAATCAACCGAAGGACAAGAATACCTTCTTCTGATTATCAGACCTCTGAGATCATCGCTTGAGCGATATATACACATACACAATCACACACACAGCTCACTAGGTAGGAATATCGACTAGCTGGTCGATGCGATCGAGTTGCCTCGGTACGATTCCGATTTCGGCGAATCGAAGCGTTCTTTTATTCGAACGACTTCGTCGGGACTTTCGGTTTGTAACGCACGAACTCAAAGAAGGCAAAAAAGTGCAAAGACGCTACAGCGTTATCGATCGAAACGAAATCACGACTTGATCTTTAACTCGATCCCTCATGTTCGACGAAAGTACCATGTGTTCTTATATTTCAAGGTATTTTATCTACATATTTACCTACCGACCGACCGACCGATCTACCCACCCACCTACCTACCCTATCTACCTATTTACGTGAGCTCTTTTGTAACTTCCGCGAGAGTTAAAATATAAGAGAGAGACTTTTTCCTTTTTATTTTATAATCCATGAAGCCGAGTAGTACCGGGCTGCCACAGTTCTACGATTCCTCTCGTATCATTTTTTTTCAGTCAGGGTACCAACGCGCTGCGCGCGTTTCAACGTTTCAACCATGTATATACGTTCGACATGATTAAATCCCCATCATTTAAATCATTAGGTGCAATAAGGGAATATCATCATGTACATATAGGCAAAATAAAGTGACGTTTGTGACGGACATCGTCGTCGTGTCTTTGTTGCGTCGTATCACGCGTCTCGTCCATTAGCACATTTGTTATTTAAAGAATCCTACCAGGACTGCAACAGACTTAGAAAATCGAGAAAGGTCATTAAAGAAACTTAAATCGGTCGGTGAAAACCTGAAAGAGTCAAGGAAAGATATAAAATAGACTGGAATCTCGAGCTTTGTTCACAATTTTCTTAAATGCTTTTATTTCAAAAAGTAATTATAATTTTTTAAATATTTCATCTAACATTTACAGGAAAGTATGTATAAACGCACACTTTATAAATCATTTTTCACGTGTTAGGCCGTAGCACGTAAAAAAACTTAAGCAATAAGAAAAATAAAAAATCGATTATTACTCGACCGTAAGAACTCGATCGTAAGAAAAATAATCGAATGTGATTGGTCAATTTTATTCAGCATTTTTATTCAATCGTCTTTTTCTCTCATAACTGCATTCATTTTTCCAATACTCATATTTTGTTGGCCTGAATTTATTCAGGATTATGTTATTAAACTTCTAAGTTTGCGTTGCTTTATTCTAATAATATAAGCTACCTTTTCAACAATCCCCTGTTTCTAAATGTTAAAATATAAGATTATATTTGCACTATAGAACTGTGTTTTCCAGGCCTAAAACAACTCGGAACAAAAAATTCTCGATTGGAACAAGAAAAGAGAGGATATGTTTACTCTTGGCTTGGGGATTCATTTATCGACAAACGTTTTTTTCTTATTTTTCTTATTTTTCTTATTTTTCGGGCTTCTGGCCTGACATGCGGAATTGTCCTTTCGGGATAATTTTTAAAACAACTGGAACCATCTATAACGATAAGAAAATGATTTTTGAAAAGAGGGGAGCCAGGTAAAGAGATTTATTTTTTTTTGTTTTATTCATTTCTTTTATTCGAGAACCGTTTCGAATAAAATAATATCACATTGGAACAATTGTGGTATAAAGGTAGAACAACCCAGAATAAATTTTAAAATTATAATTTCCAAAAAAAGTCGGGCTAACTTCGTACACTCGTCATTCTATCTTTCTTTGATATGTATTGAACAATAAGGAAAGAATGACGCTTAGAGCTTACTGTACACGTCAAACGGACGGCAGCCTATGAATACCTAAGATAAAGCTTGTCAGCATCGAACGATCTCGCTTGAAAACCTATTTCCAGAGTTTCCGAGAGCGACGATGATGAAACGCACAATCACCGGTGACCGTTCGAAAGCGACTGGCACGCTGCTTCGCGATTCGTGACGACGTCGCTGCTGCTGCAGCAGCGAGAATGAAAAATGGCCGCGAACGTGAGAACAGGTGAGTGGTATGCGACGTGTGCGAATTGTCGGTGTGTCGCGTTCGTCAGCCCGTTTCATCGCGATTTCATCGTTACGCGGACGCTTCCGCTCCGGGTAGCCGAGAAGACGCGTCGTCGCACGATTGGTTCACTCGCGTCCGTCCGCCTACGTTCTTCGTTTCGCGACGAGGGGAGCGCGCGTTCATCACGCTCTCTGTTTCGTGAGGCAGCAGCGGCGCGACGAGAGCTCGAGCATGTGGTTTTCCGAATATTCTCCCAGCACGGTTATCAGTGGATGAGATAAGCGTGCGTGTGCGCGCGCGTCACGCTTATCGGGGCGAGCTGCTGCTGATAGCAGCGATGGTGGGCGTAGGATATCGGCGACGCCGACCAAGCGGGTGAGCTCATCGATGTCAAGCGAATCGCATTAACGTACGCCGCCGACGACGTATTTGACACGTATATATCGACGTATAGTGGCGTCCGTGGCGCGCACGCACGCACTTTGTTTTGGAAAATTTCTCCTACCGCGTTATCCGGAGCGTCATGTATGTTGTATACGTACGTACACGTCCACGATATCACGTTCGTTCGTCCGTCCGTCCGTGCATACGCGTGAATGTACCAGCGTGTACGAGGAACAGATCGCATAAGCTGCGTAGCCTCTGATCCTGATGCCCGTCGAATTGCTTGCAGAAATGCGGATCCCGACACGCGCGGCACCTCGTCCTCCCGGCGCGACACAAAGAGACCCGATTTGGGGCAGCAGGTTGGTAACTCCTTGTTTTCTTATCGTGCTTTTGTTGTACGTCGCTCACAGCAGAGACCTGCTTCCGGGTCTTTCCTTCCATTCTCTCCTTGTTCCTTCATAATGACCTCCATACTAGGGTGATTTTGTGTATCTGTCTGTGCCTGTGTCTTCAGCAATGACATATTCGGAAGCGCTCTGACCATGGCGCAACCTGTACAGAAAAAGAAACCACCTCCTAGGCCGCCACCTCCAAAGTTCAATCTGAATCACACGCAGCATCAGAGTGACCAGAAACCAAGAAGACCAGTAAGATATCACAAGTTATTCGGTATGCTTGTGTTTCTTTATATGGTACAGTCTGTTGATGTCAGCGGGACATTTTTATGAAACAGCTTGTTTACGTCACTGGAACATATACTTCTCGCGCAGTGTTGCATTAACAGAATTGAGAAATCTGCTGTGTGCGTATATATGAGTGTTTGGGCAGTATCTGGTACTTGTTTCAAGTTCAAATAAAGTGAGAAAACAGTATAGTCAGTGTTATTTATACTGTATTATTTCTTAGACTGAGAGTTACAGCAATTTTCAGCTTTATGTATAATGTATAAGGTGAAAAACCACAAAAATAATTCTAGTAATAATGCTTTGATTACAATAGCTCTAATTATAAATTTCAATCTTATGTGTGCACGTGTGTGAAAAACGAAAAATTGTGTAATAGTAAAAAGTGTTAATCTAGGAAATGGTATAACATACATGATGTCAACTGTATACAGCTTTTGTAATCTACAGTTCCTGTACAGTTCCTAGATCGAAAATTTATATGATGTTTATACACATACATGTGTGTGTATGTGTGTGTGTGTGTGTGTGTGTGTGTGTAAAATTAAAATCGTTATAATTAGAACTATTATAACTTAATCATTATAATTAGAGTTACTTATGCAATTTTCAACTTTACAAGTTATGTATAAGACTGAAAATTGTGTAATATTCCGTCTAGGGAATGGTACAGCATATATGACACTAACTATACAGTCTGTATTATATAACAACTGAAGGTATAATATGCATCATATTGGCAATTCTTTGTCCCTTGTCAAAAATTACAACTGTACTTTATCTCGTACACCAGGCTAGGCCGACAGAGCTGTTGACGAATTTCTTCGGGCGAAAGAAGCAAGAGAACTCTCTTCTACCACGTGCTACTGGTCAACTTCAGAACCCGATATCGCAGCTTACGAACTCCACCACGGCGGTATCTCTGATAGATCTCAGTCCGCCTGGGTCGCCAACGTTCACGACCCGCTCCAGCAGCGACGGAGTCAGCGTCGATAGCTTTGGCAGTGACGGGAATTCTAATCCGTCTGTGTTCACGAGCAGCGGAAACACGTCGCAAACGGAAAGTGCCTTCGAGGATGACTTCGACTTTTTCGGCCTGTCCGCCAAGAGAACAGCACAGAATGACCCTTGGCAGGTAAAGACGGCAGCGCAGGACCCGTTCGGCCCGCTGGAGGATACGTGCTCAAACGTGACTCGAACCGCTGACGATACGTGCCTCTTCTCTCTCCGCTCCAACGCTAATTGCGTCGCGAATCAAGTGCCTTCCATTCAGACCGTTTCTAAGCCTGCCATGACGTCGATGCCCACGATAATACGAGCGAGACCTCCCAAGCCGCCAGCGCCGAAGATACTTATGAAGAAGCTCGAACCGATGGCCAAGGAAACGTGTACCGCCGACTACAAAATTTCAAACAACGGCACAACGAGTAAACCGTTGACGTTAAGTGTCAATGTTTCCGACGGTACAGCGGATAAACCGTTGACGTTGGATTTCTCCAACATGTGGTTCAATGCATGGTCCAATGACGACGACAGTCCGTCGCCACCCATGCCAACGATTCCACCGCCAGCACCGCCGGCAGATTACTTGGCGGAATTAAACGGTGATCTTGGGGTGAGCATTGAAAACTTGACTAAATCTGCACGGAAAAAATCTCAGGCCGTGCAATTGAGCCCAAGTTGAAAATTCCATTACAAGAGTCTCTGTTACTGCGACAGTACGATACATGATTCTATATCCGTATAAGAGATTGAATTGCATTTGTGAATTTACAAATTTACAGAGAAGTTCCGATAAGCCTTACGGTATCGCATTGTACGACTTCCCAGCGACACATCCCGACGACTTGCCTCTGAAGGAGGGCGATGTCGTACAATTGGTGAGGAAAATAAACGACGATTGGTTGGAAGGAAGAATAAGGAATCGTCAAGGGATATTCCCGTTTAATTTCATCGATATTAAAATACCTTTACCAGGCTTACCGGACAACGTGGTTACGGCACTTTATACTTTTCAAGGAGAAAGCAGCGACGATCTGTCGTTTGAGGTATATAAAGGTTTAGGGTTCAATCATACTGAAAGGAATAAGGAACAAAGAATTAAATATAAAGAATCAGAAACAGGAAATTAAATTTGGATACATGGACAACCATGCTTCAATGCACAATATAGGAATAAGGAACTAAGATTAGAAACAATTGTCAATATTCTATTCCTTATAACTTGTACTACTTATAATGCTTAGTAGATGATTGATGGTTAACCTTCAAAATCTCTAATGATCATCAACATACAAATGAAAATCAAATTGAATTAATCAATAATTATCAAGAAAATGCTAAAAGTATTAATAATGACAATAAAAATCTATTAAAAATAGTAAAAGTGACAATCTCGTTTTAAAACGTCTTTATATCTTATTCTCTACTCGTTTTATTGTATTTTAAGCTATAGCTTATTTTTTACATCTTATTCTTAATATTTATATTCCTCGTTCATTCCCTTCATTGTGTCTGAGCTCTTACGATGATGTGTATATTGTAAAGTAGGTAAGAAATTTACTATATTTATAATATTTTCCATATTGCAGGAGGGAGCGAAAATTACGGTCATATCAAGGATATCGGAAGATTGGTTGTACGGTGAGTACAACGGTAGAAAGGGGCAGTTCCCAGCAAATCATGTGAATAGATTTCCGCGTAATATTTAAGGCGCTGTCTCATGTTGAGTATTTTCTACTGAAGATAATGATAATTCGAATATTTTGAGAGCCTTCATATATNTGTGTGTGTGTGTGTGTGTGTGTGTGTGTGTGTGTGTGTGTGCACACACACACCCACACACACACACACACACACACACACACACACACACACACACATACATATGCATATATGTATTGCAAACATTATTTAGAACTATTAGATAAGTCTAAGAATGCAGCATACAGAAATGAAGAAAAAACAAGTCTTTTATAGTGGAATTTTGAGCACACGAGGAAAAAATGTAAATTTTAGAAAATTTTACCAACGAAAGACTGAATTATAATATACAACTTTTTATCATCATATTTTAATAAAAATTGTCCTTGGAAATTATTATAATATTATCGTTAGAAATTAGAAGATAGCATTTTTGTTATATAAATACAATTATCTGATACCACTGATAATCCGCCCGTGTGCAGGTAAAAAAACTCACGAAAAATTGAATAAAAAAGTTTTTTATCATCTTAAAAAACAACTATAATAATTATTAAGATATTAATCAAAAGAAATCGGTAAACGAGTGCGCGAGATGCGAGAAATTTCCGGATCTTTCATTTATTTATTTCTAATATTTCGTGAACATTTTAGTTCATTACTTCTTCAGGGAACGAGATTTGAAATTCTGAATTTTTTTGACTGATATTTGGCACCATGAAGGACGTGGCATTAACCCGGAAATCAAATTAAGTGTGTCTTCAACTTGATTTCTGATTTTCTGGGAACTATGTGGCCCAAAATCACAGCGTTACTCCGTGTCTTGTTGCCAGCCGATATTCATTGTCGCTAGAAGATAGATAGTCAACATGCCGAAGACACGTCTCTTTAAAATACCTTACAAAATTCATTCCATCGTGTCATGTGCACTAATTCACCAATACTTTTTAATTAAATTAATATCTGAATAATGACCGTGGCTACTTTCAAAGTAGTAAAGGCCTTTTTTATTCAATTTGATGAGTTCTGCCTGCACACAAACTGATATACACAGATGACACTCTGTATATTGATGATATTCATAATTAATTTAGCTTATTTTATTTCTAAAAATTTTGCACTTTATATTGTTTGCAATATATAATGAGGGATACTGCTGCTGAAAGGCGAATCATATAAGAATGCTTCCTTTTTCATTTCGGAACTTTATACACGCATCTCGCATATAATTAAGAGATTGATTATATAATATCTTTGTATACCTTATATTCTTCTCATCATTATTTAATGAAGAAAGGTTAAAAAAGAGGGAATACTTGTATATTTTTCATTTTCCATATTAAATTCAGATTGCCTTTAACATGGCTTCTTCAAGAATTTTTCTTATCTGAATACATTTTTGCAAGAATAGATTTGAAATTCTTTGTTTCTTGTTATACATACATATATTCAAGTAATTGTTTAAACATTAATTGTGCTTCTAAGTTATAAAGTAGCTGCTGATCTGTTAAATGTGTACAAATGATTAATGCTAACTTATATAAAAAAATGGAGCTTACTTTATTTTATTAAACGCGCGCGCGCGCATTCATCTTACGTATAATTTGAAAAATTTATTCTTTATAATAAAATTTGTGAACTGTTCAAATGAAAGATATTCTTCGACACGTGATTGAATTAGATAGGATATCATCTTTTAGAAATACTTAGACATATACAAACATAAAGATGCGGAGTTATACATATATATAACTTTTTTCATAATGTATATATTGTTTGAATTTAATGTGTTTGAAGCTAGGAAATAACTCAATATTTCTTTATTTATGCACCATATAAAAAATAATTTTCTTTTAAACATAAATTGTAGGTTAAAAATTAGGTTATCTCAGCATAATATACGCGTTGTATATTTATATTGTACATGTATATTACATTTATATATATAATTTAAGGCTTATATTATTTAGTTTCATTAAAAGTTACCAACATAACGATGGTACGGCATATGTATTATGTGACATTTAGTGTTATGTATATTACGTGAATGCATAATGAAGTAAAAACGTAGCTTAGGTAATTTCATATACGTTTAATTTAACGTTAACGTGAATAAATGCTTTTTCGTATATATGTATATATGTAATCGTGCGTCCACAAGATTCATGTAAATCATGTAATTAAATTATCTAATTATGTTCGATGAAATCTATGCATCGATATTGATATATTCAAGTGTTTCGTGCATGCCTGAAGATACCAAATCGTTGGTTGATGTCGTGAGAAACTAGAGAGGGAAAAAAATCAACGATTCGGTCGTTAACTGCGTGTCGTGAGTTATTGTATATTGTTAATCAGAAATGACGTATGTTTCAATCGTATATCTCACTTTACTTGAAATTCTCATTTAGTACAGTATTAACACGATATATCCGTTATATCGAAGGTCTGCATCGGGACCAGTATCTTAGATTGTAAGGAACAGGAGATTAGGAAGAGACGGATGGTAATAGCAAAGTCAAAAGTTATATCCAAAATGTAATGATAACAGATATTTTACATATATATAAGTAGTGCTATTTAATTCTCTCGAGAAATACGCTATTATGCAAGAGACGCCTAATACGCAATGTGATATTTTGCAATATTTAATATAAAAAAAAAAAGAAGCAAACGTTTCATACAAACATAGACACATACATACATACATTACACCATACACACACACACACACATACACACACACAAATGTATACAAAAACGAAGGAAGAATAAATAGAATTTATCTAACAATTATTTCCAGATATAGGCAAAAGAAATATGTTGTATGTATGTGTAAAATAATCTACAAGTGATAGACATATTAGATTAGATATGTATTTATCTTGAACGCAATAAACGGCAAATACGAGCTGTACGCATGAAAGAGTTACGCTCTTTCGGTGTATTATGCTTGTATATAGCTAAACGTTAGTGCTGATTCTTTCGTTGGCGTTGTCCCGCGCGACATTAGTGTCGATAAATCGATTATTTCGCGTGACGGCTCTTGCCAACAATATACTTGTCGAACGCACAGCCGCAAAGTGCTCGTGACAATTGTTCCACGTGTTGCATTTTAAGATACCTTTGTAGCACGGCAGATTCGAGTCCGTGTAATTTTTCAGCGTTTGCGTCACGACTCTCCGGAATTTCTTCCCTGTCAAATAGTACAGGAAGAAGTTGATCGCAAAGTTCCAGTGGTATATGTGAAAGAACAAGCCACGGCACCATTTCAGAAACATCTTCTCTTGTAGCCTGAAAAATGTTCCAAATGTTTTCGAATTAGGCAATTTTTACTCTTCTTAAATTTACGCTAGAGGAGAAGATTTACGATCGGCTTCATCTAATAAGACTTCATCTAATAAAAAATCTGAACCAAAAATTGAAACCGTCAAATGATTCGTACTGATTCGTACTGATCGTAATGATTCGATATTCTTACCAGTGTATGTATCTCTTGTTTTTCTCCGCATCATTGGCGGGATGTTCGATCAAAATTATGTCCCAATAAAGCTCTAAAGTTTCTACAATCCCGAGTGGCAGCAAGAGAATCAAATATACTATCGACACCGCGAGCAAAGTCCGGCTGGAATTATGCGTCCTGTTATTTTTGTACCTGAAATTATCTGAAGCGAGAGTCTGCCTCGTGTAAATCTTCTGTAATTATGACATTATTGCATACACGACCACCAATTCACGAGCATAACTTACGAGTCAACTCGTTGTGAATTTTATAGGACTTTCTCACGCGAATAATCAACAGCAAGTTGCCGACGAATATAAACAGCAGAGGTAGCCACGTGGACAGAGCTATATAGAAGTACATGGCGCTACCCCACGGCTTTATCATCTCCTGGCACGGTATAAACTCGAAAACGCTGTCGGTTTCGTATCCTATAATTAGTATGATTTGTAATTCGTTTCGTCGATGAGAATGATATGAAAATCAATTATAATATCACTAATCACGACAATAATACGTAGTAGTGAGTGAATAGAGTTGGAAGAGTTACTTTTGAAAAATAAATAATTACTCATACTCATTAACATTATCGTTATTTAACTCTTTAGTTACGAAAGGCATATATATATGACTTGATCAAGTTGGCGCTCATTTACGAAAGATATAAGGTGAATATTCTAATTAGTGACAAAGGAACTTCATCGTGAAAATAAATTAATAAATTATAATAATACATGTGTTAAGTACACATAACATTAATTTTGTTCGAAAGTTTAAATATTTGGGATTCTAATTGTATCAAATTTTTTTAATTTATTGTAAAATTTTAATTAATTTATTATATATTCTCAAAAGAGTGACAGAAGTACTATTTATTGATATGTAACTTTAATTTTGTCCCAATTTCTGACACATATATGCTTATATTACTGACAAGTGATAACGTACGAAGAGCCTTATACTCTAGTAAACAATTTAGCAAATTGTCGCCAAATTAGCACTAAATTCGCTCAAAACTCGTCGACAATCCGACAAATCATCTGTGTCTGCAATAAGCTCATGTTTTGCTAACAAAGTTTGTGTACTTGACACCAAATTGGTTCCAGATAACAAGCAAAGCTTGATGACAAAGCCCGACAGCAAATTGATGCTAAACACAGAATAAAATTTGGTGACAAAACTTGACGTCAAATTGGCGCCAAATATCGAGTAAAATTTGACGATAACTTGTCGCCAAGTTGATGTAAAATATCGAGCAAGATTTGTTATTTAAAAAAAAAATATATATATATATATATATAAGGCTTGTCTTAATATTTCGATGATGCTAATACTGAATTCAAATTCCCGCAATTCTGAAATGCTTTGAGAACTTTGGAAACACCAAGTCCGTTTATCCCACTGTTTGAAGAATTTGATAGAAAGTTATCAAATCGTCATTGAAAGGAGGTAATTTGTAACGATAATGGCGTTACAAATAACACGTTACTTCCGAACCCTGCAACTAGTGACAATCGGATCGCAAGACCGGCAGAAAAAAATCACGGAAAATACACTCTACCTCCAGAGTACAACTTTGTTAAGGATATCACGGAACTTATGCAGGTCAAAATGGCAATCGTTATAACCGCCGAGCAATTCTGGCAGCCATGAGTTCGGAACGGGAACGTTACCGCGATCACTCGCGTCCACGTGAGAGCGACCACCAGCCAGGTCGATGTGAATTGAAAGAGCTCCATGCTCACGGAACTCGTGCTGCACAAGAATCTGCTATTCTGAAAGAAAATATTATCCTGAATATCGCACGTTCCTCCACTTTGTCGTCCTTCCGCTGACAATGACCATCTTCCGTTCCATGTGATAGTTTTTACCGGATTTCGCTTTCTTCAACGTGACTTATCATAAACTTACACTTGGAGTTTCATTTTAAAGCATATAGCGTTACAAATAACACGCGCTAGGAGAAAATCAGCAACAAATTTGAATGATTCCAAACCTTTCCTGTTAGATCGCTCTGATGGCAACGATCATTATTTATACAAATATCGGCCAAATAGTTTAGTTCGATCTTCCGCCTTCGACGATAAACTTTTTGTGATCGAGATACATACGAATATCACATTGGAACATCAACGAAGGATCGATAGACAATGACGGCGATTACTTCGCGGATGAACAAACGTATTCCTATTAAACGCGATGAAGTCAAGTTTGGCTGGGAAAATCGAGCTTAACTTGCCGATTGGCTCGGTCGGAAGATAGTCTTGCGGCGAGAGGAATATTTAACGACGCGGAATTCTGATCGCACATTCGATGATACGTTTGAAGCATTACCATGAAGAGATCGTTAACGAATGTAGAGTGTGATCTCGCGACGCTGACGGCATAACTAAAAATCAATGCTCCATTGTCCGATATAGCGAGCGCTCTTAGATAAAGTGACAAATTGGAGTCACATAGCACGGGTGTGCTCAACATACTAAAAGATACAGTATTTAGCAATACACCTATACGAAGTGAGGGTTACAGCTTTAAATGAAGAACAGTCAGGTTGCACGGCGACGCGACGAGATCTCTCACCGAGTATTATGATAAACGGCGTTACGTAGCCGACCAAGAAACGGACGAATCGGACGAACGGCTGTAACGACAGCCAGTAGAAGCGCACCTCACACGGCCATGTAACTTCCAACTCGGCTTGAGTGAAATTATAAATGAAATCCATGACTGTCACGGGCAAAGGACACCTCGGAGCAGTTCTGAAATTGAGAAGACGCAATCCACGAGCGTTCGATGCATAGAAAAAGAAGTACTCGCAAGAGAAAAATCTGAAACACATGTTGTACACACTTGTGCCACCTTCGACGAGTAAAAGCGGCAATTGCACTCCCGTCGATGAAAATTTCATCAATTCGGCCGATATAAAACCTGAATTACAGATCGTTGTCGGCCGCGCCGAATGAATTGCGACCCGGGCGCATACAAGTAATTGTTACTTGAAACTTATCTCATGTGAGATGCTCACATTTTAATTTAGATTTAGACTTGAGTTTTCAGTGAAATTATATGGTATATTTGACATTTTATACGTGATATTCTATTATATTATTAATTGTTCTATTATTATTATTATTATTATATTTTTTTGCTTAGTCGTATCGCTCGCCTGACATTCTATTCTGTTCTATTATTAATATGTCCATTTCATTTTTATAATTCACAATGTTTCAGTTTATTCACAAACAATTTATTCACGGAAGAAATTGTCTAAACACTAAAATTGTTAAATATGCTCATTCTTATATCTCTTTTGTTTTCATAGCTCTCCTGACGCTACAGGGGATATCATTCCAGAGCGCTTTATAAATAAAGTACTTATTCATTCATTCATTCATTCATTTTGTAATATTCTTTTATCTATAATATTCAATTCTACTAAACTAAGAAACACTCACATCTAACTCTGAATTCAAATCTACTTGAGTATCTCATTTGAGGCAAATAACGATTGTTAACATGGGTATAAATTAAATATTAAATATCCCAACTCGAAACAAATTTCAAATCAACGACTGTTAATACAGACCTTAGTTTCCCATTTGGTCCGAATTTTACGTTCGATCGAACTTCGTCTGATCTTCATCATTAATTAGCGTGAATTATAACACTTTCTTACCCGATGTCGTGCACCGAGGAAGGCTCGTCAGCGAGCAGCGACCGCATATTCGTGAGGAGTATCATCGCACGAGCGTCTTTATCGCGTAATGACGAAAACATTCGACAGTGTCGCGCGAGAATAATCCGGAACCTGAAACGGACGCGTAGCCCGCTGCTACTACGATGGAGAAAGAGAGGAATTATCCACCCTGCAGCACGTCTATGACTAACAATGAAGCCGGGCACTAATTAGAAGCTGCGGAGCATCTGTCGTCGATTATCATAACGTGACGTATCGCGCGGGCGCGCAGATAAATAACGTCTTGATGCAGAAAAAATGTCTCGCGCGTTGCTACATGCTCCCGGAGTGCATTAACACCGAGCGGAATCGAATGAAATGACGATAGTTCTATCGACAGAACGAAAACGAAAGCGATCCGAAACTAGTCGGGACAAGATCGTCGTAAAGTCGTGGAACCGTCATGCGTCGCGATTAGCAGAAAAGGTAAAAATATCCTTACGGGATTATAGTATTAAGAATCACGTTGAAAAAATTTATGCTAATTAAATACCGATAGCATTTCAATTAAGAAAAAATTACCAAAACTGACATACCAAACGAAGAACCGATATACATACCATTTCATTTTTGGACTCTGATATATATATATATATATATATATATATCATCATCATCATCATTATCATCGCCTCTGAGACGGCTCTCTCTCATAGGCAGCGTAAGACGACTGGCTATATAGTAGTATTACATATATGACTATCATATGAAGACGGTAGCTTTCGACATCATTGAACTAAAGAACATATTGGAATGAGTACTGCCTTTGTTTCTGGCAGATGACCTCGTACCGAGAGAAAAAGTATCTAAATAGTATTTCCGTCTTTGGCTTATCTATGTAGACTATATAGCATCTTAGTAAGACAGAGAACGAGATACTATTTAGACGTGGCCTTTGTCGCACAGCCTCTCTAATAGGCCATGTCCCTCACCACACCAGTGCTCATTTCAGTATATTCTTTAGTTCAATGTATCGCACCTATTGTTTCTCTATTTATCTATTATTCTAGCTATTGCACTGTATGTTAAGGCTAAATTTAGGCGCGATGCGCGATATCCAATGAGTATGCAATTCTTCTGGAAAAGCAGTACGCTCATTGGATATCGCTCATTGGATATGAACTTCTAGTTCTTACTGAAAAACGGCATGTTGATTGGCTACCGCGCGAACTTCCATCGCGCGGCAAGTATTGCCGTGTCCTGTGGGCAGAAGCCATTAGAACAACTACAGAGGACAACATACTTGCTACATTTGCACACTCTGGTGTCAGAGACGACGTATTAAATTCAAATAGGATGCATAGGACCGCTTACAACCGTTACGAGAGGGGGAATTGACGCGAGGAAACATAAACTTTGTATTGAACTCTGTGGAATTGTCGTTATTATGAGTAACATAGCAAAAGAATTATCGGCTATCAGGTCAGATATAGCCAGTATTCGAAGAAGCGTGAGTGATGTGTTTACGTGTTTTTATTTATTTTAATTCTTCTTTATAAAAAATCAATCTAGGGTTATATATATATATATATATATATGTGTGTGTGTTTTATATCTACAATATTTACATTTTACAATATCCACAATATTGGTAATATTTTACATACTTACAGTCTGATAAATTTTCTAAGGAAAAAATGGAGTCGGATATAACATCAGATAACAAAAAGAAGAAAGAAATTCAAGAGAAACAGCAGATATTAAAAGACAAATCTCTGGCCAGACAGATCTCTCAGATAGAAATTCAGTTGGAAGAAAAATCACGAAAGTTGGAAGCATTCAACAAAGAAAGGAATATACTCGAGAAAGAACTTATATCCACAAGATCAGAATTAGCAGGAATTAAAAGAACATTAGGTAAATTAATAAATTTGTATACATATAAATGAACTAACCAATAAATAATAAAATTATAACAGAAATAGGTAAATTTATATAATAATAAATTTATTCATGTTCTCTCATGAGCCAAAAATATGACCTACAATTGTTTCTTTTTGGATAGAATTAGAGCGGCAGGAAAGGAAAGATTTAGAGACTCATGCACTTGGATTGATAAGAGAAGCTAAACGCAAGTGGGAAAATGCAGAGAAGGACAAAGTATCACAATTAAATAAACACATTGAAGCACAAACCACAAGAATTACAGAATTATGTACAAGTAACAATGATATGAGCTCACATCTACAGAGGACAGAATGTGAATTACAGACAGCAAAGGCAGAATTAGACAAATTGCGTGTGTTCCAAGTAAGTAACATAATGTCTTGCTACATATAAGGTTAATAAGTAATTATTGGTCAAATATTATTGGTGACATAAAAAAATATAACTTTAATAGGATAAGGTGATGATGTAAAAATTAAATTCTTTCTTATATTTTTAGACACAGTATAAAGAATCTTTGGCAAAAACACGTGAGTTAAATAGACAAAGTGTTCAGGGTGTTGAAATTAAGCTAGAGGAGATAGCTGTGCGCTCTCATAATCAACTGGCTGATTTACGTGCGAAATTAGATTACGAAACAGCAAAAAATACAGATCTCGAGACAAGGTTGCGAAATGAACAAGATTCGAATCACTGTCGCGAGTCAAGATTGAATGTTGCTTTGGAACTCACTCAAAATGAATTGAAAGATTGTCAGGAACAATTACGTACTATACAAGCCACATTGCCAGCGAGAGATGCTGAGATTGAAGCTTTACGTAAACAGTTACAAGATAGAACAAGGCAGATAGATGATCTAAAAGTATCGGAGCAAATGCTTACAACATTACAGGAGCAACTGGAAAGAATAAATTTTGAAAACGAGCAGTTAAAACAGCAGTTACAAGTAAGTATTCAAATACTTTCTAGGTAGACCAAAATGCTGAACATAGTATGTAAACATTTAGTGTATGCTCTATGATGCCATTGCAATAGCACAATATGTTTAAAATGTGCTTGTTTTAAGAATACTAATTGTAATAAATGTTTTAAGAAATATTATTTATTGCACTAAATAGTTTTAATACAAATATTAACTTATTATCATAATTCCGAATTAATTGCGTTCTCTTTCGGGCAAAATAAGTAGCGATATTTACATCAGAATATATACCGTAAGATTGCCGCAATTTTCATGGCATCAGCTCTTTTATATGAGGTGTCTAGTAATTTTCCCAGAATCCGTTGTAGATCCAGGTAGAACGTGGAGTGAAACAGAGGAGTTAGGTATCATTTTGCAAAATTCGCAGTAGCTAATGAGGAATTAATTAAGCTAATGAGCGTGTGAGAAACGGTAGATCGGACTTTAGATAAGCTATTTTTCTTTATACAGTCCAGTTTTCCCATGCGCTCTTTAGTTCGTACAAATTAATTAATTCCTCATTAACTATTGCGAATTTTGCAAAATGGTACATGATTTTTCTGTTGGTTTCGCCTATTCTATTCACCACGGATCCCCAAAAAATCATTGGGCACTCTGTATACTAACAAAATGCTTGTTGTATGAGGACGCATCTTAACGTACTTATGCCAGTCACGATGCAGACAATATACCAAAATATGTCTGTCTCGGTTTATAAAAGATCAGTCAATGTAATAAAATTCCAATCAAACTTTTACTTGACAAAATTTTACTCAACTGAGAAATGTGTGATTGAATTGTTAAAGGTCACAAAATCTGATTTAAATGAAACTATGATGAATTTGGAGCAAAGTGAGGCACTCGCTTTAAATTTAGAGCAAGCGGCGCAGGATAAGGTTGCGTTACAAAAGAGATTACAGGATTCTTTGGAAAAAGAAGGTAAACTATGTAAAGAAAGATATTCATTTAGAACGCCCTCTTATATTGTTTTATTCTGTTTTCTTCTTTTTTTTGTTGTTTTAATTACAGAGGAACAATTGCGCAAGGTTGGAAATTTAGAAGAATTGTTAAGACGTTTGGAATACAGTGTTACAAAGTTGGAGACGGAAAATGCTAATCTTAGACGATCGGATAAGGTTGAATCTACAACTCGTGCAACAATTGCTGAAGCTGCAAGCACGAAAATCGTTCATCGACCAGAAGAAACTGAAAAACTGCGAGAGCAACTTGAAACTTTAAGGGAAGACATAGCAGCTGAGAAACAAGCAATGAAACAAGCTCAGTTGACTTTGTGGAAGAAAGAAAAGGAATTATCGGACGCCAATTTGGATAAACGTATAGCTACGAGGGAAGCTAAGAGAGCTGAAGAAAAGATCAAAATGTTACAGGAAGAGAAACAAAAATTACAAGAAAAATTAACGAACAAAGCGAAGGAGGAAGAAGAAAATTCGAAAAGATTGCTAAAAGAGTTGGATATTGCGAAAGCATCTTTGAACGATGTCACAAGAGAGGCATCCAGAAATAAGATGCAAGCCGATTCAGCACAAAGGGTACACACGCAAAACTTGTTTCTACTATAAAATAGTAAACATTAATATGATATTAATTAATGCGTAATCACATACATTATATTAACTGGTCGTTTTTTGTTGTTCAGGCTTTAACTCAAGCTAATCGTCAGATCGAGGAGCTTCAATCTTCTAGCGCGTCAATACGTAGAGAATTGGATGCTATTCGTAAGCAAATGCGATTGAATCAGGACCGCATCGACAGTCTGAATGGCGAGAACAAATATTTGACGCACACCGCCGCCAGACATGATGAAGAGAAGACTGAACTTGGATCTAAAGTCGCGAAGTTCGAGCAAGACATTAAGGGTCACGAAATAACTATCGAGCTTTTGAAGGATACTTGTACAGTATTGGAGGAACAGTTGATAGATTACGAGAGACTAACGACCGATCATGAGACACGTGAGAATACACTGATTCAGGATAAAATGAAACTGCAAAAAGACCTGGAGGCCGCAGAGACGAGGGTGCGCGAGGCGCGTGCTGCGCAAAACGAGGAGAAAACGCGGCGTTTAGCGGCCGAACGTAATGTCGAGCAATTGGAGTCGGAAACAAGCGATATAGAGAACGAGAGGGACGGTCTTATCGTTCAGAGAGATCAGTACAAGAAACTCGCGCAAGAACTTGGCACGCAGGTAGAGGAGTTGACCGTGAAATGTGGCGAAATGGAGTGCGACCTGTTGAAGAAGAAACATCTTTTAGAAACCTTTGAGAATGAATCGAGAGACGTGAAGGAGGAAGCCAGCGTATATTTGACGAGAGTGCACGAGTTGGAGGAAGCGAATTCCGGTCTCATGTCCGACCTACAGGACAGCATAGATCAGGGTCAGGAGCTGAGATCGCGGATAGCGGATTTAGAGAATCTCTATACGGAGATAAAACAGTACTATCGCAACCGAAGGGTGCAGGCTGAGAGTACTATACAACAACAGAACAAGTTAATCAATATTCTGCAGTTGCAACTGGAAGAGTCCAAGAAGAAGAAGAAGAAAACCGTATGCGACAAGATACTCGGCATCAAGCAGAAGGAGAACGTGCCCCCGGTGGGTACGGGGATGCTGGTGGGATATCGTGAGTTGGAAAATCAGCTCGCTAAGGAACAAGCGAAGGTGAAAACGTTGACGGATCAATTGTTAGCGTTTAAAGCTATGGCCGCGTCGGCGCCTACGTCACCCACGACGCCGGACAGCAAGAGGACAGCGAGAAGTGCTGCTACGACCAGCGATTCTTTAATCCGACAGTTATCTCCGCAAAGAATAGGGCACAACATACCGCACAGATTCGATGTCGGATTGCCGATGCGTGCTGGAAAGTGTGCGGCGTGTTCAGAGACTGTACAGTTCGGAAGGCGCGCCGCGATCTGCAGCGAATGTCAGATCATGACGCATCTGAAATGCGCGCTATCTGTACCTGCCAGCTGCGGCATGCCGAGTGATTTGCCGAAATATTCTCACAGGAGTTGTCGAACCAGCGACGAGAGTTTAGCGTCGGTAGGAGATAGTGTCCAGACATTAGCGATAGATCAGCCGGACAAGCCTGACAAGCCTGACCTGGTAAGAACATCACCTTTTATTCGTTTTCGTATGCACTTGTATGTATCAGTCTTGGTTGATTGATTATCCTTGTTGATTTCGAACCTCTTAGTTTTATGATTTTCAACATGTTGAATGCTGTGAATGCCGGTAACCAGCATTGTGATGTCGCGTCTTATTAAGTTGCATATAAGATATAATTAATTGCAAAATAAGCTGTACGGCCAATAAATAGCCAATGGAAGGAAGTAATATATACAGGGTACTCGATATAAGACGTGCCAAATCATACGAGACATTTACAACAGATCAAAATGAGAAATAGGATCAATATCATTTTGTAAATTACTACGTAACATTTTGAGTTATTAACGACTTGCATCGGACACTCGGTATATGTGTCAGATTAAGGCTCCTGGATACTCGCTTTGGTTGTCCTTCTTTAATGATGTCAGAAGTGAGGAAAATCATGTCAATTTGTGTGACAGTGCATGTGGAAATAAAAGAATATACGCACAAAATAACACTTGTGATGGATTCAGCATATTTGGAAAAATGTCTGAACGCTTTCCTTTAGCCTGAACAATTAATAAACAGCCGTAAAATTAACGTAATAGAACATCACGAGAAGAGATAGATTAAAAACGTAAAAAAGTTGCATGTTACACTAATTTACGGCTATTTATTAATTGTTCGGGTTAAAGGAAAGTACTCAATATGTTAATCATCGAGTTTTTGTACACCATTCGATATACTCAGATGTATTGTATTTGTAGGAACAACAAAGCACTCAGTATAAGAGTAACGATGAGAAAGCTATTATGGAAGGATGGGTGAAAGTTCCTAACAGAACACAATCTTGCTGGGAAAGAAAATATCTGAAATTGGAGGAATCATGCTTATGCGTTTACGAACACCAACCAAGTCCAGGAATGGCGCCGATCAATCGTTTGAACCTAATAGAAAATAATGGGTTTAACGTTTCCGAGACAATACAGCAACCTGACGTACTAGGAACGGCAAAGTCCGACGTGCCGTTTATATTCAGAATAGAATCGAATCTCACGACCACTTGCTATCCTTCATCTAGATTAGACGTGATGGCCCTGAGTCAAACTGATAAGAAAGAATGGCTAAAAGTTTTAAAGGCCATCACCAGCCAGTGTTTGTACAGTGCACCCAAAGGTAAAAAATATGAAACTGTACTCAGATTGGAAAAACATCAGGTGGGCGATACGTCAAGATAAATTATGCGTCTTGTTTGTTTTACGAAGTCCAATGTAAAAGAGACAAAATGAAATAGTTACGTTTTATTCTTCGCTCATGCCCTTGCAGAAATTTCATACTGAAAATTACCAGGAAATTTGCAGCGATTAACTTTTTCCCTACGAATAGCCGTTATAGTGGCAGTTCGCTAAACTTCTGCGTGTAAAACAAAATGAATTTATCGCGTCGCGAAAGAATTAAATACTGATAGTATTTGAATAATTATTTGGCATTTATATACATACATATATACAGGGTCTGCCAAAAGTCCCAGAACGGATAATTATTTAAAAAAATAATGATTTAAAAACAAATGTTTGGGACAAATGTTATAGGGTGTAAAAAGGGCTATCTGATATTGATAATTGTTTGGCCTTAGAATGACTTTGAGAATGTTATTAAGGTCAACATAAAAATCTTAAATGGAACCCTCTATTTTTCGTTATATCATATTCTTATAGCTGACGTTGAGACATTTTCGAAACGCTGGTTACGCACCTTTTTTTCCATAAGAACTTTCCGAATTATGGGGCTTAAAAGTTACAATACCGCCAGCATTAGCATTACCCAAGGTATACCGCGTGGAGGTTGCACGGTCGGATTTACACCTCTTCTATGTGTGTGTGTGTGTGTGTGCGTGCGTGCGTGCGTGCGTATGCGTGTGTGTGTGACACACAAGCACAGCATTACATATATATATGGTTTTCGATCAATTTCATTTCTTTTTGCGTTGGACTTTGTATACATTTAAATTTATCTTCATTTTCTTTGCATTAATGTAAATATTCTGTTTATCTTTAGTTGGACCTAAACTGTGTAGTGGATCTATATACAGAAAATGTGCTCTTGTTAGGTGCAAAAGAGGGTTTGTTCTCGTATTATCCCTCCAAGTCTCGCACGCTTACCACAATACGAGGTATCAAGTTGATACATCAGCTCTCTCTGTATCCTCAATTGGACTTAGCTTTAATGATAGCCGGTGAATATAGAGAACTGGTGTACTGCAACTTGAGGTTGCTGAAAAGTAACGCATTAGCCGCTGATTGTTCTAGGCCAGCGATCAGTACAAGAAGTGTACTATCTACCTCGGATAGTTGTCATCTTTATCAAATGCATGACGAAATGCTATGTGCTGCAACTGAGTCTCGTGTAATGTATGTAGTTTTTCATCTATCAGTTTATGGATATACATTATGATAATAATAGAATAGGTAATCTTATACATTATACAGGGTAGAAAATTAAAAATGTTACAGGCTAACATTTCTAAAACTTGCTGAAATATACAAGGTTTTCACTGTAACGGTCTTTTATCAGTTATAATGATCGGGCAGAAAAAGGCTCTAGAATTTATTAGTTTATAAATGACTAAGATGCCACAATAAAGATTTTAGAAATGTTCTTTTTTCGTAAAAAGATCAACGTAAGCTTAACTTGTTAAATATAACTCTTTTTTTTATCTGTAATCATGTAGAAAGTATTAAAACAATTCAATAGCTCGTAATATTTTTTTTTATTGACATTTAACAGTAAAATCATAAAAAATTCGTAACGTTTTAGTTATTTTAATAATGTTATTATAAAATAGTTGTTATAAAATAGTTATTATAAAATAGATAGTTTGAATAGACAGGGTTAAGTTCATTTTAATGATATTTTGATTATATAACATGTAAGTTTTGATATGTACAGTTTGAAACTTGCAACCGTAACATTATTCCTTCTGATATCGTCAACAGGAAGTCTAATGATATAATTTATGTATCTACTTGATAAGTAGGCTTCAGGTCGACGGTGTTAATTGTGCATTCTTTGCTTAGATGTGTATGAATGCAACTACTATATAACATTATTTTTTTCCGTAACAACTATATTTTTAATATCGATCGATTTTTCTTATTTACGGATGAAAGTTTTAAGATTCTTCTACAAATGGGCATTGTACGAAATATTTGGTATTTTATTTCAAAATATCTCGAGATATATCGCATTAGATCATGTGACTTTCAATCAGCTCGAGTCATTATACTCGTTAGAAGACGGGCTACTTATTAAAGACTTTCAGGTACTAAATAATCGATAAAAAACAGTTTCACATCTCTTTAAATTTTAGAAATGTTGGCCTGTAGCACATTCAATTTTTTATCCTGTTAGTATTGAACATGCGTCACTGTTAATATAGATTACTTAAATGGAGAATTGGAGAAGATTTCGGAGAGTTTATTACACTTCGCGAACTCGAAACACAGGGGCCTTGTAACTGCGCGATATTTACTTCGAATCTTCTTATCGTGGGATGTCATAAGTTCTTCCAGATTGATTTGCAAACTTATAATGTAGATGGTAAGCAAATGAAATATACTTTAAATTTAAATAGTGTGCAAATAATTTTTAAACTGCATAAATTATATTTGCAACGTTATATTGTGATTAACTTTCAAATATCACGAGTAGTGACTCTAAAAGATATTCTAAAAATTTAATGGACTTTTTATCAGTGGATTTTTCCGCACAATATGAAATTAATTTCTCCTCGGCGGAAATGTCGAGCCTAATTATTTGTTGCGAGATCTTCATCTTTATATTAAATAATTTTAATTTTAAATATTTAATTAAATATTAAAATAGTTTATAGAGCCGATTTTCAATTAATAAATTCATTAATATGTAGTTTATGTGAAATTAACTGGAGAATTACGATTTTATTATTCATTTACATTTTTATGAACATTTTTGAATATTATTGTTAAGCTTTAAAGTTTAGAATGACCTTCACCAAACTCTTATTAATCTAATGAACAAGTTAAAATTGCTGTCAATCAAGTATTACTTGGTCTGTTTTGCTGACACAGACAGAAATTACTAACTTTTCTTACTATACTATACTAACTATTATTGAATGACAAGTTACAGAATTGAAAATTGATGTCGACAATTATTATTGTTCATTAATTAATTTAATATGATTTTGGTGAAAATCAATTAAATGAGCCTTTAATATTCATTATCAATTATTTGTAACTCAACAATTATTGAATCCCAGTATTTTTACTGATTAAAGAACTCCACATTTATTAGAAAAATCAATAATGAAAAGTGTCTCACACGTGAAAGATATTGTACTAACATTATAACAGGGTTAGGAAGTAACGCGTTACTTGTAATGCCATTATTGTTACAGTTACTTTTTGTTCGGTAACGATTTAGTAACAACGTTAATTTTTTCTATCTATAACAAAGACAGGGTTTTTATGTTCGTTCGGATTTGATACTATCCGGATACCCGATTATTAGGGTAACGGATAATGGATGTCAGATCTGCATTTTTTTTTTTTTTTGCGGCGGAGTCAGCCGCCGAAGTCATAACAACCAAGATCTCTCTCGAACATTTGACAACGAATAAATTGATATAAACTTCTGGCAATCGTCTCAGGTTAAGGTTGTGACATAGCAGACCAAAGATATCAATTTATTCGTTGTCAAATGTTTGAGAGAGATCTGAGTTGCTGCGACTCTGGCCGACGCGTCAATTGTTCGTGCATCTCAAAGGATCCGCGGATAATCCGAATGCGGATTTGAAGTTTTCGGATCGGATCCAATCCAGTGATGTACTAGTGAGGGATATTCCTAACGTCCTATCTGGCTAGCGCCGGTACTAACACATGCATATCCGTATAACTAAGCGAAGCTATGTGAAATTCAGATGATTTCAGAAATTGAAATCGGCCGAGCGGTATTTAAGACGCGAAAAAGTGAGTTCCTTTACATGATTCCGTACAACTAGCAAACTCGAGGCGGCGATCGCACTTTGGACATTTAATGATCGCCCTTCTGGCGCTATCACTCTTTACGCAATACCGTTCGCGAATGTGAGCACCTGAAATACATGGGTATATCGACCTGTCTGTTTCCGTGCTCCTTTTTTCTTCTATAATATAATAATTATAATTATATTTAATAAATAATATTTTGTATATATATAAAGGGTAGAAAGGCTGTTTTTCGTTACTTTCTACGTTTTAAGTAATGGTAACGCGTTAGTTCAAATCTGTAACGAGTTACTTTTTACAGAAAAGAACGGTAACGCGTTGCTTTTAAAAAGTAACTTTCTCAACTCTACATTATAACAACTGGTATGTTACATGTAAAAAAAATGTAATTCTGTGTCGATTGATTAAAAAAATGATATGAATAATACAGAATTCCCAGACAAAGATGATAGCTCAGTGAAAGCGGGACTATCGGGCGCGGCTAAAATGGGTATTTTCCCCGTCTGCGTGTTGAATATTTCTAATACACGTGGCACAGCTGAACTCCTGCTATGTTACAACGAATTTGGCGTATTTGTGGATGAAACTGGTAGAAGGACTCGCGCCATTGATCCAATATGGAACCATTTTCCATTTACTTTTGGTAAATATTCACTTCAATTACACGTGCTAATTATATTAAACCTCTTTGCGGTCGGAAAATGCTGAATGAAATTTTGCATGTAGTGTATCCTAAAATGAGACGGTACATGTGGTCACAGATTGATCTGCAAAACCGTTAAAATTGGTCTCTTCTTAGTTTATACATTTTTATGTATTTATATACAATTGCACTTTAATATTTCATAGCAAAAATACATTATGTTATATTTTACGCTACAAATAGTCTTGCGAGAACGTGTCGTAGTGCGCAGCTCATTTAACGGTTGGAATGATAAGAATGTTCCAGTAAATCTAGTACAAATTGTTGTCTTGTTGGCGACTTCCGACCGCAAGTCGCCAACAAGAGTTAAGTTAATCAATCGTATAATTTCTGCTATTAATAAGTGGGTATTCTATATTTTTCAGCATTCTGCAAACCGTACTTATACATAATTCATTTTTCCTCCGTTGAAATAATAAAACTCGATTTGGAGGCATATAATACACCGGAAAAGAATCCCGAACGTATGTTAATTGAATTATCTAGTCCACGTTATCTAGGTACGGCTGGTTTAAAAGGAATTTATGTGATGACTGTGAATTCTTACCTTGATTTACTAAAGATTGACGGTTCTTCTATGTCGATGTTGAACAACAGTTTAACAAGTCTGGATACACTGTACGTTGCTTTTCTTCCTTTATTAAGATAAAATATTCACAAACGCATTATTCGTTTTATAAGACAATATATATTCTGCATATATATTGTGTTATTAACTATAATTATTTAACTGGTTAACATTATTTAACATTAGTATTCTACGGTAATGATAATTATTTTTATAGAGCTCAAGAAGACGAGAGTAGTTCAGAATTTAGTTTTACGTCAAGTTTAATGGAGGTTTTAGATGGACAGGGGAAAAAAGTACACTTCGCTGGTGTGCAGAAATATTAAGATATCAAAATATATATTTTCCACATGACGTTTAAATTTATTATCATTTCTTGGACTTGGCAATTACGTCGGGTTATGATGTCAAAAGCGAGAAATTATGTGTATTATTTTTGTAATTTGTTTTATGATACATTTCGTTAATTAATAAATAAATATAAATCTTAATCAACTGTTACAAGGTTCATTTTATATGTGAAAATAATAAAATAAAAAAATTCTTGATATTTCTTATCAACCCACATCATTGAATATTGCACGTGGAAGAAAAAAATAGATTTCCATGTGTTGTAAAGATAAATTTTCAAATGATTTCTTGCTTTTGACGTCATCAGTCAGTTGTAAAATGTCAGTTGTAAGTAGTAAAGAACTTCTTAATTAGTATTAGAAAACCAAATCACGGAAATGTTTCTAGATAATGTTGAACTTTATTTTCTGTATATTTTAACTGTAGTTTTCTTGAAGTACAATCATAATAAGGGTATGAAAATGGCTTTATTTATAAATAACGATAACTGTACTTAAGTGATTATACTATATTATATAAATTAATATTAATAATAAGAAGGAGAGAGAAAAAGAAAGAGAGAAACGATCATATAATAATATTAATAATAACAATAACAATAATATATTCCTTATGTAATAATAGAATTGTTCTATTTTTGCATTTTAGCTTAAAATAAGTAAGATTAAGAAATATACTCTTTTATATTTTAACAATGTATATTATTTTTAAATATATAATGCATTTTGCACTAAACTTTCCCAGAAATTGTCACATATAGATTTGCGCTTATAAATAATTTGTGTGCAAGTATTTAATAAATTAAAGTCTGTAAGAAATTACGTAATATTATATCCTAAACGCGTGATATTATATCCTAAACTTGTAACGAGGGATAATAGCCGAAACATACGTATACCAACAGGACATACATTATGTATTAACACTTAACGTTAACGGGTGTATATTATGTAAAGTGATGCGATATCCGGCAACCCTTGACTTCTGTGCCGGTAAACGCATAATCGTTATCACCTTCAGGCTGCAAACGTAAGACACCTAAAAAATTTTTTATAATTTAACAATCGAATATCCGTTGTCTTGTAATAATATGTATCTTCATTTGATATATTCGTGCGCAAATATACATAAAATATATCTTTGAACAATATATAGACTATATAAAATCATCAAAGCAGTCAAAATGTCTACTTTGTAATTAATAAAAATTATCCCGGTACTTTATAACAGTGTATTTTATATCATTTTAATTAACGTTAAATAAAATGAAAAAAACAAACATTTTTTTTTAATTTGTCATTTTAACTTCTCTAGTAAAAACAAGTTGTTAATTATCGATAGTTTCAGTGTAAGGCAACTTTATAATTACGATCTGTTTCATAAGTCAAGTTTTCTTCTATACATTAACAGAAATAAAGGAATAAAACTGATTCGAAACTTTTTTTATTTAATTTTAATTATTTTTTTATTAATTTTTAATTAATTTTTCAAACCTCTTTAGATTTTATATTTATAATTAATTCACAAATATAAATCAATATTGAGTATTCAATTATACTATAATTGATTATAAAATTAATTTTTAATATGCGGTAATTCTGTCTTAAAGGAAATATGGTGTGATAAATTTTAGTATTCAAAGAAGAAGAGAAAGAGAGAGGGGGATGGAGATTTCCTTAAAGGAAGTTCAAAGTAATAACAATGAAATTCATTGTACGGAGTAGGGATATCCGCTGTTATAAAAGGTCATTACGTGCCGTTATCTTTCTCAATCGTGATTCATTGACTGTGCCAATCCAGTGTATCAGTTAAATTTGTATCAAATCGAATTCTTACATTTCTATGTAGTGTAAATAATTGAAATCGACAAAGAATTGTAAATAAAAATTGTTCATTGATTTGCGCGAGATATTATTAAGATAACAAGCTAATAAGAGTATTTTTTGGGGATATTAACGAAATCGGAAGACTAATTTAAGAAAAATGTCTGCAAATACATCACCTAAGAGAAATTACAAACCGCCCAAACCTGGCGATGAAATCGTAATTTCCGGGATCGCCGGAAGATTTCCTGAATCTAGAAATGTGGAAATCCTGAAAAAAAATCTACTCAGTAAAGTAGATATGGTCACAGGTGATGATCGTCGGTGGAAATTAGGTAATTGACAGATTTCAATTTTAGCTCATTTAGGGTTACTTTCACCAAAGTCTGATTAATCTCTATTCGACGATTTAAAATTGCTGTCAACCAAATATTATCTTGCTAACGTAGATAAAACGATTAACTCTTTGATTATTATTGAATCACAAATTATAGAATTAAAGATTAGTAATGGTAATTATTTGCCGATTAGCTTAATCTGAGTTCGGTAAAAGTCGTTCTTAAAAATGTAGATTTGTAAAAATACAGTATCATTACTTCTACTTTACTATAGAAATGTAATATTGCCACTTCTACCATATTATTATTACCTCTATTAATATTACTAGATTTTTATATTATTATTACATTATTAAATCTAGTAATTATTTACATTATTATACTAAATTTTTTAAATCGCAGGACGAACACGAAGATTCATTGTGAATGTTTCATTTTATATTGGCAGAGCATCCGGATATTCCTCAGCGAACGGGAAAGATCTTAGATGTGGGGAAATTCGACGCGCTGTTTTTCGGTGTTCATTTCAAGCAGGCTCACACGATGGACCCGATGTGTAGAATGCTACTGGAGCATGCTTACGAGGCTGTTATTGACGCGGGAATCAATCCGAAACAGTTGCGCGGAACGCGAACGGGAGTCTTTATGGGCGCGTGCTTCTCTGAGTCCGAAAAGACTTGGTTCTACGAGAAGTTACAGGTATTACGTTTGCAAATGTGCTATAATTATTATAATGGTCATTGTATATGCATCGCACTGTGTCGCAGGGTGCTGTCTTACGACACATATTTTTCGCGTTAGGTGTATTGCGTAACCAAAGTTACACGTTTTTCGTTAATCCTATATCAAAATTACATATAGTTTTAGAATATTACGCGTTTTCCTATCAAGCGTATGTGTAACTTATGTTCACTATGAAACAATTATTTATAAGTATATTAATTTATTTTAATAACAATAATTATAAAGTTGGTTTTCATACAATTGTAAAAATTTAATTAATGCTGATATTTAATAATGTGAAAAGTATTCATAGATTTAATATGTTTGATGTAATTATTAGAAATTATTAGTTGAAAAAATAGGACGAGTCTAATATTTCCGCCTGCGCGCTATTTTATTTTGTTTTATTGTACACATTAATGCATATAAAGCCATTAGCTTTTTTCATTTAATATCCATCACTGTACAGTCAACTATCTTTGACGAAACCTTTCTGTGGAAAGTAAAAAACATTAATATATAATAATAACTAATTGAAATTTATTTTTACGAAGACTGTACAATATAGAAGTACATATATATATATATGTATATATAAAATATAGTATGTCTCCTTTCTATTTTTCTGAAATCAGGTGAACGGTTTCGGAATCACCGGATGCAGCAGAGCCATGATGGCGAATAGGGTATCTTATTGGCTGGGAGTAACTGGACCATCATATACTTTGGATTCCGCCTGCAGCTCGTCTTTGTACGCTATGGAACACGCTTTTCGATGTATTCAAGATGGACAATGTGACGCCGCTATCGTGGGTGGAGCGAATCTATGCCTTCACCCATATGTATCTTTGCAATTCTCTCGTTTAGGTACTACAGTTACACTTCTTGCTCAAACAACACGCAATAATATAGTTTTATATGAAATCAACGAAAATGAACAAGCAGAACAGCGATGCCAAGGGATTAGATTTTATTATATATAATAATTAAACAATGTAGCAATACCACTTTTATTAAGACTATTTGTTAGATGGACATACCGTTTCCGAGATGCTCGTCCTGTTATGTTTGAAATTTGTCACTCGGTGTATATTACTGCACACGTAACGAATGATGTTTTTTTATTAAATTTTACTTAAAGTTTGACAATCGTTGCAGGCGTTTTGTCACCAGACGGCCGCAGTAAAGTTTTCGATGCTGATGCGGACGGCTATGCTCGCAGCGAAACGATTTCCGTCGCGTTTTTGCAGAAGGCAAAGGATGCGAAGCGTATCTACGCTAGGATTGTCTATGGCAAGACAAATTGCGACGGTTTCAAGGAGCAGAGTATCACGTTCCCGTCAAGCAGAATGCAGGGTGAACTGCTGCGAGAATGCTACCAAGACTGCGGTGTGCCACCGCATATACTGTCTTACTTGGAATGCCACGGCACTGGCACCAAAGTTGGCGATCCCGAGGAGATCAATGCGATCGACTCGGTTTGCATCAAGGGTCGAACCACTCCTCTTCTGGTTGGTTCGGTTAAATCAAATCTAGGCCATTCCGAGCCTGCAAGTGGCATGTGCCAAATCGCGAAGGTAACTTTTCTCTTCCTTTTTTCTTCCTTCTGGGAAGTTAATACTTTTACTTCCGCAATTGTGTGTCTCGCAACACATTCCCCGCCGCTTATACGTGTGACGCACCGATTGTCATGAAACACCGACGTCACATCCCGTATAGCACGAATGTCCAAAAAGTTATTTCAGTCTTGACCGTCAATTGACGATCCGAATTTACACTAAACCTTTGAGGATTTTTTCGCATCAAAAATTGGGTGTTTTTATCGTAAGGATGAGGGTAGTTGCCTCACCGCGACTATCTTGATTAAGTCAAAAGCGAGAAGATGTACACTCAAATTCTTACTTCAATATATTTGTCTAAATAAAAAGTTAATCGTGAATATTTAAATATGTGATAAAAAAGTACTCGGTAAGTAATTTTATATCGTGACACGGTGAATTCAGAATGTGATAAATTCGTACAGGTGATAACAGCGATGGAAACTGGTATCATCCCACCGAACTTGCATTTCAAGCGACCACGAGAAGGCGTGAAAGCTCTCGAAGAAGGTAGGCTCAAAGTTGTTACCGAGCCAATACCTTGGGACGGTGGTTATGTGGGCATTAATTCCTTCGGGTTTGGCGGCGCCAATGCTCACATTTTATTGAAATCTCACACGAAAGAGAAAATTAATAATGGACTTCCGTTTGATGATTTGCCGAGACTCGTAGCCGTGTCCGGACGTACCGAGGAGGCTGTTACAATATTTTTGGATGATGTAAGTTATAACCATAACGGAAAGAAAATTAAAAGACGTCACGAAGAGATGTTTCAATCGTGAAATGATGAATAGCGATATCTTTAAATGCATATTTTTGCGTGAACGATTCGATAGCAAAATTTCTTCAGGAAGAAATAGAATCGACAACGCACAGAATGTAGAAACATTTACTTTGCATTAGTTTTGCTGTGAGTCCGCGAGAAAATCGGTTTTCGTTTTTACAGATCGAGAAGCATCCCGTGGACGTTGAGTATATTCGTCTATTACAAGATATTCACACGGAAGATATCCAGGGCCACCTGTATCGAGGATACACGATAGTTGGCTCGAAGACGGCAGAGAAACCCATAAGAGAATTGGACAATTATTTAGGAACGGCCAGACCGATCTGGTTTGTCTTTTCTGGAATGGGGTCGCAATGGCCCGGCATGGGTACCTATGATAAATTTTTTTTACTTTACATGTGTAAAACAAAATATATTGCGATCCACCTCTCCTTCCATTCTCCCCATCCCCCTCCATTCTCCTGTCGTTTTCTTTTACTTTCTGCGTAATCTTTTCGAACCATCTATAAATAAGAATAATCACCGAAAGCTCTTGTTAATCCATGCGTCCCATTTAAAACAGGTACAGATTTGTTGAAATTCCCCGTCTTCGCCAAGGCCGTGGAAAAATGCGATGCCGTATTGCGACCGCGCGGCCTGGACATTTACGATATTTTGACAAACAAAGACCAGTCCACTTTCGACAATATTTTAAATTCATTTGTGGGCATCGCGGCAGTACAGGTAAGCTCCATGTGCAGATGTAACATTTTCACATTATTTTTTACAATCAATTTATATCGCAATAGACATCTTGATTATGCGCCGCGGTAGAATACACGAGAGGGATGATTGCGTTTCTTACGCTATTCCTGTATCATATTCCGGTGTGGTGCGAATTTTTGCAGATTGGTTTGGTCGATCTTCTCACATCGGTAGGCATCGTGCCGGACAACATAATCGGCCATTCTGTCGGTGAACTCGGTTGCGCCTACGCAGACGGTTGCTTCACCGCGGAACAAATGATCCTATCGGCGTACTCGAGAGGTTTGGCATCGATCGAAACAAAAGTAATTTACGGCTCGATGGCGGCAGTTGGTATGGGTTATGAGGATATCAGACATATGTGTCCACCGGACATCGAAGTGGCGTGCCACAATGCTTCAGACAGCAGCACCATCAGTGGACCCGCCGAATCCATGAAGGAATTTGTTGCCCAATTACAGGTTTGTTTTGTTTACCGCGGCGCTCGGCAAAATCTGCACACTTCGCTCTTCGTTTTCAGCTCGCACCGTCTAGCAGGCGAGATGTGTACGATTTTGCCGAGCCTTCACTCTTTCTCGACTCAGCAATTGAAATGCAGGAATTTCGGATACTACACGTTACTATAGTGACTTCCCGCTAAGCGATTGTTTGGAATGAGACGACGTTACAATAGCTCTCTTCTCAAATTTGCATTGAGATTGCACTGAGAGTTTGTTCACTTTTTTTTTCTGACGTTATAGATGCAAATTTTATTAGTTCATTAGAGCTATTACGTCACATTAACGCAGATACCATGAATTACATTTATGGTTTAAACAGAGGGATTTTTAAAAAATATTCAAGACCAAGTTTACTTCCAGAAAATTTTTTTATTGGCAATTAATTTATTTGCATTTCGAGAGCGTAATTTCGCAGATGATAGTCATTACAAAAGCATATGAACACACAATTCTACGGCGTGCGCGTTAAATAAAAATATTATTTTACATACAAATTGTTAAAAAAAAACATTATTTAACATTATTTAACATTATATGTAAACAATTTTTTAAGTAAATTTTGGCTTGTGTATTTTTTTTTTAATCCTTTGTTCACAGAATCAACCGCGGATAACGCAGTTCCTTCAGTTCCATCAATTTCCTCAATTGTGTTAATATTCTCCTCTAATTTCTAATTCTGATTATTTTTGCGATTTTCATCGTCAGTCTTGATCTTTGATATGTTGCAACGTAAATATCGCTTTGGTTATTTTGTTGAAATATGCGCTAACCAAATCTGCACGTCTGTGCATATTTTACCGCAGGCTAAGAAGATCTTCGCGAAGGAAGTGCCGTGCAGCAACATACCCTACCATAGTCGCTACATCGCGCCCGCCGGGCCAAAGCTTCTTGCTTATCTGTCTGAGGTGATTCCTCAACCGAAGCCGCGCAGTCGGAAGTGGATGAGCACGTCCGTTCCTCGCAACAAGTGGTCCACCGCGTCTGCTAAATTGTCGTCCGCCGAATATCATACCAACAACCTCCTGAGCGCAGTGCTGTTCGAGGAAACGTCACGTTTGATTCCGAAGGACGCGGTGACCATCGAGATCGCGCCTCACGGCCTTCTGCAGGCCATTTTGAGGCGATCCCTCGGCTCGCAAGTCACGAACATCGCGCTTACGCAACGCGGCCACAGAGACAACTCCGAGGTAGTCTTGCAGGCGATCGGGAAGCTTTATAACACCGGGCTGCAGCCGGACATAGCGATCCTCTATCCGCCTGTGGAGTTTCCAGTCAGCCGCGGCACCCCAATGATCTCTCCTTCCATCAGGTACATTCGTATATGAACCTTTAAAAAATTCTTATTCATTTGTACGTGTAACAGCATTTGTACATAAGAATAATACTTGATTTCCGCAATTATTTCATTCGATAATTCCGAAAGGATTAGGAGATCAAATGTAACGTGATTACAGGTGGCAGCATTCCGACGACTGGTACGTAACGACGTTCAAGTCAACGAAAAAGATCACTTCCGGAGAGAGAATCGTCGAAGTATCATTAAAGAATGAGGACGCAGAGTATATAAAAGGCCATATAATTGATAAAAAGGTGTTGTTGCCTGCTATAGGATATCTCGCTTTTGTTTGGGAAACTCTCGGTATGTTGCGTGGAGAAATTTACTCCGAGATATCGATTGTCTTCGAAAATATCACTTTCCTTCGTGTCACTCCCATGCCGACGGACAACATGATTGAACTAACAGTGATGATTCAGAAAGGTAATTTCTTGTCACTTTTTGCTTGCTCATAATAAACTCTCTTCAATAGAGATAATAGTCCCCTTATTTTTTTATGGTTTTTTTTTTTTACGTCAACGATCACCTGGGTTCACTTAGACCCCAATTAAAAATTGCTATTATTAACAAAATATGGCATATTATCGATTGCTCTATGATTTGTTATTATTTAGGAGCATCATAAATATAGATTTATTTGCTATTTTTTGAAAAAAATGGGGGGAAACCAAAATATATTTAAGAATCGAAGTAAGCACATCAAGTGTCTTATTATGACAGTATTATTTTAAAAAGATATCAATTAAAAAAAAACGCTGTTTTATTACCTTTTCGCGAATAAGATGTTTAAAGGTTCATAAAGAATAAATATTAAGAAAAATGATTAGATATTTTAGATATTTTTAAACATCTTTTAGAGATTTCAGTTACCTGGGTAGTATTATGCATCGCCTGCTGTTGTCAGAAGATCAAATTTGAGCTATGTTGAATGAGACCTTATTTATAGAGCTCGTCCTATCACTTCCCTCCCTTTCCCTATATTTATATGTTAATATCATTTAATTAATCCCTTAAAACTATTGTGAAATTCTCAAAATGATAAAAAGAACTGTCCTGTCCAATTTAATCTGATTTACCGGCACACCTGAATATTTTGTCTCGAATTGTCGGACACTCTGTGTAATAATATTTGGATTAATCTTAATTGTTATTCCTGCAGGTAGTGGAAAATTCGAGGTGTCGGAAGGCAGCTCTGCAATTGTGAGCGGGCAGGTACGCGTCGTATCGAATCCAGCGCAGGAGATGATGTCAACCCAATACCTACCACAGGATGACGATGAGGAAGAAGTGATGATTACCAAGGACATTTACAAGGAGCTACAGTTACGCGGCTATTATTATGAGAATGCCTTCCGTGCCTTGAGAAGCGCGTCGATTTCTGGGAAAAATGGACACATTAGTTGGATCGGCAATTGGGTGACGTTTGTGGACGCAATGATGCAAATGATGATCATAGGAATGGACACGAGAAGTTTGTACGTGCCGACGACAATACAGAAGCTTGTGATTGATATTAATTCTCACTACCAGGCGATGCAAGATATGGCTTTGGAAGACAAACGTGAGTCCGTACATTTTCCCTCCAATTTCCGGAAATACATCTGTTCACCCGGCGCCTTTCTCGGCTTTTTTTAGATGTGACATAAGGCAAATGTCGCTTTTTATTGCAGAATTACCTGTACGTGTGTACAAGACTTTGAACCTCATAAAATCAAGTGGCGTCGAGATTCAGGGTCTCAAAGCTACAGCTATACCTCGCCGGCCACCGACCAGCGACCCGATCATCGAAGAGTACAAGTTTGTGGCTTACCGCGACGAGGCGCGAGTGTCTCTGCAAGAGGCTGTCAGATTATCGACTCACATTGCACTCGAGTATCATCAATCCATTCACGCGAAAGTCATCGAAATAATCGACGAGTCCGACAATGTAACGGTAGAAGAGTTGATGTCGCCTGTTTTGGCCGCGATTCTAAGTGATTTTCCTTTGATTCAAATGAACGTGCTTCTGGCGACGCCGGCCAATCGATTTAACACATTACCGTCGAACATAAATGTCATCGATACGAAGAAAATGGCCAAGGAAGAGAACGTTATGCTTGTCGTTGGTATTGGACTTCTGACGCGAAATAAGAACGATCAACTGCAAGAGATTTTGCCGAAACTAAAGTACGGTGGTTTTGTGCTGACACGCGAGAGATCATTCAAATCTGAGGATCTCACTGCGTTGTCGAAGCTCGGCTTAGACGTGATTCTACGGAAGAATACTGACAAAGAGAGCGTCATATTACTGAAAAAGAGAGAACGACGAGCCAGGAAAACCGAAATCGTCTACATTAATAACAATGAGTTCGCCTGGCTCGACAAACTAAATTCGATCATAAGTGTCGAGAACGAGACCATGAGCGGTGACACTAGGGTGATACTCGTCGGGGAAGGAGACGAAAGCGGTTTGTTGGGCTTTGTGAATTGCTTCAGGAAGGAGCAAGGTGGAAATATCATCAGAGCCGTGTTAATTCAAGATAAAAATGCGCCCCAATTCAATCTGCAGGATCCTCTGTACGCGGAACAGCTTCAGCTCCAATTACCTGTTAACGTGTTGAGACCGGGCAAAGTCTGGGGATCCTACAGGCATTTACCGTTACCGTCGAGTCTGGAGCCAAAACTCGTCCACCACGCGTTTGTCGATCAAATAGTACGTATCGTTATGACACAACCAACACATGGAAAATATTATATTAATGTTACATTTCTATAATATTGTGTGTGTACGAAAAATAGGTACGAGGCGATTTGAACACATTACGTTGGATCGAAGGTCCCGTACGTTCCGATACCACACGGAAGGATTTGGTCTATGTAGCGTATTCATCTATCAACTTCAGAGACGTTATGCTGGCCATGGGAAAACTCACCCTGAACACGTACATGATGATGACTAATCGATTTGACGAGTGCTTGATTGGTATAGATTATGCCGGTATTGATACCGACGGCCGTCGCGTAATGGGAATGCGTAAAAACAGGTAACATTCTTACTTAATATCATGTATATTCAGAAACAGTCACGAAGTTAAATTGTCAATTTTCCAATATTTGGAGAAAGTGTCTTGTGTGTATGAAGATACAAATTTCAGATATCCACCAGTTTACATCAATTACTATTATTATTGTGATGAATCCTTGATTAATGAAGAAGTGAATTAAAGTAAAGTGCATAATTAAATATACTTAGTAAAGATTAAAAGAAATCATAATTACCACTTAGATGGTAGATCAGGTGGTTCGTTTAATTTACTATATTAATTAATTTATCATTTAGCTTTTTCGTAACTTTTCCCCTGAGAAACGTTGTCTTTTGTTGTGTGGTATTTTATAAAGAGCAGCTGGTACGAGGATGGATCATTTGTATTTTTAGAACCCTATCGAACATCGTCGAATCCGATAAGAACCTGTGCTGGCGCGTACCTAACAATTGGTCATTGGAAGACGCGGCTACGATACCCTGCGTCTATACCACGTGCTATTATGCGTTGTATCTATGCGGTAATATGCAGAAAGGTGACAAAGTGCTTATACACTCTGGTACCGGTGGTGTCGGCCAGGCGGCAATCCATCTTGCGCTCCACGAAGGTTGTGAGATTTTCACCACTGTGGGAACGCCCGAGAAGCGGGAGTTCATTCACAAGTTTTTCCCGTCAATACCAGACGATCACATTGGCAATTCGCGCGATACCAGTTTCGAACAGATGGTAATGCAGCGTACAAACGGTGCTGGCGTGGACATTGTCCTGAATTCGTTAGCCGAAGAGAAATTGCAGGCGTCAGTTCGCTGTCTGGCGCACGGCGGCCGCTTTTTGGAGATCGGCAAGTTTGATCTTGTAGCGAACAATGCTCTGGGAATGATGGTCTTCCTGAAGGAAGTCAGTTTCCACGGGGTCACGCTGGAAAGTATGTTGGATGCTAGCAAAGAGGAGAAGATGAAGCTGAATAAATTGTTGTCCGAAGGTCTCGCGAACGGGGCTGTCAAGCCGTTGAATAGGAAAGTTTTTGACAGGAATAACGTAGAGGCAGCTTTCAGATACATGGCAGCCGGGAAACATATAGGCAAGGTAAAAATGAGTCATGGTGTATAAATTACATATTCTTTTAGATTTTTGATAGATCCAGAAGTATATATCAATGAAGGGCGATAATCAGTAAACGCTCTTTGAGCTGCCCTTTTTGCTGAATCCAGCCATTCTATCCTTGTATATCTAGTGAAGAACAAAGACAAAATGAACATGTTAGCGCTGATAGCGTGCTCCCCGAACGCCATCTTGTATTTAAAAATGTCAAGTCTAGTCTGTCAGATTGAAGATCAAGCAAATCGGTTACAGTCGATCAATTTGTTAATGTTACTTGCTTTTCGTAGGTGATCTTGAAGATTTGCGATGAGGAGAAAATCGGGAAAATGCCTATTCTTGCCAGCCCGCGATATTACTGCGACAGTAAGAAGAGCTATGTCATTCTAGGCGGATTAGGTGGCTTCGGTTTGGAATTGGCCGACTGGCTGGTCCTTCGGGGCGCGAAAAATCTGATATTAATATCGAGAACAGGCGTGAGAAACGGCTATCAGCGCATGAGGGTCGACCTGTGGAAGTCTTACGGTGTGAACGTGCTCATTATAACAGGAGCCAATGCTGCAAATCGCAAGGATTGCGAATTTATATTGAGGTCCGCGGCGAAGCAGGGCCCGGTGGATGCTATCTTCAATCTCGCGGTAGTGCTGAAGGATGCCCTTTGCGAGAGTCAAACGGTGCAGTCGTTCGAAGAATCCTTCAAGCCGAAAGCCTGTTCTACGAAGATGCTGGACGAATTGTCCAGGAAGTTGTGCCCGCAACTGCAGCATTTCGTGGTATTCTCTTCGGTCTCCTGCGGCAGAGGAAATGTCGGACAGACGAATTACGGTATGGCTAACTCCGTGATGGAGAGGATTTGTGAGAAACGAGTAGCGGACGGCCTCCCAGGATTAGCCATTCAGTGGGGTGCGGTCGGTGATGTCGGTCTCCTTGCCGAACAGCAAGAAGGCAGCAAGGAACTTGTCATTTCGGGTACTCTTCAGCAAAGCATATCTTCTTGCCTGGAGAAGTTGGAGGTCTTCCTATTGCGGGATCATGCAGTAGTGGCGAGCGTGGTGATAGCCGAAAAACGTCTGGCGTATACCGCTTTCAATATCGTAGAAACTGTTATGAATATAATGGGTAAGATTATTATTGCTTTTATAGATATTTATATATTTATATATTATCGTGAATAATAATATTTGTTGTTGGGTACAACAACTATCATATACTTGTAGATTAAGCTATTCTGAACAAAAAAGTTCATTTTGCAAATAATATGCAAGTTTTTAAGTTATTAATTGAAAAAGCCTCTGTACACGGCCATTTTCAATAATTAATAACTCAAAATTTTACGTGTTTATAAAATGGTACAAGACTTTTCTGTCCACTTCAATCCGTTCTACGCCCTCACGAAGATTTGTGTTTTAAGTTTATTCTCCTGCAAAAAGCGCTCTTCCGGTCTCCCCTTTGTTAGTCATAGTCGGATCTTGTATATAAGACCGTCTGAGGTTCATCTTCAGATGCGTACGATTCATTTCATCGGCTACGAAATATCTGAAGATGAACTTAAGAAGGTCTTAAATATAAGTCCTGATTATGAATACCGGCTCATAAGGCGCTTACTAATAGAAAGAAATTTATCGAAACAATTTGAGCTTATAAGCTACCAATATATATTTATATTATTTATGTTATATTATTTGTATTATTTATATTATATTATTTATGTTATAAATATATTAGTAGTTTATAAAAATATTATATATCAAATTGTTTCGATCAATTTCTTTCAACTATTGATAAGCGTCTCATAGACGATGTCAACGGCTCCGATGTAGGACGCCGTGATCATCAGTTTCGTAACCCGCTAGACATGATGAAGCGGCAAGGGGAAGTAAATAAAGTTAGAACATCCTAAAAATCGCCACGAAAGTGAAAGTAACACTGGTCTAGATAGAAACAAAAGAAGTGGAGATGACCAGTGAAATCTATGGAAATGTGCAAACCGTATGCAGATCTGTTATACAGAATCCGTCCGTTTTAATAATATTCTTTCCTATACAGGCGTAAAAGATCTGAAGACCGTGGCTCAACACGTACTATTGGCCGAGCTTGGGATGGACTCGATGATGGCTGTTGAAATCAAGCAGACGCTAGAATATAAATTCGATAAATTCTTCACTCCACAGGACATTCGTAATCTGACCTTTTCCAAACTGACCGAGATGGACAAGGACATAGCGCAGGAGAAATCACATATTAAAGATGATGGAAAGGCCGAATTACCCGGCATGCAATTGCTGATTCAAATAATGGGCGATAAGGATATAACCAGTGATGTCTGCCTGGAACTAGAGACCAAGAGAGATTACCGTAAGGTTGACGTATTTCTTATAGCGGGAATAGAAGGCTGTGGACACGTTTTCATTCCGCTAGCGTCGAAAATCAGACCCACGGCAACGTGTCTGCAATATGGAGTACTTAATATCGGGTATAGTCTTACATCTGTACCAGATTACGCTGATTATTTGTTACCGGTGCGTATATGTGGATTTTCTTTTTTTTTTCTTACGGCTTTCTTCTTTCTCTTTCTTCTCTTTTCTTATTTAGTTCGCCAGTTGTTTAACTTACAAAATGTTCTCCTTGGTCCCAATATCGTTGCTTTTCTTAATATCTTTATAAATTACTTGGTTCTTTTTCATTGTGCATCACACTTTCCATACAAGTATTCCCTTATGCACAGGATGTCTGATGCAAGGCGTGCCAAATCATATGTATATATAAAAATTCGTGTGCTAATCGCTCTCTATCTAAACGAGTTTCATATACTCTATAAGTCAGGCTGCCTCCCCATGCGGCGTAACTTGCGTAAACGTAACTTGCGTCAGCCAATCAAATCGTCTCAATTACCCAATTACCAATTACCACGGCGAATTTGATTGACTGACGCAAGTTACGCTTATGCAAGTTACGCCACAGGGGGAGGCAACCTCAGGACTCCGGAATAGTCAGCTAAGAAAAATAGTGCAACAAAACGATGAATACTTTGTTGAATATACTTTGTATTTATTTTTTTATTTAGTAGTCAAAAATTGTGTTTCATTTTGACGCTAGAAACTCATACACGAACTTCTCGGACAATCCAATATATGGAGAGCATAAACGCAATAATTAGAATAAATCGTTTGTTAGACGTTCCCCATAAATACTTTATCGCAAAATGGAAAAGTTTTCGTCTGCGCGTACTGATGTGTGTTTTTGTTTCTAGTATATTTTACCAAAAGTGGAAAACCAAAGATTCTTCGTTTTGGTGGGATATTCGTACGGTTCGATAATTGCTATTGAATTGGCAAGACGATTGGAGAGTCGCGGCTTATCCGGCCGGTTAGTGCTGGTCGACGGTGCCCCTAATTTAATGAAAACGATGATAAATCAATTTTTATCTTATTCTACGGAGAGTGAATTTGAGAATAATATTTTGCTTAGCATCTCGGATACTTTGCTACCAACCTTGAGTGGAAAGGTACAGTTTTTTCGATTATTCATTGCTAAAATATTCTCGATAAAGTTTTCCGATTGCTACGTTGACGTTTTATCATAAAATGACATTACATTATATCTTTTTTGTCTTGCAGTTGCTTTTAGATTTAAACAAATATGAGAACTGGGAACAAAAAGTAGAAAGCTTCTTATCGTATTTCTCTAATGTTGATATACCTCTTTCCATGGAAAATCTAAAAGCATTGTGTACAAGCATTTATATACACCTTATCGCCCTGCGGAAATACGATGTATCATCCTTACCGCCTATACGAACACCCATCTTACTTTTAAAGCCTACGTTACAATCTATTGAAATGTCTGAAGAAGATTATGGCCTGCGCAAGGTGACCGTGCATTTTTTTATATGTTTCTTGAAACCGTTCAAGCTCGTTTTCGTAGTTTTTCCTTGCGAATGATTCAGTATCATCGAATAAAATATTTTCAGATTACGCGAGACAAGGTGGAAATACATTATACCGAGGGTAATCATGTCACTATGCTGAATAGCGACAAAGTTGTAGCCGCAATCAATGGAGATTCAATGCTAGATTCTAAAACGTTTAAGAAGCTGCTTATGGAAGATAAACCACTTGAAGAAGAACGTATAAGGAATTGAATTGAATAATTTGAAAAATGTAATAGACGTTTATATTACGAAGATACATGTAAAAAGGGTGTTCGAAAATTCGAATACAATAAGACTATAATTGTGGTTAAGGCTCTGGAATAGTCGAGATGACTATCCCTGTTTGACACTTTGCGGTCCGCGGTCCACCCGAAGACGCTTGACTAATGTGGTTGATCTTATCGAAGGCATAATATGAAATTAGCCGCGCTTATTTGGTTCTTTTTTGTTTCTTATACAAATGTTGATATCTAAAATTATCATATCATATGTTTATCATATGTTTCGATTTATCGATAAAACCGATGTGCTGTTAGATCGCGACGGCATCATGCCGTCAATGGGCCGCAAAGTGTTAAAGTTCTAGAGTAGTTGCTATGACTGTCCTTATTTAATGACGTCAGAAGTGAGAAAATGCATGCCAAGATGTTTTGCGTTATATATATATATATAAATCTTACACGCATTAAATATATATATATATATATATTTAATGCGTGTAAGATTTATGATTGTATTTTTCCCTTTTGATTCGATTAACTTGAAATGGTTTTCTTTTTTTGGAGCATAATAAACAGTTTATAAATAAAATAAATAGCACAATAGGTATAAAATCATTTATACCGTGTTTTCTTTCGACTCCGTGCATTTATCAAAAATAAAAATATTACGAATGTATTCACAATTACGAGCCAGGTAAAAATACCATGCAACGTACGCTGGGCGAATCTTTCCTAGGTTTTTTGTTGTAGAAAAGATCTGTATAAACTGGTTTTATCATATAAGCAATAAAAAATAAACTGTATAACTATAATTTCATCACTTATAATAAAATTATGCAGTTAAAAAGTAAATAACATCTCATGTTAACTTTATGTATTTATTAAAATATGGAAATAGAAAGAAAGTTGTAACGGGTCACCTCCGTAGGTCCGGTGATCGCTCGTCGATGCTAGGAAACGTAAGTGATTGTAGGCGGAGAACGGAAAGTAGAAAAACAGAGGCGGTGATTACATGTCAGACTACCACGAGCGCTGCCCAAGAGCGTCTTTATTTGTATTCTATATACAGATATACTGTAGATGTTATGCTCGTTGCAGTTGGTTATAGGTTGCGCAACGCGTAACGCATAAGTGTGTACAAAAAGTGCAAGTAACGGAAGGCGTGGCGAGACGTGCGAGGTTTCTGGTGGAATGTTCATTCTGTGGCTCCGTTCAGGACAGAATTTTGATGACGGGGGATGACCACGCTGACACAGGATCGACCTGAAAGAGCGGTGGTAGAACTTGAACGGAGCGTCGAGTATTCCTGTTGACGAAAGTCGATTGTTTTTTAAGCGACTATTTTACATTTTCATGCGAATCGATTTTTCCAACGAAAGATCAATTCAAATAATATATAGAGATAGTTTAATAACTAGCCAATAGAATTTCTGTTCCCGACCATAATAAGGCGAGTAGTAGAAACTTTTGCGTAATAAATTAAAATTACTTTGATTTGGAGACACATCTTATGAATTTTTTCATAACGTTTCTCGTAGAATCGATCTTTTTTCATTCCAAATTTCTAATAATCAATTTCAGTCGTTTCAATATAAAATCAATATAAAATCAATTCAAGAATCGATTTTCATAACGGCAAACATCCCTACTACTGATACCTCCTCCTTGATGACATCGTTGATGATGTCTCAGGCATAATATAGCAAATTAAACTAGAACCGCTATATATTACTTACACTATTTATATATTTAATTTATAGCACAATTATTATGTTATCATTTGTTATTTCATTTTTAAATGATAACTTTCATTCGCACATTCACATTTAATCTTATATGAAACGATGAATTGAAAAGATATTAATAAAACAATTTTTGTATATTTAACATGATCCATTTTACGCAGTGTCCTTCAAGAAGGCAACAAATTAAAAATCATTAAGATACATAATGATTAACTCGTTATTTAATGTTGATAATGTAATAATGATTAAATCGTTATTTAATGTAAATAAGATAATGTGTAAGGAAAGGTATTATATAAATAACAAAATAGAATTAATTGAAAATAAAACTGATATTCTTTGTAATTTATATATCGATATATTTTGACAAAACAAAACTCGTTTTATAAAAATCGTATAAATGAAATAACATTCAGAATTATCGAATGAAAACCAAACACCGTAGGTAATTCAACCTCAAAGATCTATATTTTTAATTTACACGCAAACGCAGTATCACTCCAAAAATTATTATACAATAGAAAGTATCGTGAGGTCTATTTCATTCCTTATCCTAATGCCTGCTTCACATCTTACATGATATTGAAAAGAATTATCTTCTTAGAGAGAATACATTATTTATATGTTTCTGTTTTCAATATATGTAGATAAAGCGTGTTGATTCAACTGAAGATCCTCACAATTCCATTGGCTCAAATGTTGATTGAACACTGTCGGACGATATACGATTTAAATCAGGAATGGCATCACTGTTGTTATTATTGTTGTTGTTATTATTATTATTATTATTATTATTATTATTATTGTCATCTGATGTACTTGGGATTGGTGTTGGAGTATCTCTTGTTGGCAAGATACGAAGATGCTTGCTCGGTGGTTCCCAAAGGACTAGAGCCATGGAGGGTCTCTCCCTGAAAAAGGAAAGCTAGTCAGATTTAACTTTTTTGCAAAAATGAATTGTACAGGATGATTCGATGCAACCTTTTATCGTTAAAACTACATAATCCTGGCTAAATTCTTAAACAACTTCTCATTTTGCAGAGCTGCCCGAAGCTTATTCTTTTAAGTTATTAATAAAAATACTTAGCTTACCACGGGTCGGGTACAAAATATTTCCTATTTTATGTGTTGAAAAAAGTATCGGAATAAGATATAAAATAATAAGATAAATTCTCGGAAAATATTCCCTTTTTAATGATCATATCTGAGTACTTTTAGACACAAAAAATTATAAATGAAATCAATTTATGTAAAAAGAATATGTATTTATGTAAAAAGAATATTTAAAAAATCTGAAACATCCTATAAGACATGTTTTACTAAAAAATTTAATTTTGATGACATCTTAATAGAACAGTCCAAAGTTAAAGTAAGGCTACAATCTCATGCCTCTCTTGGCACGAAATAATTTATATTTGACAAATTTTTTCTTCGTTTTTTAAAAAACGAAGTAAGTGAAACAATTGATAATGACAATATATTAAAATGGCTCACTATATAATTAGCGAACGTACGTGTTTTTTTATTTCCTCCAATCTCTATTAATTATAAACTCATATTTATTCGCAATCATAAAAATAATTTTTTTTATCCAATATACAATTAATGGAAAATTTGTACTCACAATTTAGACAGAAGAGTTGAGGGAAGGATGGGTTCTTGTTGCATTCGCTTAAGTTCTTCTGAAAGAACTAATCTTGGGTGTGCATGGTTTGCTTGGTCACTATTTATTGTATTGTTTGTAGTATCAACATCCAAATCCATATCTGATTGCTTGTGAGAGACAGATGCATCGATTGCTGAGGTCGATGCCACAGAACTCTCAGACTGGCGATTGCAACTAATATGTAGATCTTTGAAATGTGCAGTCATTTTTTCTTCTGTTATAAACTGCTTAGAACGACGATTGCTTGAAAAACACCACGTTATAAGAGATTTTACAACTTAAATGGTTAATTAGCAATTATATATAAAGTGCAATTTAATATTTACATATCTACACGATCTAGCGCTTCTAATTTTCTCTTCTGATGAACGATTGGTCCATAACTAGTTTCTCCTGTGAATCTAATCACTTCTGGTTGCTGTAATGCCGGTACACTCCATGGAATACTTATTGGTGGTACTTGGGGCATTTGCATCCATTGTCCAACTTGTTGCTGTTGTGTATTTTGTTGGCTCATCATATGTTGAAAAATAGATTGTGGTGTACGTACGTAAGCTCCACCCATTGCATTCTGCACCGAGAAACACAAGTAATTATAATATTAAAGTAACATTAGGTAAAGTAACATTAAATAAAAAATGTTAAGTAAAAACACTATTAGCTATATGTATGTATAGTATAATATAATGTATGTATGTATGTGTATATATATATATATATATATATATATATATATATACTTCATCTAAATATACATTAAGTAAAAAATGTTAAGTAAAAACACTATTGGCTATATGTATGTATAGTATAATATAATGTGTGTATGTATGTGTGTATATATATATACTTCAGTTTTTCTGTGTAAAAATGATCTTACATATTCAATTTCGCATAAGAACTAAAGATAAATTTACTCACAGTCATTTGACACGTAGTAAGATGTCTTCAGATCACGTCCTGATTCGTTCTTTTTTGAGCCAGGAATGATCGAATGACGAACTTTGTCGAGCCAAGATATCACTGACCAACTATTGCATAAATTGACACATATGACATTATTATGTCTACTTCTACGTCGTTTGCGAAATTAAAGAAACAACGAATCCGTGTGTCTGCGGACAACTGCGCCTATCATGGAATTTTGTTCGGATTCGATTTCCGATCAGAATCTTTTAATTATTCCCTAGATTTTTTATTATATTTTACAGGAAGTAATTAAGCGATTTCAATCGGAATCAATTCCGACCGAGTCCACAATGTGCCCTGAACTGACAATGGCCACATTTAGCGGAACGTTTAATTTACAACTGTCGGGAGTTTTCTGAGATCTGATTATTCTTTTAGATATGCAGAAATAATCCAACGTTGCACAGGGAACTTCCAACAGTTGCAAAATAAACATTTCGCCGAACGCGGCCAATGACAAGCATCATTGAACGCTAACCTATACAGTGATTTAACTCGTACGAAAATGCGTTGTTAAAACGCACGCCTGTTTCTAATGAAAATCATATCCAAGCACGCGCACATACGAATATCATCACAAGTTATATTTATCATACGACATTTATCGTTTTTTTTTTTCTTTCGTAGATCGTATGATTCGTCAAGCTAGAAAAATCGCAAAACTCCGCACTATGTTTGTTTCGCTTAACCGCATAATCTTTCTCTCTCTCTCTCTTTCAATACGGTTTTAGACAACATGCAGGTGCACCCCCAACACTCAACGAATGTAGATTGCGTTCGGGAATCTCATTCCTACTATGTATTCGTGATTTCGATGGGCAAGCAGTGAGAGTATCGTGTGCCGATTTCTGAACGCTTTAATGTAACTTCTAGTGAATAAAATTAATGTTGCGGATATACACAAAAGTCTCATTCTCAGTATACAAGGTGTCCTGTGTAAATGCTCATCTACATAGGATGCAAGACGCAGAACGCAAGTTGCAAGTCGCAAGAAATGCTGAGAAAAACCACAGGGGTTAAAACTTTCCATTAGGTACAGAACCTGAAGTGAAACTGCATTTAGCAAAATTGTTAGAAACCGACGGAACTATACTGGGAAAAAAAGGATACGTGCCAATCAATATGTGGAAAGTTGTAATCACTCACGATGAGGACGTAAGGATATTTATTAATATTAATACATATATTAATGATCCTTTTAATAATAAAAATAATAATCTTTTTAATAAGAATAATAATAATAACCTTTAGATATGTAATAAAAGTAATAGTAACAGTATTAAGAGCTTTCTAATTTATAACAACATGTACGTAGGAGAGCTCCAATATTCGGATCTGATTATCTGACTATTCGGATATCCGCCATAGGAACTTAGAATTTTTGTCTAGAAACGCTACAATATTGCGATATCGATAACAACGATCTTGCAATTTTTCTATTCTGTGTATGGGCGTTTATTCGAATAGCATACAGATATGTCGCTCGAAATTCAACGAAATATCCAGACTACATCCGAGATTCGGATTTGATCCAGACTCGATTCCGACTTTGAATCCAGAATATTAGCTATGTTTTCACATCGTATATACATTATACGGATTATTCGAACATTAACTTGAGAGTTGGGAATTTAAAATCTATAATACGAAGTATTTTGTCGAAATGCTAATGTAAATATTCGAATGTCGAGTCGATTATATTATAAATATATTTCGATTATACAACAGCTGATACAATCAGTTAATAACAGTTAATAATAGTTAATAGTTAATAATTCACTACATTACATTGTATAATTTTAAGATGGCTTAGGCAACTGATCCAATCGCGAAGCTAACTCCGCCAGTTCGGCGACAGCCTCACTAATCCTCCTCCCGTAGTCCAAGTCCTTCTCCATGACAGAAAGTACAAACTTCGTCCTGTTCCGGAAGGTGTACTCGGTGTAGGACTCGGAGTCGTTCAAGATCTGTGCGCTAAGCTTCTCGTCCATCAATATCGTGGGGAAGTATATTATCGCTGTGATGAGGGAGCTCAGACGCTGTTCCTCGAAACCTTCGACTACTTCCGACCAAGCGGGTCTCCGTCTCAAGCTTGCCTCATGTGTGTCCAGTGTTTCGCACAGCGTCTCGTAATAATATCGCAGCATCGTGCTGCCCCAGGTCTCTCGGAAGCTCCGATCGGTACACAGATAGAGAAACTGCGTCACGTCGTGCGCCAAGGGCGAATATCTCAGCAGCTGGTAATCGACCAATAGGCACCTGGGCGGCACGTCGTCGTTGAACATGAGGTTGTTACCCCACAAGTCCCCGTGGCTGGCCACGTTCACTTTCGTGCAGGACGGTGTGAAGGCGTAATCGGCTTGCTCACAGGCAATACGTACTAGATCAGAATCGTGTCCTAGACGCTCGGCTATAGCCGCGGCGACGTTGACACCCGCTCTGAACCATTCTCGCGTCTTTTGGTCGACGCTGAAGACTCTCTTCGTGAAAGCATCGGGATACAATTGGTTAAGGGGCGAGCCAAGACGCGCCTCCGCCATCAAAGACGCGGCGTGCAGATGCGCGAGAGCGCTGAGACCCGCTCGCACGAGCGTCTTGTTGAAGAGCTTACCTCGCATCGAATACCCCTTGTCGCCCAGCTCCTCTAAAATCAATAGATTTTCCTTCACTTTGTAACACACGGGCGTCCACAATTCCCCGCGATACCGTTCGCGCAGCAGCGGCATTATGGTGTTGTAAAAGCTCATCTCCTGCTTGAAGAAGCCGATCTTTATCACGTATTCAACCTGGTCGGGTACTTCGTAAGGCAGCGTCTTGAGAAAGAGCGAAAGAGTGACCGTTTTCTTTCTTCTCACCGTGGCTGTCACGGTAAGACGGTAATGAGAGCCGAGATATCCAAGTTTACCCTCGGAATACGGCCGAATATTGTACTCGACCGAATCAACCTCGCTGTTCAACACGTTTCTTGCGACTTCCTTCACTTCTTCGAGCGTGAGCAATTTCTGAACGACACCGATCTCAGTGACATCGACAGTTTCCATCTTCGCTGTATTTCGACACTTTTCCTGTTGATTTTACGCTCCGATGGAAATACCAAGCATTGCGCAGCAACTCATCGGTCTTTATATACTCTTTGCCATATTTACCAATTCATTAACTGATCCCGTCTCGCGTAATATATACAACGTAGAACATATTTCCATCAAGATATTTCCCGATAAACGTGTAGGCATTTATGGCCGACGTAATGTAGACGATAGGTAGACGATACGGAAGTTTGAATTTTTCTGAATCTTTCTGATTACGTTCATTGTAAAAATATATATGTGTATGCGTTGCGTTGTAAAATGTATTTATATAAAACAGTTGCATCGTCGCATGAATCCGTAGTTAATTTCTTTTTAGCATTATCACGGCGAATATGTTTGATCAGTATTGAATGCGCTTAACACGTTGACGCGTCATCCAGATATGGGCGACGCGTAAATTTCGTCGGAGTCTCATCGCTCACAAATAGATGACGGTTTTACTTACTTTGATAAAGAACGATTTCGTGAAGTTTTTCGACGGATATTTAATAATACGAAGCGTCATGCGCGGAGTATCGAACAAACATAAATTTCGCTTCCGAAAGATTTAACCGTTGAAACATTTTTCATATACAGGGTGTCGCAAAGCATCGCAGTGTCACGGTCGGAGACACCTGCGAATCGCGTTCCTCTGCCTGTAATTACAAGACACTGCGACGCATGATATATTAAACACGCGCGTAACATATCCGTGTGCCGATCGACGCCGAAACGAACATGCGTCGCTCTTTCGGCTGCACAGATATGCGCATGTAGAGGTGACGCAACAAGCGGCGTGCGGCGAAAGATAATTATCTTTCGTTCTCTCGTGACGTTTGTCGCAACAGGAAAATGATAGCGCGCTATTATTTCCACACCTTACAGTTGACAGCGTGGTGCGTGTTTTTTTTTTCTTTTTACAGTGGTTTCCCCGGTAGGTCTAATTCACTCTCATTGTTTAACGCAGAAATCGTTCGAAACGTACTTCCTCTCGCATGCGGAATTCGGCCGCCGGCGAAAAAAGAATCGCCGACGGACCGCTCGCTGACGCGACGCACGGCAACGATCGAACTCGTCTGCGAGACGGTCGCGAGCTGCGGCAATGGCGCGTCAGCATCCTGAGAGCTAAACCATCGATTTAACCCTTATCGGTCGTAAGTCACCTCTCACGTAACAACAATACTTCGTCGCTCCGGTCGTACGTCACGTAAGAGGTGACATTTTCGCATATTTACCGAAACCAGCTAGAATCTAGCGAGAGTCACGCATAAAAAGCTAACGTCCGATAAAGGTTATAAGAGTTTTGGAGACGGACAAGTTTGGAATTAGACGCTAAATCAATGCATGGAGTAAAGATACACGAACGCATTCCAAGGGAATGTCGAATGGCCCGGAAATGCAGAGGTAATTAAACTATTTCTAAACTCCCGACATCTTGATACAAGTTTCTTTCGGAAGAAGGAAATCATGCTGTTACCACAGTTCAACTACACACGGTTGCGACAGTGCTGGGAAATTGAGGGTTCGATTTTCTTCTGCGCGTGCGTTGACTGTGCAACCAAGAATATGGCGGACTGTCATAATGATACCGGCGAGTGAGACAGCACAGCTGAGTGTATGACACATTTAAAAATATTTATGTTATAATCGTAATATAAAATGAATACAAGAGGTGGTATCTCGTATGTACGTTTGTTACATGCAAAAATATTTGTGAACGGGGAGAAAATGCAATAAGTTTCTTTTGATTTCCGAAGAATAGCGAAATGTATCGACATTAATATATACAGTTCTATATTCTATAAAATTATATATAGGATTTCATTCTGAATTTGACAGCTATTTTACGCGAAACACTACGTCTCTTGATGTTCAAATTCAGCGCCCGTACAATCCACAACATGGCTGACAGTCACGTGACCGATGACCACTGACATCAAAAAAGTTGCAACTCTACGTAGTTGTGCCGTTACTCTGAAAATTGGAATTTTGAGAATAAAAATGAGCCTTAATATATATGGTTGATATTGGACAAAATTTTACCAACAAATTTCTTAGAGTAAGAATCTTTCATTTAGACCTAAATAAAAACTTTACTAATTTTCAAAATATCTCAAAGCAGTCCACAAGATTCGAAAGAGCATCATTTGTATCCGTTTGTGTTCTTTCGTTTTCCTTTGTATCTCAAAGGATTCGGAGATACAGCAATTGTCATTTAGGCTTAAATGCTATTGTTTTCAATTTTCAAGATATCTCAAACTGCCAACGGCATTCGAAAGAGTATGCGTTTGTATCTGTTTGTACTTCTTCCGTTTTAGTTTGTTCAGTTAGTCACAGGGCAGTTGCAACAGATATTTTTCTTTATATATTCCGAAACAAAAGATATGAAGAAGCGAACCTATAACGAACATATATATAAGTAATTTTTACATACACGTATGTAATTTTCACAGCTGTCTGACCATTTATTGCGCATGTTGATGAATCATAGGTTCGCTTCGCCGTATCTTTTGTGTGTCCCGAAACATGTAAAACAAGAAAACTGTTTTGCAACCGACCTGCGGCTGACAGTGCAAATGATGCTCCCTCAAAAGTCGTTGACTGCTATGAAATATCTTGAAAATTGGCAAGATTAGCATTTAAGCCTAAATAACAGATGTATCTCCGAATCCTTTGAGATATAAACGAAAACGAAGGAAGTACAAACGAGAAGAGCAATCAAGCTATATTATTTCTTTTTTCCAAAATTGGACGCCAACTTCACACCAGTGTTTACAATTGTATAATTCTTCTAATTAATATTTGCGCATACAGAATGCAAATTTATAACATATGTAACTATAGTTAACTTTTAGAACAACTTAGGATAAACAAAAGAATTTGAACATTTTACAGCTTTAAAGTGAGATATCTCAGTAACCAAAAGAAGCCACGTCACTTGAGTCGATAGAGTTTCCTTGGAAATCCGACTAACACCTTTGGATGTGTTAAAAAGATAGGAAAACCCAATGACAGCTCATTTACATAAACGCATCAAGATTCAAAACGAACATTCTTAGCACGTTATCTAAAGAGAGAAATGAACACGAGTTTCTAAAAAAAAACGCTGTAACTCGGAAAAAAGGGTTAAGCCGGACCTATTGAAATTTATATTAAAATTTTTTTCTCATCGAAAACAGCTGAATTTATCCTTAAGACGGAAATCACACTATATTAAACCTTATAAATGTATAAATGCATTAATGAGTCATTGGAATATCTTATCGTAGGCGAATGAAAAAAGTCCCGTGAGCTATATATATGCGACGCTACACGCCGTGCAGTTTAAAATTAGCTGGAAAGATAATCGGCTTGAAGTTCAATTGAAAACTCGGTAATTCCTTCTCGTAAGAGAGAAAAAAAAAGAGGAAAAAGATGAGAATGCGGAATAATCGGTAAACCGTCTTACGTGGTTCGACGAACATGTACATTCATGTTCCCGACATATCCCGACGATTACGTGGTGAACGGACACACAGGCGTGTACGCGTGTACATAGACGCGCGCACACACAGCCGCGACACTGCAATGCAATATAAACGATTATTCCACCTGTCGGAGCGCAAGCTCTCCATAAATAATATCATCGTTTGTTCTACACACCGTATATTTACGAAGAAGACGAATTTTCCCACCGGCGATCTATGCGACGTGTTCAGCGCGCAGCGTCGGCAGCGATCGACTGGACTATCGGCTGAGAACGCGAGGAGGTAATGCCGAGCAATTAGGGAAAATCTCGGATAAATACCTCAGGTGATATCCCGGTGATCACAGATTAATGCCACACCTCCTTCGCCTTAAGCGATCCGTCCGGATCGATCGATGAACCGTCGCGTTTTTATATCTTATTTACCGACCAGCTGAGAATCTCCTCGTTTCCTCCCACGACCCGCTCTAATCTGCTCATTACTGTACTCTATCGTCGCGTTTCAACGTATAGAAAAATGAATGTTGTTGACCGCGAGCCATCGATTACTGTGCTCTTAGCGAGAGAAAGAGAGAGAGAGAGGGAGAGAGAGCACGTGAGAGGTGGATCGCATGCACGCATCGCCGCGGTGTACATTCACACATGGATACACACGTTGGGAGGTCGCGCGGGCCAGTTATTATGTCGCAGGTATGGCTCGAAGGTAATTAATACTATTGTTATGATTCAGATAGAGGTACGTCATTGTCAGTACACCTTGGCTCGGTTGCGCGACTTGATCTTCGGCAGTCGGAGCTGAAACGCGCAACAGGTACGATCATCGCGTCTTCTCCGGCAGCGGGCGTGATGACACACGCTTCCGTCGCCGATATTCTTCACGCACCTCGTCGCAAATATTGTTGCTCGGCCGATGCACGGCACAACACCGTCGATCGCGCGATTCCGAGTTACAATTATAAGTCGTCATTCGGCGGCGGTGCAATTGGATTCGAAATCGAGCGATTATGCGCGCGATCCGCGGTACGATCCGCATGGACTGTAGCATAAGTGAATAGTGAATCGCGATATGATACACATGAACAAAATACTGGAACTTCCTCTCGAAGAGACGCGATCGACGTGATACGATGAGCAGAGCGCGTCCCGAGGAACGGGCGTGATCATTCTTCGGCACATCGTAGCCGACACATTCGGGTGAATCGAGGGGGGTCCATGAATTCGTTCGAGATGAGCGATCTCGTAAATGGTGTTCAGCAACATGAGAAAGCGACGAACACGACGACGAGGTCGCAGCCGAGATCGAACGGCACCAACGATGCGTCGGGGGAGGACGCGAGAAGCGGCAAATTCCACAAGTCGACCCAGAGCGATATCTCGGCGTGGAAGAGGTCCAGGCCGATGTCTCTGGCGTATCTGTCGAGGCAGCCGCAGAGCGAGTCGAGTTTCTCCACGCACAGTTCGCGAAGCACGTTGTACCCGGTTCAGAGCGAATTGGTCTTATCGCCCAGGAACAAACATTACAACAACAACAGATACGTATCCCTGGACATGAGGTCGATCAGCAACCTGCCGTATCCTAGTCCTCCGCACTCGAACAGTCACATTTACGGCGGCGGTATGCCGTACACGTGTTGCTGTACGTGCATGGGCTCGCAAATCCCGCCGGCGCCGACGCCACCCTCGCACCACGCCGAGGATCACGACGGGCCCGAGAGTCTCTCGTGGAGGAGGCTGCACATGAGCCGGGCCAAACTGAAAGCAACCGCGACCACGTCCGAGCTCCTCAGCGGCTTCGCGATGGTACGTACAGCACCGGCACTTGTATCTCCGCGCATCGTGTCGCGCGAGTGACGTTTTATGAGCGACTCGTCATGCGCCATTGTTTAATCCAATCCATAGGAGGAATCCTTCCGTGGATGTCTTGAAGGTATTTGGAAAAGAAAGAACCATTTTTATACGTCACGGTATTCCGTAAAGTAACAGACCGGAGATATTTTTGCTGAGATTAACTGGAGAAAAAGAAAACATTTTTTTTTTCATGTAAACGAGAAGAAAATATAAAATAAATAATCTTGTTATGTTGACCCTGTGAATAAGCGAGTCCCGCGAAGAATCTCACGAAACTTGTAAACGCGAAATATTTATATGAACGATGAATTATGATCTCTTGATGATCGTTTAGATAGAGTTGTTTTTCCTGGAAATCAAACGCTGTCGCGCGTGTGAGCGCTGTGCACGATTACACAACGTTTCCTGAAAAAAGATTAAATTGACGTCGACGACAATTCTATGCAATTTTCATGCACATCTATGTGGTTACATAACGCGGACATCCACTTTCTTCAATCCGCTTCGCTTCTCGAAATATTCTCGCGTGGATACCTTTCAAACGTCGCTTGCGATTCATAGTATTGTCTCGTGTCCATTCGGTTTTCTTTTCTTCTACTTTTCTCACTTGTGTTTCAGGTGGCGATGGTAGAACTGCAAATAAACGAGCCGACCGCGGTGCCGGAGTGGCTGTTCGTAATGTTCGCGGTCTGCACTACCTTCTTAGTATCGGTGCATATTTTCGCGCTGATGATAAGCACGTATCTTTTGCCGAATGTTGAGGCCATAAGCAAGCTCCAAGTGTCGAAGCTCGTGACGGAATCGCCGCACGAGAGGATGCGCGGCTTCATCGAATTAGCTTGGGCGTTCTCCACGGTTTTAGGACTGTTTCTGTTTCTCGTTGAGGTGGCCATCCTTTGCTGGGTGAAATTCTGGGACTACTCCTTCACCGCCGCCACTGCCAGCACCGTAATAGTCATTCCCGTGCTCATAGTATTCGTTGCTTTCGCTGTTCACTTTTACCATTCCTTGGTGGTTTACAAGTGTGAAAGTGCGGTGTCGGATATGAAGGATTTGGAGAGTATAAAAAGGAATCTGGACAGCGTGACGATAGGACAAACCAACGTGTAAACAACTTGAGACGCGATACCGCGAAACCTGTGAAATAATCAGTCGCTGTTGAATTGTCACAAATTAAAGGGAATGCCGTTGAATAGGATAATGAATAAGAAACGATTGTATTCTACTGCGTTGGAAGGAAGGTAATGTCGTATCTCCCCGAAGAATGACTTTGGTGTGTTTTACTAGAGAGAAATTTCAATCCAGATAACGTAAATGCACGCTATCCTGTCGTTTAGTATGCGGAGAATGCATATAAAAGTTTATATTCACTTGAGATCGAGAGCGAAATGGAGCAAAACAAGCTGAATCTTCATTGCTTGATGCTGTTTTACTTTTGTAAGAGGAAAAATGCGACGCAAACGAAAAAGGAAATATGTGCTGTACATGAAGAGGATGTCGTAACGAACTTATGTGCCAGAGATAGTTTACAAAGTTTCATGATGTGACCGATTCCAAGATGAGGAGAGCTCTGGTCGACCGCCTGTTGCTGATAACGACCAAATCAAGATTTTAATCAAGAATAATCAACCGTACACGACGCGGGAGACTGCAAAGATACTCCGCTGGTTACATACAATCGAGCCATCGAGTATTTGCATAAGCTGGGATGTGTGAATCGTCTTGATGTCTGGGTGTCGTACGATTTGAAAGAAATCGATCGCACTTCCATCTGCGATTCGTTACTTAAACGCAACGAAAACGACCCATTTTTCAAAGCGAATCGTGACGGACGATGAAAAAGAGGTTACCTACAACAACGTAGTGCGCAAACTGATCCTGAGGGAAACATTGAGAAAAACCGTTGACCACTCCAAAGGCTGGACCAAAGGCCCGGAGAAGGTCATGTATTTGGTGCTGGACCAAGGCTGTGTATTTGGTGGGACTAGAAGGGTGGTAGTATATTATGAGCTCCTTCCAAAAAACGTACGGCTTAATTCGGACAATAACCAATTGGACGAAATAAAGGGGGCCATTCTAGAAAAACACCCGGAACTGGTCAATAGAAAGGGTGTTTTATTTCATCTGGACGCCGAGTTTCATTAATCAGGAAAAAATATTGCAACTCGGCTGGGATGTTTTACCGCACCCAACATATTTATCAGACATTGCTCCTTGTTCCGATCCTTGCAGAACTTCCTCAATGATAAGATGTTCATTTCTTTGGAGGACTATAAAAATCACCTTCAGCAGTTCTTGGACGCTGAGAAAACGTGACAGTTTCTGCGCATGTGAAATTATGTAACTGCCCGAAAAATGGCAAAGGATTATATAGAAAAGAACGGCCGTTACTCTCTGATTGAAGTTGTTTTTAAATATAAATAAACCTCTTCCAATTTTGGGCTAAAAATACGACATTACTTTCCTTCCAACTCAATATAATCTCTATTGATTTATAAAGTAAGAAATATTACTCAATTCGAAACCATCACAAGAAAATTACACACTTTTGAGAATGATGTAAGAAAGACACGGACTTTTGTTGTCAATAACTTTACTTTTCAAACGTGACCATGTGAAAATGGCCAGGTTTTATTATATATAAAAATGTACATAGCTGTACACATGCAAGTCAAGAATTGCAACAGTACAAGCAAGTGCTCTTAGTATATTACTTATAATATTCAGCATTTAATTATATTCTGTATACAGTTTAACTCTTGATTTTTATTTAAACCTGTTCCTTGTTCTGTTTATTTCTATCATATCACTAATATATCGTATATTTCTGTTGTATCACTAATATATAATGTTTTTTTTATCTTATCACTTAGTTTGTGGGAAAACTGAAGGACAGTTGAGTACTTATTTTGTATATACACTTCTTGAAATTTACATAATGAGCATGTTTAGTATCTGTAATCCTAGTCATTAAATGAATCGTCAGACTTTAAAGATTCCCAGTAAGATGTGATTCGTTATTAGTATTATAAAAAGTAAAGATATATAAATAACATACCTCTCATTTTTACCATAAACTAAGTTGTAATCTTAAGATAAATACTTTCTACAATATTATGTCCCAACTTCTTTTGTACAAAAACATTCATCGATTGAAAGGATGTTTGTGAGCAAAACGAGAGATAAAATTGCTTTAGCAACGAAAGCATTATGATCTCGTGTTGCAGCATAAATTATAAAATTGTATTGCACAATGCCTCTAATCAGTATTCGTAAACTCTTCGAAGGAGAGTTAACTTCTTTATCCTTAAATTCTTCTTAAATTTCTTAGGTACACTATGTTGCCTTCAAAATTTAGTCGTTTGTTCGATAAACAAAATTTCTTCAGACATAGCGCAAACTTTGCCACTGTCAAGTTTACAACTGAGGTTATTTCTATGTACATTGGAAGAAAAAAAAAAAACTTAAAACATATGTCACAAAAGTATAAACATTGGTATTCTAATATGCTTTATTAAATAAGAAAAGAAAAAAAAAGAAAAAATAGTTTGAAAAATCAATGATTCTAACACTATAAACATTCTCTAAAATGTACAAAAATACGTTTCGGAATAGGGCAATTCAAAAAATTTTACAAATGTATCTGTAATTCTCGGACCAAATAACAGAAGTAATCAAAATATATGCTTTGTTACTTATTTTACATAAGTGATTATCATGTAAAGATGTAAAAATGATTTTTATGTTCAATATTCAACTATATGATAACAATGGAAAATGAATCGCTTGTGCTATGGACAGGTAAACAAATAAAGATTGACAACATAACAAGAGAACATAATCACTACGAAGTTAATGAAACATGCCAAACTCAATATATTGGAAGTGCTTTTGTTTATATGACCTAATTCGAGTGAGAAGTTCAGCCTCTATTTTTCTACGTTAAAAAGATATACAAGTGCACAGATTAAATTATTAATTTGGATTGTTGAATAATTTAACTTCCCTATCATATTTTTCTATAAAGCTTTTTTTTTCTACTATATATCGTTTCCAAAAACTTGTAGTAATATATCCTATACGATAATGCGCTTATCCATTTAACGTAAATTATGAACTATTATCCCGATGTACATACATATATATATGTATATATAGATTCTTAATACAACTCGCTAAATATTATAATA